GGTTACAGAGAATCAATAACAGTTGGAATTGTAATTAACGTATGTACAATATATTGCTAATGAAGACTGATAACCAGGACCAGAACTTCCTGGTCCTGTCTATATATAGCTGTACCAAGCTTCCTCAGCATAACGAGACAGTAGTACAAATGTTTTAAAATGATTTTTGTTTTCATACAAGCATAGATCTATAAGTATTTTTGTGAATATTATTGAACGGTGGTCCTTTTGAAATTCAGTCCATCATTTTTTGTTTTAAGTGTAATAATTGTGAAAATACCTTCGATTTAAAATTTATCTTGATGTGGGTTTTAAGTCACTAAAATAAATACATATGGCCAGGTAGATATTATGATTGTAGTCATTCACTGCAATTGCTATTCATATTGCTATGACAACAGATTTACCTTTGGTTTCTGCAACAGTATCGATTTCAAGATGATGTAAAAAAAAAACTCAGCGTTATCTTCATTATTTAAGGAGACACGCGTCAATATTGATATCACATAGGAGGGCAGTGAGGACTACAGAAAGGACGTGTTCCCGTAGACCGCAGTAGCTGCGACAGCCTGTCCGCATCTAAGGAGCTGTCCGACCTTAGAGCGTGACCTGGATGGGCTGGATGTTTGAATCTCAGAGGCCCCAACCCTACGGTCCGTATATATGTATATAATTTATTAATGTACTATATTTCTACAGACTACAGCAGTATATGTTGATACTGAATACACATACATGTATATACCGACCTTTGGGTTGGGGATATGTGCCAGGCCAATATTAGTGAGGAAACATCAGCAACCTCCACGATAGCAGTTAGTGAAAGCAATCTCTCCAAACAATTAAGACATATATACGGACCTTGGGTTTTAAGAAATGTGCCACGCCCCTGTGCCGACACAATGTGATGTCAGACATATATAGATGAATTTGTGTGTGAGGCAATGAGTGCAGATATTGTGTGTTTATGTTACATGCACGGGTTTTTATATGTTTAATAAGACATAGGTCCGAATTATGCCTTTCGTTATATAATTATGTGCCATTGACAAAGATTTAGTGTAGTTTTAGTATCCTTTGTGATTACTATGGATTCAGTGCATTTCCGGTGTGATTCAATTAAATAGAAAGGTATCCTCGATAGTCAGGTCAAACAATACAGAAAAAGACATGGAAATGAAATTTAAATTGTCATGTAAACACAAAGAAATGCTCGTGCATTTGCAGTAAAACTAAGATTTTCTCAATACTCACCTCTTTGTTTCATGTCATGCAAGCAACCAAATACAAAATCATTAATTATTTACTACACTGCCATGGCGCCTGTCTTGTGTTGTCACATTTTTATTTTACATCTATTGTTTACACTCGATAACATGTATATATCTAAAAAAAACTGTTTTAATAGTAACAGTTGCATTCGATCTCACCTAGATATCGACCTGTAGCAACTCGTGTGTCAAACGTTTAATTTCCGCATGATTCTTATTTTTCCTATTTTCGTGGTAAATCTAAACCACTAAAAGAAAAACACGATAGAAATGTGTAAACAAAACCTTAACTCGAACCCAAAATCGATCAAACTGGGGCAAAGTTTGAACAAAGGAAAGATTTATCAGGAGAACATTGAAAAAAAAATACATTTAGAGATTAAGACAATGCGTGGGTTTCGAAACGGTTATGAGAGATCCGGGTAAGTGACAACAAAATGCAAGGCAACCTAATGTAATTAAATGTAACAAAGAAAAACTTCCATATGTATAACGCACAAGGAAACAGACTTCCTAATGAGATTATGATTGCGCCAATAACACTTTTCCATAGTCTTTATCAACCGAATCTCTCAAAACCTTGTGTCGTTAGTTTGTTCGACACCATTCAACGTCTATACGAAAATCTAGACTTTCGGATCAAAAGAGTGAGTATAGAACTGCGCCATGTTAACACCATAGGTTGGGGAAGCTGGGATGTTACTGTCAAGAAAGGGAAAATTCACGACCAGAAAATCAAAATCGCAACGCTTATCATACAGGTCGGTAGAAAGTCGTTTCTGCTTGTTTTAAGTAAAGATCGAGGTAAGCGTTTGATGAGAAAAAGTCTCCATGAGGAATTCAGAATATGATCAATGTGGGGAATTTCGTAGTTTTTAAGACGGCACAATGTTGATGTATCTGTAAGTCAAATTGAAGGACTTGGGAAAGTTTTTGTTACCAGTCTGATAAACTCATCAATAAGTTTGCTTCATATGAAAACAAGCACAAATCGTCCAAAAAAAGGGGGCACGGTTTGTTCCCAGAAGAATGCCTAGACTGCTGGAAATTCTTGCAATCAAGCTCAACTCATATATCGTCAACCAGGAACTCAATCATCCTCAATCCTACGTGAAGTTTGGGCCTTTTAGCTCATTAATAAAATTTGAATCACGAAAGCAAAAATAAGTAGGTCAAGAGGGGGCACAATGTATCCGCATGGGTCTTGGTTAGACTATTTCCGTCCCATAAAAAACAGATAGTCAGTTATTTCGGAGTAGCTTTCATGAGGCGGTCATACAGGCTGCTAAACAACAATGAGAACCTTCGAATAAAATTAATCTAAACTATCAATGGAAACCCTTGAACTGAAATTGCATTAAGCAGAAGTGGCATTAAAGTCGGTATCTTATATGATGAAGATAGGGATACATTTAATGCGTGCGTTCAATCCCAGTAACAAAGAGACCAATGGGCCTGTATCACTCACGGGCAAACACGTCTCATAGCAAGGTTCAATGTCAAATTATACAGACAACCTTGATTATAAGAAATTAACAGACTGATATCAGTAGACGACACATTGTTGGTCTTTGTTGGAAAATTTTAAATCATTGTATTCCTGCAACCTTCATGGTTGACCAGGGTCAATCTGCCAATATTTTATCCCTAAAAAATACAGGCCAAATGTTAAGTATTAGTTAATTTATTTGAAGATATTTGATATCCTTTCATCCTATTGGCGTAGAGTCTATATACCTTGTCCATTTAAAGCTATGTCCATCAGCAAGTTATACAGGCACAATATAATTACTCTCGACCTTACATAAGGATTGAACGGGTTTTTTTTAAATGCCGTGTAATCCTGATATTTGCATATCAAATTGTATAGTTATTATTGATCTAAATATAGATATTCACTTATGTTTTTGATATTTAGGGCTACATTCGCGTTACCGGTTGAAACGGTACGTGTGGCGCAGAAATTTTCTACGATAAACGAACACACTTGGACCGTTCTATAAGCAGAGCTAAAAATCCACAGTTTCGGAGAATAATAAACAATGTATCAAGAATATTATGCCCTTCTCTCACGCGTCCACTAAAATACATAACGTATCTTAAAAAATACATGTGGCTTGACATTGTTTTAGAAAGAAATAACGCAAACTAGCAATATTCAGCAGTTTAGTTTCGGCCAGGTACGTCTGGACCCCTCAATCTACACGTACCAAATTTTCCTGAGGTCAGACTCGGTCCAAATCTGTACCTGTCGTTTTCTTTACAGGTTCAACCGGTTCAACCGTTTCAACCGGTAACGCGAATGTACCCTAAGTGTCTGTATCGTAAGTGCACACCGAGATTTCTGGAACAACCTAACGTCACTAACATGTTTGTTTTTAACGGGTGTCTCACGTTATTCGAGACCGGAGGAGAAGCTTCAAAATGACGCAGATCAAATTGCAGTCAGAGTCTTTTAAATGCAATTTCTTCTGGTAATGGTTATAGAAAAACAGTAGAAATGTAAATTTAGTTCTGCAAAAGTCAAATGAAGAGGTGTCAGTATCTTGAAGAAAAAAAGGTTCACCCCAGCAGGATACAGATCAAAAACCGTGACCATAGGTGGCAGTTGTAGTAGTTGTTTAAAGATTTTAACATACATGTATGTGAGTTTCAGGGTTTCACAGTTAAATAAAGGGAGACTCCCTACAAATGAAGAGACATCAAACGTATGGACGTTATAGTTATGTTGGTGGTAGTAAATAAAGCGAGGTTTTTGTGGTTAGTGGTGGTAGAGGTTGAACAGTAGTTGTCATCACCCTTGGCGGCGCAGTGGTAGTGTTAGTAGCTGGTTGGTTGTATTGGTATAATGGTGGACGTTGTATTGGTATAATGGTGGACGTGGTTGGTGGTGTTGGTATAATAGTGGATGTGGTTGGAGGTATTGGTATAATGGTGGACGTGGTATAGGTATAATGGTGGACGTGATTGGTAGTATTGGTATAATGGTGGATGTGATTGGCGGTATTGGTATAATGGTGGATGCGGTTGGTGGTATTGGTATAATGGTGGACGTGGTTGGTGGTATTGATATAATGGTGGATGTGGTATTTGTATAATGGTGGACGTGGTTGATGGTATTGGTATAATAGGGGATGTGGTTGGTGGTATAGGTATAATGGTGTACGTGGTTGGTGGTATTGGTATAATAGGGGATGTGGTTGGTGGTATAGGTATAATGGTGTACGTGGTTGGTGGTATTGGTATAATAGTGGATGTGGTTGGAGGTATTGGTATAATGGTGGACGTGGTTGGTGGTATTGGTATAATGGTGGATGTGGTATTTGTATAATGGTGGACGTGGTTGATGGTATTGGTATAATAGGGGATGTGGTTGGTGGTATTGGTATAATGGGGGATGTGGTATTTGTATAATGGTGGACGTGGTTGATGGTATTGTTATAATAGGGGATGTGGTTGGTGGTATTGGTATAATTGTGTACGTGGTTGGTGGTATTGGTATAATAGTGGATGTAGTTGGAGGTATTTGTATAATGGTGGACGTGGTATAGGTATAATGGTGGACGTGATTGGTAGTATTGATATAATGGTGGACGTGGTTGATGGTATTGGTATAATGGGGGATGTGGTTGGTGGTATTGGTATAATGGAGTACGTGGTTGGTGGTATTGGTATAATAGTGGATGTAGTTGGAGGTATTTGTATAATGGTGGACGTGGTATAGGTATAATGGTGGACGTGATTGGTAGTATTGATATAATGGTGGACGTGGTTGATGGTATTGGTATAATGGGGGATGTGGTTGGTGGTATTGGTATAATGGGGGATGTGGTTGGTGGTATTGGTATAATTGTGAATGTGGTTGGTGGTATTGGTATAATGGTGAATGTGGTTGGTGGTATTGGTAAAATAGTGGACGTGGTTGGTGGTATTGGTATAATTGTGGATGTGGTGTGTGGTATTGGTATAATGGTGGATGGGGTTGGTGGTATTGGTATAATGGTGGACGGGGTTGGTGGTATTGGTATAATGGGGGATGTGGTTGGTGGTATTGGTATAATTGTGGATGTGGTTGGGGGTATTGGTATAATGGTGGATGTGGTTGGAGGTATTGGTATAATGGTGGGCGTGGTATAGGTATAATGGTGGACGTGATTGGTAGTATTGATATAATGGTGGACGTGGTTGATGGTATTGTTATAATAGGGGATGTGGTTGGTGGTATTGGTATAATGGAGTACGTGGTTGGTGGTATTGTTATAATAGGGGATGTGGTTGGTGGTATTGGTATAATGGGGGATGTGGTTGGTGGTATTGGTATAATGGAGTACGTGGTTGGTGGTATTGTTATAATAGGGGATGTGGTTGGTGGTATTGGTATAATGGTGTACGTGGTTGGTGGTGTTGGTATAATAGTGGATGTAGTTGGAGGTATTGGTTTAATGGTGGACGTGGTATAGGTATAATGGTGGACGTGATTGGTAGTATTGATATAATGGTGGACGTGGTTGATGGTATTGTTATAATAGGGGATGTGGTTGGTGGTATTGGTATAATTGTGAATGTGGTTGGTGGTATTGGTATAATGGTGGACCTGGTTGGTGGTATTGATATAATGGTGGATGTGGTTGGGGGTATTGGTATAATTGTGGATGTGGTTGGTGGTCTTGGTATAATGGTGGATGTGGTTGGTGGTATTGATATAATGGTGGATGTGGTTGGTGGGATTGGTATAATGGTGAATGTGGTTGGTGGTATTGGTAAAATAGTGGACGTGGTTGGTGGTATTGGTATAATGGTGGATGTGGTGTGTGGTATTGGTATAATGGTGGATGTGGTTGGTGGTATTGGGATAATGGTTGACGTGGCTGGTGGTATTGGTATAAGGGTGGATGTGGTTGGTGGTATTGATATAATGGGGGATGTGGTTGGTGGTATTGATATAATGGTGGATGTGGTTGGTGATATTGGTATAATGGTGGACGTGATTGATGGTATTGGTATAATGGTGGACGGGGTTGATGGTATTGGTATAATGGTGGACGGGGTTGATGGTATTGGTTTAATGGTGGATGTGGTTGGTGGTATTGGGATAATGGTTGACGTGGCTGGTGGTATTGGTATAAGGGTGGATGTGGTTGGTGGTATTGATATAATGGTGGATGTGGCTGGGGGTATTGATATAATGGTGGACGTGGTTGATGGTATTGGTTTAATTGTGGATGTGGTTGGTGGTATTGGTATACTGGTGAATGTGTTTGGTGGTATTGGTATAATGGTGGACGTGGTTGGGGGTATTGGTATAATGGTGGATGTGGTTGGTGATATTGGTATAATGGTGGACGTGATTGATGGTATTGGTATAATGGTGGACGGGGTTGATGGTATTGGTTTAATGGTGGATGTGGTTGGTGGTATTGGTTTAATGGTGGACGTGGTTTATGGTATTGGTTTAATGGTTGATGTGATTGGTGGTATTGGTATAATGGTGTACGTGGTTGATGGTATTGGTTTAATGGTGGATGTGGTTGGGGGTATTGGTATAATGGTTGACGTGGCTGGGGGTATTGGTATAATGGGGGATGTGGTTGGGGGTATTGATATAATGGTGGATGTGGTTGGTGGGATTGGTATAATGGTGGATGTGGTTGGGGGGATTGGGATAATGGTTGACGTGGCTGGTGGTATTGGGATAATGGTGGATGTGGTGTGTGGTATTGGTATAATGGTGGATGTGGTGTGTGGGATTGGTATAATGGTGGATGTGGTTGGTGGTATTGGTATAATAGTGGATGTGGTTGGTGGTATTGGTGTAATGGTGGACGTGGTTTATGGTATTGGTTTAATGGTGGATGTGGTTGGTGGTATTGGTGTAATGGTTGACGTGGCTGGTGGTATTGGTATAATGGTGGATGTGGTTGGTGGTATTGATATAATGGTAGACGTGGCTGGTGGTATTGGAAAAATGGTGGACGTGGTTGGTGGTATTGGTATAATGATGGGCGTGGTTGCAATTGTGGTATATTAATAGAAGTCGTTGATGGTAGCAGTTGTGGTATAGTGGAAGGAGTGGTTGGTGGTAGTGGTATAATGGTGGAAGGGGTTAGTGGTAGTAGTAGCAGTTGTGGTATAATGGCAGAAGTGGTTGGTTATAGTGGTATAATGGTGGCAGCAGTTGCAATTGTGGTATTTTAATAGAAGTCGTCGGTTGTAGCAGTTGTGGTATAGTGGTAGGAGTGGTTGGTGGTGTTGGTGGTAGGAGTGGTTGGTGGTATAGTAGTAGCAGTTGTTGTCATTGCAGTAGTATTAGTAGTAGCCATGGTGGTGGTATTTATCCTGACACCAATTGGTATAAATGCAAGTTTAGTTTAAGCAGATTTTATTGCATATTACAACAAAAGGATCACAACTTATGTATACCCTTTCCTGATAAATGCTAGTCAAGCAGAATTGAAACTTAAACAAAATCATAAAATAACACAAGGCAGTTTCTTTTTTAACTGAATTTTATTTTTTACCCACAAAAACATTTGTATATATCACAAATAGACATGGTATCAGAAAATTAAAATCCATTGAGAACCTGGTTTGACACAATTAAACGTCCAGGTATTAGCAAAAAAATAATAATATCTATTTCACTGTTTGATCATTAAAATACACATACACCATACAGTACCATAAAAATATTCTAGAACACCTGGTAATACCCCTCATAAAATAACATTCTAAAACAGAAAACTGTTGACCTAGAAATGACCCAAAATGATACTTTTGATCAATGATGTACATAAGCATATCAACAAATATCACCAGAGTCTATCATATATCATATACCCATACTTCTTAACGACCCATTTAATACTTCAGTGAGTCACAGACTTGAGGACCTGAAAAGTTTACTGATATGATTTACGCTATCATATGAAACTTTTTCTAGTTCTGACATCAAAATTAGCATCCTTTGGAAGGACTTTTATTCAACTCGCACCTGTGTTAAAATAGTAGTTTGACGAACTTTTACCAGTTCTAACAGGGAAGCGTGATGAACTACTAACACATTCTAACAGAAAACAGTGATAAACCCCAATCCTATTTTAACAGAGTAGCAAGATTATCTTCGACATGTTCATAAATCATTTACTTAAAAGACCTGAGCAGAATATGGTAAAGTTGCCCTAATATGTCAATAATATATCCATGGTTAAGAAGTTTGAAATTCCTCCTGATGGAGGGAGACTTCTGATGAACACTGGGAGAGAGATTGTTATAACAACATTTATGAACACAAGTTACTATGAACTGTAGATTGTGATAACATATATACCTGATATTTTTTGCATTTAATTTGGGTTCAACATCCTCACAACAGTCAGGGTTAAATGGCGATGGACAACTGAAGTAGGATTTATGGTGATTTTGTACTTTTACTGATTACTATGGATAAAAAGGCTCAGTCTGCTTTTATTAAAATTCGTAACAAATCTTATAAATCTTAATAAAGAATAAGTTTACAGTCTTCAACATTTTGAGTGCTGTGATTTTAAAAGTTGGTCAAGGTCATTTATTTAAACCAAAACTGATAGGCCTTTACTCCAGTAACCTTAGTTACCTATGTTCAACAAAGCATGCCTCTGGGCCTTATGGTTGTGTAGAAGAAGTTAGTTTGAAGAATTAAACTGATAACAGGCGTAATTGCTATGGCATTAACTTAAGTCACTTTGTACCGGATGGGCTACTGTATTTCACAGGTAATAAGCCCAACCCCACTTTTCCTTACCTTCCGTACATAGAGTGGGTGACCAGTAATAAGCCCAACCCCACTTTTCCTTACCTTCCAGCCCAACCCCACTTTTCCTTACCTTCTGTACATAGAGTGGGTGACCAGTAATAAGCCCACCCCCACTTTTCCTTACCTTCCGTACAAAGGTTGGGTGACTGTTAATAAGCCCACCCCCACTTTTCCTTACCTTCCGTACATAGGTTGGGTGACTGTTAATAAGCCCACCCCCACTTTTCCTTACTTTCCGTACATAGAGCGAGTGCCCAGTAATAAGCCTATCCCCCTTTCTTCAAATTCATCAGCTATAGTAAAAAGATGTTTTTTGTAATGCTGTATGGTAATGAAAATCTCATACGCTGAATAAATTAGAATGTTATACTGAAACAATACATACACACTCTGTGCGGTCAATAGGTACATTGTAAATGACAATTTTAAGTTAAACCTACCATCACACTTTAAAATAAATACTAGGTTAATTTACATACATTGATAATTATACATGTACAAACGATACCGAAGAACAAATAATACAGACAATTTACAGACTATAGCAGTCTTTCATATCTACAGAAAAGATGTCACAATTTTAAATATATAGCCACAATGTTGAGAGTTTTGCCTTTTTCTATTGTACATAAGCCTTACAAAATTATATTATTGTTCCATTTATATTACTTCCTTTATATTCATACACAAAAGTTAAGGTTGCAAGACTTTTAACTCACTCACCCCTGAAAACACATTTAAACTCTTCCAATTCAAAGGTTAGAATTGTTCATTATGAAATTTCAGGGGCAAATGAGTTCAAGGAGCTGCAACATTTGAATTATTACAGAAAAGGATTAAGAAAACAAATTTCATTACTGTTAAAATGTGGATTAGCTCCCCTACTTTTTATTATTAAGTTGGTCCAGAGATCAAATCCCTATTCCGTCTTTGTGTATTGCAGAGTTATCTTCTCTTGGGGGCAGGGATTAATTGTTACGTCACTTGTTTGTGAGAGTAACGTCATCAATTTTTGAGAAAACGATGTAATTTTCTCACACAAACCAATGACGTAACAATCAATACCTGCTCCCAAGAGAAGATAACTCTGCAATACGCAAAGACGGCATAGTAGAGAGAGAGAAAAAATTGTGAAAAATAGAATTGTTATAAATAAATTTATTTCATCTTTAACTATTTTCTTTTAATAAATGGGCAGATAACTCTAAGTCAGAAAAAATGCAGAAAAAAAATGGAATCTTCTTTGTTGAAGATACTGGACTTCACAGAGAACTGCACATATCATCATTTAACACTGAAAATAAGCCACAGGTTCTTAATATTTTCCATTATATTAATATAAATCATTCTTTTGTATAGAAGACATCACTAATGTGGCAAAACATCATCTTTGACATCGACGAGATATACTGTATACCAGGGACATTTCACTCAGTCAAACTCTCGGCCTCTTTGGCGCAATCTATATTTACCCACTGCTATTTTTTTCCGATCACATGTAATTCTTATGCACAGTATACTTTGTATTATTATTCATTTCCGTGATAAATTTGCACTCGTTACAGAGCTTGAAAAAGGCCGAAGTAAAAACTGTGGCGAAAATTTCCTAGTCCACAGTAGCATTGTAAAATCATACACTATCACTGATGATTTAACCCTTTCACCCCTATGTAACTTTAGTAGACTCTACCATGCATTGATATGGACATGTCCAGTATGGTCTACAGTGGTGAAAGGGCTAAGTACTTAGATGATCATGTTACCATTTACCTGATAAAACATACTATCATTTCATTAACTAGTGTTGTTCTAATTCATAGAATTTATTTGATGATTAGTCATTTCCCCTCCAACTACGGATAATCAATCATGATTTTCTATAATCAATCATGGTTTGACTATTACATCAAAACTTTCAAGTGTCATTGAAAATCCAACCCGACAACTGATTAACTCATTCACCCCTGTGGACACATTTGAACTCTCTCAATTCATAGGTTGGAATAGTTCATTATGAAATTTCAGGGGTGAATGAGTTAAGCAAACTACCATAATACTGCATTCAAACAATGATCCTGTCTTAAGCTAGGTAGTTGAAAATACACCATATAATTATCCATTTTAGGGAATGCTTCTCTACATACTTTTGTTTCATTTATGGTCTATTATTGATAAATCACTGGGGTTTTTTGAGAAATATCATGATAACTATCACATTTCCTATGACAAATGAGAAGTGATATTAAGTGAAATCTACTGTAGTCATAATTAATGATAATGAATCTTGAAATACTGTAAGAAGTGGAATTTTTCACGTCTGTAAATGTTTGTTTTGTGACTTTTTAAACTGATATCATTGAGGAAGTTTTGAGATGAGACGTTTGTCTTTGTTGTGACAAGATTTGGTAGGAGACACCCGATTAGCGATGACATCATAAGCTGGATTTCTTTGCCTGTGCCACCTTGGAATGGGTAGGGCGATCTATGGCCGTGGAAATAAACTGTCCGGCCTCCAGGAGCTTTTGTATATTGATGCCCTGTGGAATAGAAACAGAAAACAAATAATGAATACAGATAATCTTATTGCATTTAACCGTTTGTTTATTCCAACTCCACGAGGAAATACTCCCTAGAGATGTAATTTCTATAAACGGTTATATTTGACCTTATTTATTTCCCCCCTCTGGATTTTTTACTATACAATTCTTTTACCTTATGTGCGATATCGGAATAAAACTAGGGTAAAAATCGACTGCTTTACTCTTTCCTATCTCACTAATTAATTAAAACAGAAACTTTATCTATGGAGACAGCATAAGATCATATACATTTGAAGACGACTGATTCAGTGTATTAAGCTATTAATCCTATAATCTCTATAATTAGCCATGGCATATCTAACTTTTTAGTTAGGAAACCAAGACTTATTTTCAAAGCTGGCCTTTTTTCAAGGCGGTCTTATTTTTGAAAACATTTAGACAGTAAGCAGTGAACACCTTATTTTAAAGACAGGAAGTGAGCTCCCAAGATCGTCAGACCTAGGACGGAGCAGAGTTAGAGATGAATATTGATGAAAACACCAGGAGATATTTATATACAAATTAAAAATGTAATAATTAGAACTACCTAGTGTTTGACCATACAAAAAATCACGGCATGATTTCTATCTACCTTGGATACAAGGCTTAATTTTTAAGGACAGCCTACTTCCTTTCAAGATATATGTCCTTTTAAGGCCAACCTTTTTTTTGAACCAGTCTTATTATTGAAATATTAGGGTATCTCATTGGTTCAAGCAGGCTACCTGATGACCTGATTTTCCTGAATTCTGTCAGTACAGTAAAGCTGACCTAATATGAGGTCTGGCACATAGTTGCAAAACTTCTGCTCTTCTGAGGAAGTGCCATGCTTGCAATTATAAATGATGCAATAGGCTAGCAGAATTTCTTGGCAGACAAGCAGCAAAGAAATGGAAAGTGGCAAAATAAACTTGTTATGTAGCATTATGATATTGTCGTGCGAGGCACTGAAGGATAATTTTATTGGCACAACACTTGTTTAGTATAGCAGGCTAAGGGTTAACCTAGTTTTTAAGAATTGCATTTAGGCAAGGTAACAATCCTCATTATTACAGATCTAGTGAGTAGAACAAAAAGAAGAAACAAGAGGCCCATGGGCCTTAACGGTCACCTGAGTCTATAGTATTTATTTTTGTTGTTGAAATATGTACCAATTTGAGTAAAAAATAGTATAATGTTAACTTAACTTTGTCAGGACCATGAGCTGATCATTCCTAGACCAATTTTAAGTGAGATCGGCCTATTAGAACTTAGTAGCAAAATAGCGGCCATGGCAGCCAAATTGTATTTCTGATTGACCCGAAAAATAACAACACTTTGTCAGGACCATGATTCGATCATTCCTACAAAGTTTCAGTTCAATCGGCCAAGTAGATCTTTACTTTAAGTTTGAAATAGTTTACCAAAATGGCAGCTGTGGTGGCCATATTGGATTTCTGATCGACCTGAAAAATAACAACACTTTGTCAGGACCATGAGTCAATCATTCCTACAAAGTTTCAGTTCAATCGGCCTAGCAGAACTTGACTTTAAGTTTGAAATATGTTTTCAAAATGGTGGCCGTGGCGGCCATATTGGATTTATGATTGACCTGAAAAATAACAACACTTTGTCAGGACCATGAGTCGATCATTCCTACAAACTTTAAGTTCAATCGGTCCAGCAGAACTTGACTTTAAGTTTGAAATAGGTTTTCAAAATGGCGGCCGTGGTGGCCATATTGGATTTCTGATCGACCCAAAAAATAACAACACTTTGTCAGGACCATGAGGCGATCATTCCTACCAACTTTCAGTTCAATCGGTCCAGCAGAACTTGACTTTAAGTTTGAAATAGGTTTTCAAAATGGTGGCCGTGGCGGCCATATTGGATTTCTGATCGACCCGAAAAATAACAACACTTTGTCAGGACCATGAGGCGATCATTCCTACCAACTTTCAGTTCAATCGGCCCAGCAGAACTTGACTTTAAGTTTGAAATGTAAAATGTTAACGGACGACGGACGACGGACGACGGACGACGACGGACGAAAACGGATAGCAATAGGTCACTTGAGCTAAAGCTCAGGTGACCTAAAAACTTACCGTTTTGATATTGAGACCATTTAACATGTAGACGACGTCCTCAGTAGCGACGTTACCACTCGCCCCCTTGGCGTATGGACAGCCACCTAGTCCTGCTACAGAGCTGTCCACCACTGCTACCCCCATCTGTGAGCATAGACATTAAATAATTCTGTAATACACGCTCAAGAGGAACCTGATAGGACCCTAAAATAGATGATGTTATCATGCTGATCTGAATTGCTAAACCTCAAAAATGTTTATCTTGTGTTGAGGTTTTCTGTCTATATCATACAGAAGAAATTGGTGATTTTCTTCCATACCGTTACTTTTCTGATGTAAAAATAAATTAATCATCCTTGCTATTGTGCTATTGTCATCATCATCATCATCATCATCATCATCATCATCCTTGCTATTGTGCTATTATCATCATCATCATCACCATCATCATCATCATCATCATCATCATCGTCATCATCATCCTTGCTATTGTGCTATTATCATCATCATCACCACCATCATCATCATCATCATCATCATCATCGTCATCATCATCATCATCATCATCATCATCAGCATCATCATCATCATCATCATCATCATCAGCATCATCATCATCATCATCATCTGTCATCGCCATTGTCATCACTTTCATCATCATCGTCCATCATCATCTGTCATCGCCATGGTCATCACTTTCATCATCATCATCGTCCATCATCTTCTGTCATCGCCATTGTCATCACTTTCATCATCATCATCGTCCATCATCATCTGTCATCGCCATTGTCATCATCATTCATTTTTGTTGTCATTGTCATCACCACCTTATGCCAAAACTGATCCTATTGTGATACGGTCATGCTGCATAACGTGACGACGTATGATGTCATGATCCTATATTTAAGTGCTGATATTTTCAGAATAAGGTGCGTTGTGAGCTGTTTTTATTATATTTAGTAGATACAGACATGTGTATCTTCACTCCTCTGTAAAGTGTGGTAGAATCAGCCACCCATGTTACCTAACTATCCACATCCCCCAGTCTACACGTTTCAAATCAGGAAAATTTGTTTTCAACTTATGAACAGCCTATGCAATGAACTAGCTTGACCACGCATGTCATGGTAGGGGCGTCATCATATCAATGACCGTGTAGAGTGCCCAGTAGACCTACCTGTAAAGCAGCAAATATATTGGCCAGAGCTTGACCATATGTATCGTGGCAGTGGACGGCAAGATTATTGACCGGAACACTTTTCATCACCTCAGCAAGCATCTTCTTCATTCCCCCAGGCGTGCCAATCCCAATCGTGTCACCGAGGGAAATTTCGTAACAACCCATGTCATACATACTCTTTGATACCTAGAACAACGCATCAAAAAACTTCAATCAATCAAAAATACTTTAACCAATCAAAAATACTTCAACCCATCAAAAAAACTTCAATCAATGAAAAATACTTCAATAACAAATGTTATTCATATTCTTGGATAATTCACACTGAATCATAATTGTGTGCAACAACACATCCTTGAAATTCAAGGGTTCAATTCTCAACATATATATAAATCTTCTCAACACATTTGGAAAATCAAACAATTTACAAAATTGAAGACTCTGTAGGTGTCACCTTGCAAATAATGCAATTAGATTAGTTTGATACTTTGATGTATGTCAAAAGTATTACTGTATACCGCTGCAGTTAAAATATCAACTTTTTTGCCCAACATACATAATAAGGGTGAATTTATCATAACAGCGAATATTAGTAAAGAACATAAAATGCCTAGTAGCTAAATGTAAAGGCAAAATGAACACTGGGCGAATGTGGGTTGTTTTGGCAAAAGTTTTACTGGGCGAAAATTTCCTGGTATACAGTATGTAACAGTGTAACCGTAAAATTGACAGGACCTGAAGGTGGTGGGTGTCATTCCTTTGTGATCTAAGTATCAGCCCAGTGACTGGTCAGGTTTTAATACCTTAAACCAATTTCAAATAGCTTACCGTAGCCTTCAGTTTTGCCGCAACATATTCCAAAGGCACAGAAGCTATGTGTATCGAAAGCTTTGGATTTCAACCACTGTCATACAGCCAATCAGACATGCCGTAACAACTTATGTCATGCATATAATCTTGGAAACCTAAATCAGCCAATCAGACATGCAGTAACAACCCATGTCATGTATATAATCTTGGAAACCTAAATCAGCCAATCAGACATGTCGTAACAACCCATGTCATACATATAATCTTGGATACCTAAACTAGCCAATCAGACAGGTCGTAACAACCCATGTCATACATATAATTTTGGATAACTAAATCAGCCAATCAGACATGTCGTAACAACCCATGTTATACATATAATCTTGGATACCTAAATCAGCCAATCAGACATGTCGAAACAACCCATGTCAAATATATAATTTTGGATAACTAAATCAGCCGATCAGACATGTCATAACAACCCATGTCATACATATAATTTTGGAAACCTAAATCAGCCAATCAGACGTGTCATAACAACCCATGTCATATATATAATTTTGGATAACTAAATCAGCCGATCAGACATGTCATAACAACCCATGTCATACATATAATCTTGGATACCTAAATCAGCCAATCAGACGTGTCATAACAACCCATGTCATACATATAATTTTGGATACCTAAATCAGCCATTCAGACGTGTCGTAACAACCCATGTCATACATATAATTTTGGATACCTAAATCAGCCGATCAGACATGTCGTAACAACCCATGTCAAACATATAATTTTGGATAACTAAATCAGCCAATCAGACATGTCATAACAACCCATGTCATACATATAATCTTGGATACCTAAATCAGCCAATCAGACGTGTCATAACAACCCATGTCATACATATAATTTTGGATACCTAAATCAGCCATTCAGACGTGTCGTAACAACCCATGTCATACATATAATTTTGGATACCTAAATCAGCCGATCAGACATGTCGTAACAACCCATGTCAAACATATAATTTTGGATAACTAAATCAGCCAATCAGACATGTCATAACAACCCATGTCATACATATAATCTTGGATACCTAAATCAGCCAATCAGACGTGTCATAACAACCCATGTCATACATATAATTTTGGATACCTAAATCAGCCATTCAGACGTGTCGTAACAACCCATGTCATACATATAATTTTGGATACCTAAATCAGCCGATCAGACATGTCGTAACAACCCATGTCAAACATATAATTTTGGATAACTAAATCAGCCAATCAGACATGTCATAACAACCCATGTCATACATATAATCTTGGATACCTAAATCAGCCAATCAGACGTGTCATAACAACCCATGTCATATATATAATCTTGTATTAATAAATCAGCCATTCAGACGTGTCGTAACAACCCATGTCATACATATAATTTTGGATACCTAAATCAGCCAATCACATGAATTATTCAGTTGTTTGCATGAAACATCCAAAAACTGAACCATTTTTCAACAATTAAAAGAGGTTTAACCCTACAAAACATACAAGTGATTTACTTGCCATATTTTTGTGTCGTCATTTCCATATTGTGTATTGGTTATTTCAATGTTGTAGTGTAAATTATGGTAAACAATGGGTAAACACTAGCACAAGTATGTAGCATTGATTTGTCAACACCCGGATATCTAGATGCATATATATGTTACTGGGGAAATATTTATGAAATAAACCTAAGAGAGAGAGATGCTTCCCATTAATTTACCTGTGTAAGTGTAGTTTACCTGTGTACGTTTAGTTTACCTGTGTAAGTTTAGTTAACCTGTGTTAGTTTAGTTTACCTGTGTAAGTTTAGTTTACCTGTGTTAGTTTAGTTTACCTGTGTTAGTTTAGTTTACCTGTGTAAGTTTAATTTATCTGGGCTAGCTTGGGTAGTTTATATGTAGTAGTTTGATTATAAACCGTGTTGCATTATATCACCCATACATGTACTCCTTTCCTTTTGCTAGTTAAGTTAACCTGTACTAATTTATTTTAACTGTACAACTTTGTACCTGTACTACATTACTTTACCTCCCCTACTTTGTTTTACCTGAACTACATTACTCTTTACCTCAGCTACTTTTTCAGGGGACACTTCGCCTTCATATGGACATCCCATCACACAGGAAACATACCTGCAATCAACATACAAGTTATCAGGTATTGTTTGACCCAACAGGCCTGCCTGGTCAGATGATCCAGCACATCAAAAATACACTTTATTCACAGTTCTGGTTGTGACCCATTTTTAGGTTACATTTTTTGTGTAAAAAGGAGTTATTGTAACCGTGGTAAAAACTGTATAAACATAGAAACATCTTACAAAAACAAGAAGCTGATTTCAGCCTTAAGGACAGGCCCTGATTTCAGCCTCAAGGACAGACCCTGATTTCAGCCTTAAGGACAGACCCTGATTTCAGCATTAAGGACAGACCCTGATTTCAGCCTCAAGGACAGACCCTGATTTCAGCCTTAAGGACAGACTCTGATTTCAGCCTTAATGACAAACCCTGATTTCAGCCTCAAGGACAGACCCTGATTTCAGCCTCAAGGACAGACCCTGAATTCAGCCTTAAGGACAGACCCTGATTTCAGCATTAAGGACAGACTCTGATTTCAGCCTCAAGGACAGTCCCTGATTTCAGCCTCAAGGACAGACCCTGATTTCAGCCTCAAGGACAGACTCTGACTTCAGCCTCAAGGACAGACTCTGATTTCAGCTTCAAGGACAGACTCTGATTTCAGCCTCAAGGACAGACCCTGATTTCTTTCTGATCCATTTGACTCGGGATGTTAACTATTAGTTGGCTAACGTATAGATGTTTCTTCTGGTGAAAATTTGTTCAGTCGTTCATCTGAAGAAGTTGTTTAAAGAATTTAATTGGTGACAGACATACAACAGACATTAATCTTCAGACCAGGGGAACTTAAAAACAACGCACAGCCTGCTGTAGAGTGAATATGTTTTGAATATAACAGCTGCTAAGCACAAACTGTATTTGTTGTTGTTGTTTATTTGTTAATTACCAATGAAAGTTGACTGAATAACTAGTTACTCAGTAGGAAGTTCATAATGATCATTGCCTGATTTAGATAATGATCATTGCCTGATTTAGATAAAGATCATTGCTTGATCAAGATAAAGATCATTGCCCTATTCAGATAATGATCGGTGCCTGATTCAGTTGCCTGATTTAGATAATGACCATTGCCTGATTTAGATAATGATCATTCCCTGATTTAGATAATGATCATTGCCTGATTTAGATAATGACCATTGCCTGATTATGATAATGATCATTGCTTGATTTAGATAATGATCATTGCTTGATTTAGATAAAGATCATTGCCCGATTAAGATAATGATCATTGCCTGATTCAGTTGCCTGATTTAGATAATGATCATTTCCTGATTTAGATAATGATCGTTGCCTGATTTAGATACTGATCGTTGCCTGATTTAGATAATGATCGTTGCCTGATTTAGGTAATGATCGTTGCCTGATTTAGATAATGACCATTGCCTGATTATGATAATAATCATTGCTTGATTTAGATAATGATCATTGCTTGATTTAGATAAAGATCATTGCCCGATTAAGATAATGATCATTGCCTGGTTCAGTTGCCTGATTTAGATAATGATCATTTCCTGATTTAGATAATGATCGTTGCCTGATTTTGATAATGATCATTGCCTGATTTAGATAATGATCTTTGCCTGATTTAGATAATGATCATTCCCTGATTTAGATAATGATCATTGCCTGATTTAGGTAATGACCATTGCCTGATTATGATAATGATCATTGCTTGATTTAGATATTGATCATTGCTTGATTTAGATAAAGATCATTGCCCGATTAAGATAATGATCATTGCCTGGTTCAGTTGCCTGATTTAGATAATGATCATTGCCTTATTTAGATAATGATCATTGCCTGATTTAGATAATGAGCATTGCCTGATTTAGATAATGATCGTTGCCTGATTTTGATAATGATCATTGCCTGATTTAGATAATGATCATTCCGTGATTTAGATAATGATCATTGCCTGATTTAGGTAATGATCATTCCCTGATTTAGATAATGATCATTGCCTTATTTAGATAATGATCATTGCCTGATTTAGACAAAGATCATTGCTTGATCAAGATAAAGATCATTGCCCTATTCAGATAATGATCGGTGCCTGATTCAGTTGCCTGAATTAGATAATGACCATTGCCTGATTTAGATAATGATCGTTGCCTGATTTTGATAATGATCATTGCCTGATTTAGATAATGACCATTGCCTGATTATGATAATGATCATTGCTTGATTTAGATATTGATCATTGCTTGATTTAGATAAAGATCATTGCCCGATTAAGATAATGATCATTGCCTGGTTCAGTTGCCTGATTTAGATAATGATCATTTCCTGATTTAGATAATGATCGTTGCCTGATTTAGATGATGATCATTGCCTGATTTAGATAATGATCGATGCCTGAATTAGATAATGATCGTTGCCTGATTTAGATACTGATCGTTGCCTGATTTAGATAATGATCGATGCCTGAATTAGATAATGATCGTTGCCTGATTTAGATGATGATCATTGCCTGATTTAGATAATGATCTTTGCCTGATTTAGATAATGATCATTCCCTGATTTAGATAATGATCATTGCCTTATTTAGATAATGATCATTGCCTGATTTAGACAAAGATCATTGCTTGATCAAGATAAAGATCATTGCCCTATTCAGATAATGATCGGTGCCTGATTCAGTTGCCTGAATTAGATAATGACCATTGCCTGATTTAGATAATGATCGTTGCCTGATTTTGATAATGATCATTGCCTGATTTAGATAATGAGCGTTGCCTGATTTAGATAATGATCATTGCATGATTTAGATAATGATCGTTGCCTGATTTAGGTAATGATCGTTGCCTGATTTAGATAATGACCATTGCCTGATTATGATAATAATCATTGCTTGATTTAGATAATGATCATTGCCTGATTTAGGTAATGATCATTCCCTGATTTAGATAATGATCATTGCCTTATTTAGATAATGATCGTTGCCTGATTTAGATACTGATCGTTGCCTGATTTAGATAATGATCGATGCCTGAATTAGATAATGATCGTTGCCTGATTTAGATAATGATCGTTGCCTGATTTAGATAATGATCATTGACTGATTAAGATAATGATCGTTGTCTGATTTATGATAGTTGCTCTCAGGACTCCCATTTTTCTGCACAGTGATTACTATGCTGTATCATGGTCACTGCAAATTGCATGGTACTGGCTCTAGATCTCTGTAACCCATTTTCCTCGCAGCAGAAATATGCAATTGTAAGAGAAAACCCAGTAATGTACCAGTTATACTCACCCCCTTACAGGTATCCTACTTTCCTTAGCTGCCTTCATTACTTCTTCAAATCGCTTCAAGCTATCTGCTATACTGCAATTTATATTTTTCCTGTTGAAAAACAAACAAGAACTTCTACAAAAGGACCTTTCATGAAGTTGCATACATTATCATCAACTGGGTTAGGACTTCTGATCTCATATTATATTATCAAATCAAAATTTATGTAAATCAAAATATCTAAAAGGACACAAAAAACATCAAATAAATTGCTGAACACATCCTTTCTGCAAGTTCAGTTTTTAGAGCAAACATGAACTGAAGTGACTAATAAATCCTAAGGTTCAGGTGTCTGAAATTATTCCTTTATATATAATGCTCAGGATTCCCTTATTCAGAGGCTATCAAGAAAACTTGGCAGGAGGCACCACCCCTGAGGTCCGAGTGTCTGAAACAGATGATGGCACGGAAGCCTGATCACCTTCACTGGAGTTCTATTGTCTATCTCAGTGTAATAAACAACTTATTGTCATTTTTGAAAGGAAACATAAATCTTTGTTACCCTCGATCAGTCATGTTTCACGAGAGTTTGCCCTCGCAAAACCAGGGCTACATTCGCGTATCCCGGTTGAAACGGTACTTGTGGCGCAGAAGTAGTCTACGATAAACGATCGCACTTGGACCGTTCTGTGAGCAAAGCTAAAAATGCACAGTTTTGAAGAATAAAAAACAATGTATCAAGAATATTATGCCCTTCTTTTACGCGTCCACTGAATTAAATTAACGTATCTTAAAAACTACATGTGACTTGACATTATTTTAGAAAGAAAAAACGCAAACTGGCAATAGTCAGCATTTTAGTTTCGGTCAGGTACGTCTGGACCCCTCAATCTACACGTGCCAAATTTTCCTGAGGTCAGCCTCGGTCCAGATCTGTACCTGTCATTTTCTTTACAGGTTCAACCGGATACAGGAATGTACCCTTGATTGATCTGGAGGTAACAAAGAATCATGTTTCCCTTACCATAATGGCAATCAATGTATTATGTTCCTCATAGTAGTAGTAATCACATGGTAAACTGACCTTGTGCTAACTTCAGAGATTATCTGTGTTGAGAGATTATCTGTGTTGAGAGATTATCTGTGTTGAGAGATTATCTGTGTTGAGAGATCCCTTTTAGGATTTCTTGAGGGTGGTCATCCCTTACTATACCCTGTAATATTGCCAACTACCATTCTGTATCATTTTGGCAGTAAAATGAGGGAGGCTATATACTGAGTCGACCATTATGAAAACTACACAGCTAACATGTTATATTAGATCATCCGAACATGATGTGTAATTTTAGGTCATCCTGTAACATAGGCTTAATCTACCCTGTACATTTTATATTTTATATTAATAATTGAAAATAAATTATCATTTAGTCTACCACAGGAAGCACCTTGGTTTATGAACAAACAGATCAGCCTCTCCATTGGTGAAATTCTATATGATTTTTTACAATGTGTATTACACAGATTTTCTGTAACAGCTTCTCAGACAGAAATCAAAATCAAATAGTGATTATCCAGGACAGGTCTAATTTCTACTTCTTCTAATAACATCATCTGGTCTGAACGACAACAACAACAAGAGGGGAAAATCTCATTGACAAGATTTGTGTTAAAACGTCTGGAAAAAAGGTTAACTCTGTGGCTGATAATCAAAGAACACCACAAGTAATCCAGAAATGTTTGCTTTCTGATTTCAGTACTGTTTCTACATACCTGCTGGCTCTCTGATTTCAGTACTGATTCTACATACCGGCTGGCTCTCTGATTTCAGTACTGTTTATACATACCTGCTGGCTCTCTGATTTCAGTACTGATTCTACATACCTGCTGGCTCTCTGATTTCAGTACTGTTTCTACATACCTGCTGGCTCTCTGATTTCAGTACTGTTTCTTCATAACTACTGGCTCTCTGATTTCAGTACTGTTTCTACATACCTGCTGGCTCTCTGATTTCAGTACTGATTCTACATACCTGCTGGCTCTCTGACTTCAGAACTGTTTCTACATACCTGCTGAAGCTTTCTGAAGCTGCTCCAAATATTGCTACTTCTGTCGCTTTTGCACTTACCTGAGAAAAAAAGGAAAATATTTCAAACTTGTGCAACATATATACCAGGTAGTTTCTGTTATAGGTGTAAAATACTTGACAACAAAACACAAACTTTATTCACAAAATCATCATTACAGTAAAGTCTTAATCTAAATCATAAATGGAAACTTTCTTGATTTTAGAACAATTATGAAACAACAAGGTTTTTTTTCAACTTTTATTAATCACTCTTGTTGGGCAGGATAGAAGCAAGCATATGACCTTAATGTTGGAGGAAACACACTGAATTTACAAAAAATCTACCTTAGTTCAGATCTGTATTGATCATTTCTTTTCAGATTTAACCCTCTCACCACTGTAGACCATAATAGACTTAGCCAGATCAATGCATGGCAACATCTATTAAAGTTACATAGGGGTGAAAGGGTTGATCAGTTGAAAAGGTTTGAACGGATAAAAGAAAAGGGCCCAGGTACTTACTGCCTTTTGGAAGCCTTGCAGATTGGGGGTGAGAGCAGCGTAGGAAATGTTTGGGTAATGTTTGATTCCCTCCAGGACTTCCGTATGATCTGCCATCTTGAGAAAAAAAAGGTGGAAAGGTTTGAAATTTTATTTTTCAAAACTGATGTCAGGTTTTTTTTCTTTTGAAAAACAAAGCATTTTATGTCATTTTGAGGCTTTTATTTAAGCATACTCGCAAACTGTTTGAAACTTCCATGGCAGAGATTACGCATGCTCACTTTAAAAAATATCACTTTAAAAAGACAACTTTAATTTTGAGCTATTCTTTCAGATGAAATCATTAGATTTTAGAAAATAGGAACTCACTGGTTGAAAATGCTCAATTTAGGGTTCAAATAGGGAGAGCTAGCAAGTACGACATGTGATTTAAGAAATTCAAATGTTTTGTCCTGCTTAATAATCCAAGACTGACGCACACTTTGTGAGAAGTTTGATTTCTGAAACAAACTTTAAGGGCTGGTGATATTGAAGAAATTCTGGAAGTCACATAACTACAAAACATATATACAAAACACCAACGTGGGGGAAATACTAGCCAATTGTTCTCAGCAGACACTCGTCCTCAACATTAAGCAAAACCCTCTTATAATGCTAAATACTTTTGGAAAAACTGGAGGAAATATAAGGAGGTTTTAGTTTTGGGAGACGCAGTAGTCTAGTGGTAGGACGCCGGACTCTGCTTGTTCCAGTCTACTCAGCTGTAAATGAGTATGGAGTTTGGCAGTGCTAGAATTGTAGAATGCTAGCTTTGAGCGCCGAAATGACAGCACCGGCTGTATGCTCCCAAGGAAGTTGAGAAAGATGTTCGCTGGCTGCTAAGGCCCTATAACCACAGATAATAATTTGTAAACTGCTTTGAGACGACCTACAAACTAGGTTGTGATAAAGCGGTATATAAGAACCTTGAATTATTATAATTAGTATATGTTTAGAGCTGTATAAAATGTCCGTACCTGTGGTACCCATTTCGGAGATACAAAACTTGTCACTTCAATCACAGGCAGCCCGGCCTCTGACAACAAGTCTATGAATTTGATTTTCGTTTCTGTCGGCACCATAATCTAAAATTTGAAACACCAGAAGTAATGCACATGACAGTATAACATATTTATATATAGTTTACCTTGTTATAAACATGCATGTGATATAAACCCTTGGGTGTCAAACAGAACTATCATACAATAATCTGTACATTATCACACAGATTGTGATTTTCTTGGTTACAGTAGTAATTTATTCAATGTTATATTCTTATCAAACTGATGATATTTGATCCAACAAGAGTGAGATTGGAATGTTTTGGAGTCATAAATTGAAATGTGACATCACAGATTGATTTCTTTGTCTTGTTTATATACTATTATGATGATACATGAGTTTTTCAGACAATGTGACATGGAACTTTCTTATCCACATGATGTGTATGAAAGGAATATTACAGCACATTATTCTAAAAGAACTCTACAGTTTGGCTAAAGCTGTTCTGTTGTTACCTAGTGATGAATTTGCTGAACAAGAATGAGCTTGAATATCTTGCAGCCATCGGATGCTACATGTATCATGATGTAATTTTCAACTAACGATATCACTTTACCTGCCATTATTGTTTAGGTCAGTTTTTCGGGACATAAATTAAAATTGAATCTATGTATGTATCTATGTATGTATATATCCATATGACAAACTAACAACATTAATACATGAAGCTGATTTAGTAGATGCCAAAAGAAAAAGTTTTAAATACATTATAGCTGTGTGTAAGTATAGCTATCAGGTATATAGAAACATATACCAACCTTTTCATTCTGTAGTCCATCTCGGGGGCCAACCTCTACGACTTTCACGAATGACGGGAATCCTGCAAACTAAAATAAAGCAAACAATTGTTTATGAGAAGACACAAAGGCAGCAGATGTTTTCAAATTAAGTGAAGTAAAACAATAACATATTGTAAAGTTTTAAGCATGGACTTAACATATATATCTGGGCTGGTACCGTCGAGGAATGGGTGAAAATGTTAGCAAATGGTTTACGCTCTCATTTCAAAACAAATATCTAATTATTAAGTGGAAACCCTTTCTTCTTAAAAGGTGTTATACATCTACATATTTTCTGCAGATTACTAACTTGTGATTCTCTTACTGGATAATGTATATAAGTGAAAGTAAATTTTATGAAAAACGAAGGTAGATTTGTTGAACTTTGTAAACTGACATTTAAGACAAATTTCTCATAACAAATTATAAATGACTTGACATGCTTGAGCATTAATTAAAGATATTTTTTCATTTTAAAAAGTGAAACAATATGAGATGTGTTCATTAGATTTAGAAAACATTACCAAGCACATGACGTATAAAATCATCAGACCAATTATTAGTAATGATTCTGAAACATCAACTGATTCTCAACACTAACTCCATCAGTGGAGTTTCACAAAATTGGCTTATAAGTGGTGCAAAGAGTCGTCCAAACGAGAATTTACCTACATTTAAATTAGGGCTGCGACAATACGCATATATCACAATACGATACATATCGCGGTAAGATGCTTACGATACGATACGTATCGTGATACAAATTTCTGCTTAAAAGGTCAACTTCATATAATGATTGAGTGCAGGATTTTATTGAGTTTTTTATAGACTTCAATAGTAAATAATATAGAAATATATTTTTGTATAATTTCTAGTAATTCCGGGTATGATTGCACAGTGGACCACAGCTTAACTGATGGATTCAATAAATATAAGTAAACTTTTTTAGAGTTTGATAGAAATTAATTGATAATTTAAGTACTGTTAGTGTATCGCGATACAAGCAATCAAACAATTTGATATGATACACAAGAAAGTCTCATGATACAATACAACATAATATATTGTTGTAGCCCTAATTTAAATCAGGCTTTTTGATCTTGATTACCTTGTAAAAAATGATATTTCTGGTAACTGTTTACAACCAGTTATCAGGTAAATCCTTTTAGTTAAAACACAAAAGAAATGTTAATTTATACTATTTTTTTTCTGCTCAAGTACAAGCCCTCCCGTTCCATTATGTTATAACTGGAAGTCCTGTAGGTGAAGTTTTACTGCACGGAACTTTTGCACATCTTTGCATGCATATTCGTACAGAAATTTCATATTTCAGAACTCTTTCGACAGGCAGATGCTATCGGATAGACACAAAATTAGGGAGGGGGCTAAATTGTAGGCACCCACCCTGTTCCAAGGATTTTTGCCAAAGTGGGAAGGGGGCTTATTTGCGAGAGGGGGCTTATTTGCGGTCAAATAGGGTAGTTGCATACAGCAAGTTTTTGGCTGTTTCTGAATATGTATTTATGTATGCCACACCTCCTCGCTGTCTGCTTACGAAAATCATGTGACAGCTGTCACATGGTTACATCGGTCTGGTTGTTTTAGAAATTTGTATCGAAACCTTTTGGTTTAGGTAAAATTAACCCTTTCACCCCTAGGTAACTTTAGTAGACTCTACCATACATTTTTCTAGGTGAGTCCATTATGGTCTACAGTGTTGAAAGGGTTAAAGATTTAATAGTGTTGGTAAACAATGTGAAGCACATTGATTTTTGCTGAAATTTGTTTGTTCGAAGATTTCCATCTCAACGACTTAAGTGGCCAATCAACGCTACAGCTCATTTATTAAATATTAGTGTGGCAGATTTTAATTGTACATCATGGTCGCCTTCTAGTTTTGTGTTAGAAGGAATTTCCCTTTGTCTCAGTGGTAGAGCATCCAACTTGGAACCTAGAGATCGCAGGTTCAGCTCATGATGAAGAACACTGTTTTCTTTCCTTTTACAAATGGTTCTGTTGCCGTCTGTGTGGTGACAGGGAGTTAGAACCACGCTTGGTGTGGTGTTTTACCCGATTTACATGATCCTCGGTCTGTTGTAACACAGGCCCTTGTATCTGGTATTAAATACCTCAGCTATTTGGATTTTAGCTCAGGTATTAAATACCAGATGCATATATGTAAGTAGTGGATTTTGGATTTTAGCTCAGTTATTAAATACCAGATACGTATACAAGTGCCTGTGGTTGTAAGCACTTGTTGCTTCTTGACCACCTATTTCATATTCACACTTTAACTCTGTTACTGATTGTGCATGCATGGCAATTGTCATACAATACATATTAAAAGCTTCATTGTCCTATCTCAGGTTATTTGCTTCCTGTGTACACCTACAAGTAGATATGACGAACACATTTAAAAAGGGGAGGGGGAGTACTGTGGCAGATATTAATTGTATATAGTTTTTGGATTACGATTGTCTCCTAGCTTTGCGCTAGAGGAAATTTCACTTGCCCTCAGTGGCATAGCGTCCGACTAGGAACCTAGGGATCACGGGTTCGATTCCCGGTTTCCAAACAGTAACAATTAACTTTCAACTGGGCAACATCGCCGACAACGAGCAAAACAAGTATAGACAACATAAATTCGTGAATTGTAACAAAGACATATTCTTACAGCAGCATGTGAACAATTTCTCGAGACCTTCTCTCGTGATATTTTTGCAAATATTTGAACAAATCGGTGCAAAGTGAAAGTCAGCGAGGCCATTTTTACCGGAAGTAAACAATCGCCCGTAATCGAGTGCTTTCTTTGAAGAAAAATGCTTTTATTTTAAAATAATATATCAACAGATATAATGAAATCAATATTTTTAACAATTGTTTTTCAACATTTAATTTCATTTTCTATGCAGCAATATGGGAAAATTTCATTTCGTTTCAGAAACTATTTTTCTGCGGTCCTATACTATGGCAGCCTCCATGTGCCACGTTGAAATATCGTGATAAAAGTTAAGACTTTATTCTCTATTTGAAGGTGCTATACAGTCCGAATTTTGATCCAGCTAGTTCAAAAGGTATACAATATTTTATCTTAAAATGTATTCGAAGGTGATAGATATGATTTTTGAACGAAAATTTAGGTGAAACTTGACCGCCCTTTGGACCGGTCGGCTCGGGTGGAACTTTCAATTCCTTTTCAGTCTTTAGAACTGATTATTTTATTGGCAAGAAGCCATTTATAATTATTTGTGTACATTTTTCACTGCACACTTATATTAATTCTGCATTTATACGATGTAGGAATGTGCTGGTATTTGTTTGCAAATACCCCTTCCTCTAGAAAATATTTCAGAACTCTTTCGACAGGCGGATGTTTTGAAACGACGTTTTCTGCACGTGATCTCCATGGAAACGTCCAACTGAGCAGAAGCTGCATTCGAAAGACAAACATTTAGAATAAGTTTATTTCTATTGTTCTGTAAGTCATATAATATGTATTTATTTCAACAAACATCATGCATTTAAGTGCATTGAAATATTTTCCTTTATCGTTATTTTCACTTTGATCAATATAGTTGCAGGTTTCAATGAGATGTACAAAAAGTGCTGCAGTTTTTGACATGTTTTCTCTAGATTTGTTTTCTTCATATGTTCAATATTTACTTAAGCCATTACTGAACTTATATTTTAAACTGACACTTTTTTCTACTTTCTTAACACAAGTAGCTATATATAGGCATACAGTCATGGCACTCACCCTGGGTAGACTTTGCTCAGTATTGAGCTAATTTCCAGTACAAATACAGATACAGTCATCATGTGATGCCAAATAGGTCAATAGTAAATTAGATATAATGAACATTATTCAATATTGGACATGTACAGTACAGCAGTATCAGCTCAGGTAACGTTACTTAGTTGTACCAGTTGTATTCATGAAACCGTTTCATGCTCAAGCATGAATTCTGTGCTCAAACTAACTTTCTTGTAACTCGCTTAAATCATGCCAAACAATCAAAAAGTCAAATGTAAACATTGAAAACAGTTTTTGGCTTTAAGTGTCTTCAATGTTTTTCCAAATCATTGACAAAATTAGGCATTTTTATTAATTTATAACGGGAACAAGAAATTTGGCTTGAGCACAAAATCCATGCTTGAGCATGACAATGATTTCATTAATACAAGCCCAGGTCCTATGCGATGATGGACAACCTAAGGCAGAGAGGAATTTCCACCTTGGACGTAATTCATACACCAAATTCATGCAGTTTATGTGACTGCATTATTGTTTTGTCTGTGGAGAAACATATTTAATTATGTACTAGAACAGTTTCTAGATTATTTTTTATGTAATTTTTGGTTTTGTCTACATAAATATGTTCATTTATTTGACTGGACCTTGAAACAGGAAGCAATTTGTGTATCAACCACTTGCAATATAAAATCAATGATGCTCTATTACCCAGTGAGACAAGACCTATCTGTCACATATATCCTTCTTATCCATATACACATTTATGGCAATGCAAAACCAAACATTGAAGATGTATTGCTGCGCATACAGATATTATAAAGTCATCAGCCCAAATCATGTTTACAGCATGTTACTTCAGGTTCACAAAATAATTTAGTAGATTTATCTGATGAAGATTTGCATATCATGTGTTTGAAAATAGGATTTGATGCCTAAGGCGGCAGTACCCAAATCGGATCACTTTTTGCAAAAATACTTTTAAATAAATAAATGTGTCAACAAATCAGTTATAACAATGATGTAGTCTTAGAATAGATAGCTATGCACCATTTTTTGACTACAGATAATTAGTTTTAAGGTTCAAATAGCGCAAGAAAACTTAATTCCAACTCAAATGTCAATGTTTTGATTATGGTTTTTAAAAAAAATGGCACGTGCAACGACTATGCACCCTGTTTTGGACTATAGGAATAAATTCACACTATAGAAATACTTTTTGTCATATAAGGTCTAAAGGTCATCATAATATGTTCATATGCTGACAAAAAATAAAATAAAAAATAAAATATAAAACCTGCAATGTGATTACCAAATAACTTCCAGTAGCTGTTTTTACAGTAAAATGTATAGCAACAAATAAACACATCAATTTGCAAAGGTTTTTTTTATTTATGTATTTTGAACACTCCTTCATGGATGGTAATACCTTGAATGTTGCTTATACAACGACAGGAAACTTGTTTAAACATGCTTTTTAATCCATTTGGGAAAATAAATGGGTCCCTGTTACCGGACCCTATAAAGACATGGCAAAACCCCTGATTTTAGTATTATCTATCTAAAGGACTAAAGGTGTTAAGGGTTTTTCCAGCCTCATCGAGGATTTAGAATAAGTAAGTTGTTATATTAGTAATATGGAATAGATGAAGTAATTATAAGCAAATATGAAATTTCAAATTCATTCGACAACTGGTCTAGGAGAAACGGCATTTCCAAGAGAGACATAAACCTGCATTTTCATAATACAGTGTGTGAATATATCTTCTGTTGTGTGCTATGTACAACGAATTTGGTTGAAAAATTGGCCCTTTTGAAGAAAATTTTAAACACTCTTCAATTTTTGAAAGCCTCTGCATGCTAACTGTCTAAAACACCATATTTGGGCTATTTCTGCATATCAATGGAATTTTGTTGCTTTGGTTTTGCATTTATGCAGGCATATTGAAAAAGTCTGTACCAAGAAATTGGCCCCGAATATATGATGTTTTAAACAGAAATTAGTAAATAAACTCTGGTTGAATTTTTTACTTTTTATGATGCCAAAAATGACCCATACTGGTAATTCCCCAAATCCTTTTAATAAACAACTTGTCGAAAAATTCCCAGACAAATTTGAACTCCTCTTTGTTGGATATATACAATACAGAACACTTGGATATTCTACCTTAAAATGCAAAAAATAAATATTTTCATAGAATGTATTTAACAGATCAACATTAGATCCTAGCTACCACAACTGAATTGACAGTGATTTTTTACCAACTTTTGCCTACTTTACACCATTGTGTAAACATATAAAGGTCCTGATGAAGCCTCAACTTTAGAGGCGAAACTAATCGGCCAAATAAACTTTAAAATCCACTTATTGGTGACGCTTGTGTATGTTGTGATTATATCCATTTTTAGGTCACCTGAGCTTTAGCTCAAGTGACCTATTGCTATCCGTTTTCGTCCGTCGTCCGTCGTCCGTTAACATTTTACATTTCAAACTTAAAGTCAAGTTCTGCTGGGCCGATTGAACTGAAAGTTGATAGGAATGATCGCCTCATGGTCCTGACAAAGTGTTGTTATTTTTCGGGTCGATCAGAAATCCAATATGGCCGCCACGGCCGCCATTTTGAAAACCTATTTCAAACTTAAAGTCAAGTTCTGCTGGACCGATTGAACTGAAAGTTGGTAGGAATGATCGCCTCATGGTCCTGACAAAGTGTTGTTATTTTTCGGGTCGATCAGAAATCCAATATGGCCGCCACGGCCGCCATTTTGAAAACCTATTTCAAACTTAAAGTCAAGTTCTGCTGGACCGATTGAACTGAAAGTTGGTAGGAATGATCGCCTCATGGTCCTGACAAAGTGTTGTTATTTTTCGGGTCAATCAGAAATACAATTTGGCTGCCATGGCCGCTATTTTGCTACTAAGTTCTAATAGGCCGATCTCACTTAAAATTGGTCTAGGAATGATCAGCTCATGGTCCTGACAAAGTTAAGTTAACATTATACTATTTTTTACTCAAATTGGTACATATTTCAACAACAAAAATAAATACTATAGACTCAGGTGACCGTTAAGGCCCATGGGCCTCTTGTCTTTTATATGTGCCTGTATTCTGTAATCGCCCTGCTGCATACCTTTTGGTATCCATATACTCAACGCGAGAAGAGCCTCACTGACCTACACCTGACGTTGGCTCTATTATATATACTTTACTTGTGTAAACATGTTTTGATGAAGGTGATGGAATACATGTTGTACCAGTGGTAATTGAAACAACATGCATAAACACTTACTAGGTGTGCTTTGTGAACCGGTATACTAACAGTACTGTATAGTTGTAGATTGGAGTTGAGGCTATTCAGCTTTACTATAAATTGGATCTTTTATTCAGAAACAATTCCTCGAGTCTGATGAGAGAGAGAAAAGTTCCAGAATGGCAGATCAAACATCATTTATTAACTTTGCACAAAAGATGAAAGCAAACAGAAGAGAAGTAACCTATGAAGTCTGTTTTCTTATCGTGCCGTGACGACGGCCTGTTTAGCAGGCCGAAACATGTGAACAACCAGGCAAACATATATACCCAGTGGAAATTAAACCGGCTTCAAAAGTTGCTACTAATCTCTTCTTCTTTTTTTAATTTTCTAATTATGTTTAAGGGGGTTCTGTGTACGTACACAATAAAGTCCCTTCCTGAAACCAAGAAGTTAAACTATAACATACATACCCTGGTGTGGACTAACTGGATGTTGGGTCTTTAGGATCTTACAAAACTTGGTTTTTGCACAAAAAAATGTCATTATAGTCATCTGTTCTCCAGCTAATTGAGTGCAGACACAGTTATTATAGGAGAGCTGCACTGTTCAGGTGAAAGAGTCGAGACAAACACTGGCCTGGGTACCTAAAAGGAACAAGTACCCGAAGAAAGAGAATAGACATTCAAAACTTTCTAAAGTTCTATATTATATACCTACCATTAATTGGATGAGAATTTACAGGTTTTTCTTTATGTTTTCAGATAAGCAAGTATGTCAGAATCAAGAACACCAGCGGAGTCCGTGAAGGAGATGGGTTCTGAAGGTCAGTAGATGTTCTAAATACAGCTAGTGGCGTGTTGCGGAGATTGGAGTTTCATTTGCTAATATTAGGAGAATATGGGGTTTCTCAATCAAATTCAGGGGTAGAAATTCGAATTAACTTTCAATATGTTGCAAGTGGGCTAAAGCAGCTTTTGTTATCAGAATAGTGAATACTACTAGCAAAGAATTTGGCGTAGAGACAGGATATTTAAAGAGAAGGGTCAGAGGATATTTAAAGAGAAAGTGTCGGAGGACATGTAAAGAGAAAGTGTCGGAGGATATTTAAAGAGAAAGTAACGGAGGATATTTAAAGAGAAAGTGTCAGAGGATATTTAAAGAGAAAGTGTCGGAGGACATGTAAAGAGAAAGTGTCGGAGGATATTTAAAGAGAAAGTAACGGAGGATATTTAAAGAGAAAGTGTCAGAGGATATTTAAAGAGAAAGTGTCAAAATATTTAAAGAGAAAGTGCGGAGAATATTTAAAGAGAAAGTGTCAGAGGATATTTAAAGAGAAAGTGTCGGAGGACATGTAAAGAGAAAGTGTCGTGGATATTTAAAGAGAAAGTAACGGAGGATATTTAAAGAGAAAGTGTCGGAGGATATTTAAAGAGAAAGTGTCAAAATATTTAAAGAGAAAGTGTCGGAGAATATTAAAAGAGAAAGTGTCGGAGGATATTTAATGACTTCCTGTTGAATACTGTACATTGTATATATTTTACAAGTATGGCAGAATATCAATATTTTTCACAATGGTCAGTTGGAATCAATATTTCTCATGAGTGCTGGAATTAGTAGACTTAAGTGTAACATTTGAGGCCAGGTTCATGTGGCATCACATGTACACTCGACAACAATGCCATGCATAAATTTGAATTGGTTACTCATCCCAACTCTACAAATTAAATTGCTTCTTTTATCGGGTATAATTTCTGAACGAAAATTGATCAATTGTGTATTGCGTGACACTATGCAGCAAACAAGTACCAAAAGTCCAAAACAACCATTTATTCTTGTGTACTGTCGATCCATCCATTGAAAAGGAAACTCCATCTTTATATGCAGTGAATAGAAAGTACTGTTCTGATTGGTCAGTGCTGAAATAATATCGTCACGTGTGGAGATATGACATTTAATATATATATATTCACTGCAGTGAAAATATTTGTTTTATCAAAACAAATTGTGAATTTCTGATACCACACTGGTGAAAAATGTTATTAATATAGAAAAGAAACCAGGAGATTGTGAGCAGCTCCCTAGCACTTCAATGTAGGTTCATCAGGAGATGCATTTATTTTGATACAATCGCAATAACAGGACAATAACACACTATAGAAAAGTATGGTGCCATGATACATTTTGTTGTCATCACAATACAACCTTTCAAAAAAATAACATGTATATATATATATATATATACCAGTGCTCCAGATAACTTTTGAACATGTGGGGTTTTTCACCCCTACCTCTCCAAAGTGTTGGGGTGAAAACTTAAATTTTAAACCATGAAGTGCTGTAAAAGCAACGTTACCTGAAAATGTTGAAATAAGATGAATAATTTACATGTGTTATTCTTATAGTATACTGTTAAGAATGACTCAAATTCATATTTTTGTGTTGTCTTGACATGTGGTATTATTTTTCCATTTCACTGTGATTGTGTTTAAATGTTTAAACCCAAAACTCAATGAGTTGCATATTTTCTTCGTTTGAATAGTACACATATCCTTCTTCGTTTTTTATCATTCCATATTCGAACAGTCCTTCTTGGCTCAAAGTCAGTTCAGGTCCTAACATTTTGATTTTCATCAATGTATTGACAGTTGCTGCTTTGAGAGAGCATCTGAATCGTGACTTCGGGCGGTTTTGCACACTGAATGATCGTTCACATTCTACTGATGTTATACATGAGGTTAATGCAATTTGTGCTGAAACAGAAAAGTTTGGAATCATTTCTGAATGAAGTAAAACTACCCGCCGATTGTTGACATTTTGATAGCGCCATAATTTAATTCTCTCTAGTGTTAGCGTTTGTAACAGGAGGCATTGATTTGCATTGATATGCAAGCGTCTCGGTGACACACTGTAAGCGTATTATAATATGCTAAATTGGACCCGGAGACTGACGCAATGTTCCGGATTTCGCTTGCGTGAATTAAGCAAGTTCATTTTTTCTTTTGCGTAATTTGTGAAATATCGTGCGTGAATACGCATTCACGCAAGCTATCTGGAGCACTGTATACAATATAATATCAAGAAAGTTTGGTGTATGTGTTTACTGGTACTGACCAATAGATCTAGTAGATCCATAAAAGCTACGTTTGTTTTGAACACAAACAGGAATTGATAACTTATTTTACGAGCTTTTGAACATGTCTGTTTCCTTTGTCAAGCAAAGAGTGTAGATCACTAAATGACCAGTGTTTCGACTTTTAACCATTGAAAACAACTCGCAAAGTCACAGTTACCAAATAAGTCAATTTTGATAAGCAAAGATTGTAAATGACCAGCGTCTTGACTGACTAAACCACTAAAAACAACTCACTAGGCCACAGTGTACGAAATCTGTTTATTTTGTTGAGCGAAGCATGTAAATGACCAGCATCTCTACTGATCACTCAACCACTGAAAACAACTTACTAAGCCACAGTATGCGGAATCTGCTGTCAAAGATCTAGAACCAGCTGTGGTTGTAGTCTTCCTGTAGGTACTATATCTATATAGCTACCCTGCATATCATTTCATAACCTTTTTTTTCAAATTGGGACATATATACTTATAGGATAGATGGGATTCAGGTTTTTGAGGCCTTTTATAATTATAATATAAAAATGTAGCTTACAATGACTGTTGGAACACAAGGGACTTACTACAATGAACTGTTTACAGAGATTACGAAGCAGTCCATTCGCAAAGCAGTCTGGGATTACCTGGAGCATAACAACCTGGTGAATTTCCCACGTCCAGTTTACAACAGGATTCCTAACTTCAAGGTATGTCACCTCACTAAAAAGTCGACTTGTTCAGTGTGTGCATGGGTCCATGTGTCCAAAGTAAACCGCTATCTTGTGAACCCCCTCAACATCAGGTTCTTTCTAATTACTTGATTGGATTTTAGAGGTCATTGGTTAAGGTTGAATGGTAAAAAGTTATACTCCACGACTTTGCGGGAGCTGGGCATTGGGGTAATATCTGTGTGAGTGCCCGCTGAAAAAATAATGATTTTGAAATAGTTGGGAGAATTTATCATAACTTCTGTATGTTGTCAAAATGCTTCTTATTGATCAGGGCCCATGTTCATGAACTATTCTCATGCTCAAGCATGGATTTTGTGCTCAAACCAACTTATTTGTAACTCACTTGAAATCATTTCATGCAATCAAACGTCAAATCTGAACATCGAGAACAGTATTTGGCTATAAGTCTCTTCATTTTTTTTTTACGAATCATTTACAAAATAACATTTTATTATTAATCCATATACTAAATATAAAAATTAGGTTTGAGCACAAAATTCATGCTTGAGCATAAGAACGGTTTCATGAAAACAGGGCCAGATGTTTTCATCTTATACTCAGGGTTATAACTTGACAATGGAAGATTATTTTTGAGTATCCCTGCCATCCCGATAACTAATCTTAAATTTGCACAGGAATTGATAATTCATATCTGAAAAGAAAACCTTACCTTGCAGCACTTTTTATAAAAAGTCAATAATAGAAATGAAGTAAAAAATGTAAAAATGCAATTGAGCAAGACTAGCATTGGAACCACATACCTTGCAATTGTTATACTGTATCACCCTAACTGCTACCTGGTCAACATCAGCTACCTAACCAGTCATATACCTGGTACATCCAAAATCAAATTAAGGAGAGGTTACCTTATGAACAAAAAGCTACAGTAGAATTCTCTATTGTTTTGCCTGTGATTGGACATGTATCTTTATAATGCTCTCTTTCATACAAAAATGTAATCGTTAATTTCTATCATGACAAAGTGGTGTTACTCATTCGCACAAAATCATGCAGAAGAATAAAGAACGACATTCTCTACCTCATTGATCAGTGTTGATTTGTCTGTCTTTTAACAGGGAGCTGCTAATGCCGCTGAGAAGGTGCCAACCATGGACGAATTCAAATCAGCGAATGTCGTGAAAGTGAACCCCGATAAACCTCAGGAAAATGTGCGCTTCCTGACTCTGGAGGTAGGTTCAGTTTAAACCTTACTGTTCATTAATCTGGGGGTAGGTTTGGTTTAGACCTTTACACCATTCCTGAATCTGGAGGTAGGTTTGGCTTAAACTGTCTCTTGACTTTTGAGGTAGGTGAGGTTTTGTCAAAACTGTTCCTGAATCAGGAGGTAGGTCCTGTTTAGGTTTGACTGTTTTCTGAATCAGGAGGTAGGTCCTGTTTAGGTTTGACTGTTTCCTGAATCAAGAGGTAGGTCCTGTTTAGGTTTGACTGTTTTCTGAATCAGGAGGTAGGTCCTGTTTAGGTTTGATTGTTTTCTGAATCAGGAGGTAGGTAGGCCTGTTTAGGTTTGACTGTTTTCTGAATCAGGAGGTAGGTAGGTCCTGTTTAGGTTTGACTGTTTTCTGAATCAGGAGGTAGGTAGGTCCTGTTTAGGTTTGACTGTTTTCTGAATCAGGAGGTAGGTCGGTCCTGTTTAGGTTTGACTGTTTTCTGAATCAGGAGGTAGGTAGGTCCTGTTTAGGTTTGACTGTTTTCTGAATCAGGAGGTAGGTCGGTCCTGTTTAGGTTTGACTGTTTTCTGAATCAGGAGGTAGGTAGGTCCTGTTTAGGTTTGACTGTTTTCTGAATCAGGAGGTAGGTCCTGTTTAGGTTTGACTGTTTTCTGAATCAGGAGGTAGGTCCTGTTTAGGTTTGACTGTTTTCTGAATCAGGAGGTAGGTAGGTCCTGTTTAGGTTTGACTGTTTTCTGAATCAGGAGGTAGGTCCTGTTTAGGTTTGACTGTTTTCTGAATCAGGAGGTAGGTAGGCCTGTTTAGGTTAGACTGTTTTCTGAATCAGGAGGTAGGTAGGTCCTGTTTAGGTTTGACTGTTTTCTGAATCAGGAGGTAGGTAGGTCCTGTTTAGGTTTGACTGTTTTCTGAATCAGGAGGTAGGTAGGTCCTGTTTAGGTTTGACTGTTTTCTGAATCAGGAGGTAGGTAGGTCCTGTTTAGGTTTGACTGTTTTCTGAATCAGGAGGTAGGTAGGTCCTGTTTAGGTTTGACTGTTTTCTGAATCAGGAGGTAGGTAGGTCCTGTTTAGGTTTGACTGTTTTCTGAATCAGGAGGTAGGTCCTGTTTAGGTTTGACTGTTTTCTGGAGCAGGAATGTGTGCAGTTTAGCAACACTGTTCTTTACTTTAGTCCAGTTGATGAAAAAATAGTTTTGTGAAAAATGTAAAAGTTTAAAAATGATAAATGTTTATGTGATAGTGATAGAAATGTACATAAGTATTCTTCTGTCAACTATGTTGATTATATATATGCAGTTAGATTCAAATATTGTGTTCCCTATTTTTATAGACTTTTTTCCCCAAAATTTACACATTTTTTTCCCCTTAAAGATACGCAATATTATTTAATACTATACTTAATTACAAAACGAAGTTAAGAAATTCCTATATTCTTTACAAGAAATGAGGAGAAGAAAAGGAGGAGATGAGTTTTAGTTTGAATCATTTTCAAAATCATTGCAGGACACTGTCAGTAAATATTCGACAGGGAATCCTCTGGATCTGAACCCCAGATGGTCAAATTAGGCAATTGGGATTGTATGTAGGAGTGGCCTGGAAATGATGACTCTAAGATAAAGAAATATATAAGGGGGTACACTTGAAAAATACCTTACCGTAGCACCTGTATTTATTACCAGGCAAACAAGACCCTGCTAGTGCCAACCCCACGTCTGAGGACTGGCCTCTTCAACAAGATCGTGGTCCCAGAGGACGCTGGCAAGGACATGCTGAGGATCTGTTCCACAACTCAGGTATGACCTACACCAACTTGTAAAGGCTCTGTCCAGCACACACACATATATGTGGATGTTAGGGTCAAAAACATGTGACATTTGCACAATAGGCTTAAGGAAAAAATAACTTCGGGGTTGTAGGAAAGGGTTGTGGCAAAAACATGTCTTTCGTCCCCACCCCCGTCATATGCTTACATGTATTTATAAATAAATCCTCTTAATCTGGAGAATCTAAACTGGATATTCCCAAATTCCTTCAAAATTTCCCCACTTTGAATGATTAACATTACATTATTGCAATTTGGGGGGAGGGGGGGGGGATGGTTAAAAACTTTAAAAGAAATAGGGCGAACAGAAATGTAAAATTCTACTAGGCTGATGCCTAGTGCTAGTGAGCATTTTTTGATATAATTTCACTTTGTTTTCTCAATCTTCAAAACGAAGAATCAAAGAACATTGAAATCTTGTTGATCATGACGTAAGTTAAATGTAAAACTCAAGAATGTGCAAGTTTCTCAACGAAATTGATTTTTATGTTGGAAAAATTGTCTAGATAAACATAACCGGGACAATGTCTCTGTTAGAAAACAATTGCATATTACCCAGTCAAATATTTCCTTAAATACATAAAATGGATTGTGGTGAATGTTTAAGATGTTTTATGTTGTATATCATAGGGAGTGAGGGAACACAGCGAGCCGATTGGTCTGGACGACAAAATCAAGGTTGACCTCATCATCATTGGATCAGTGGCTGTGTCCAAGGATGGTAAGTACTGGTTTTACTCCCATACAGGACTGATACAAATAACAGTGCCCCGCCTTTGTATATGTACCTTAGGCCAAAACAAAAATATAGTCTGTTTAGGGTTGCATGGGCAAAAAAACTAGGGTAGGTAGGTCGGATTTTTTTGTGTGTATATTTTTGGTCATGTGATTATGACCCTACTATTGTATGTAAAACAAAGAATTACATAAACAAGGTTCATTTGGAGACAAATTGTGCTCCATATGATGACATTTAGCGCTAACACGGACCTGGAAGCCATTTTGAAAGGCAAGGAACCTTCTAAAATTGGAAAATCAGTGGGGTTGTTATTTTTTTTCATCAAAAAGTTTTGGGTCGGGGGTAAAAAGCTAGGGTCGGTCGGGAACCCTAAACAGACACCTTTTTTTTTTTGGCCTTATATAGAACTGCTTCAAATGACCATCACATTGGTTTGATAGAGGAGCCTTTTATGGATCTTCCTTGTAAAGTTTAAGTTCATTTATAACTAGGAAATACAGAAAATGTACATTTTCATTTGTTTGGGAGTTTTTCTTGAAAAAATGGGGGGAAAAGGGATTCGTTTTCAACTGGATAAGATGGGAATAGGTTCTCTTAACAAACATAAACCAGAGCTTGATTAGCCTGTAATAACTATAGAAACAAATACAAATAGACAGTGACCTGTTTATTTCTGGAACACAATGAAGTGACAGTTAACATTTACCATAAAACTCAGCATGAAATTCGCTTTATCTTTTTCAGGTTACCGTATTGGTAAGGGGGAGGGTTTTGGAGACTTGGAGTATGCCATGATGAAAAGCATGGGTGCCATTGACGACAGCACTATTGTCATCTCGACAGTCCATGACTGTCAGGTACTCGACATCCCCGAGTCGCTGATGACCCCCCACGATGTTCAGGTTAACTACATAGTCACGCCAACTGAGATTATCAAGTGTGACTGCAAGCGTTCGCAGCCAAAGGGGATCATCTGGTCTTACCTTACTCCCAAGAAGATGCGCCAAGTTGCAATCCTGAAGCGCTTGCGTGTGTTGGAGCGCGAGGCAGGCATTGATGTGACACTGAAGGATGGAGAGGAGTTTGATGAGACAGCCGATGATGGAGAGGACGAAAAAGAGGGAGAGAATGACCGCTACCGTCGCAGACGTCCACCATTTAATCGAAGGCGTCGTGCCCCGGGAGGAAGAGGACGTCGTAGGCCCAACAATGAGCGAGATGGAGAATCGGCCAATGAGGAGCGTGGTGAGTCGTCCGGCAATGAGGCTACCCATGCTGAAGGTGATCAAGGACAGGAGGGTCGCAATCAGCGCAGGAGACGTCCACGACCCCCACGTAGGAGGAGGAGGGCATCTGATCGCCGCGACGAGGGTGAGGAGAACTCGGAGCAGAATGCTGATGACTATTCACCGAGGGAAGGTGATGGGGATAGAGAAATGCCAGAAAAGCGCCGGGGAAAGGGAGGAGAGCGTCGTGAGGGAGGAGAGCGTCGTGAGGGAGGTGAGCGTCGTGCCCCGCGCAGAATGAGAAACAACCCTCGCACCAGGATGCCTACGATCTTTGTTGGAAGTATACCGCGCGCAACTCGCGTCAGTGAACTGAAAACAAAGATTCGTGAAATGAATATCTTTCCAATTCGTGTTATATGGCACGGGGCACGCGGATATGCATTCTTTCAATTCACCAAACAGGATGAAATGGAAACGGCCTTAGACTCTCTCAAAGAATTTGAAATCAATGGCAAGCCGCTAAGAATCGAGGAATCCAAACCGCTGACAAATCGGTCAAATTCGTCTGGCGACCGGGGAGAGGAAGGAGACCATGATGTCGTAGATGGCATGCAGCGGATGGCCATTAAGAGCGATGATTGAGGCGATACTGGATACAGGTGGTTGGGATGCGTGTTGCACTTCTGTGCTGTGCCCACATAGTGCTAAGGTATATATTTACTGTTATTTAAAATCAGCATCAGTAACCAACGACTCCAGTCTCAGTGGCGGGGCCTATAGACTCGCAGCAAATAATCCTGATGATCGTTCATGTTCGTGGTTTTAATAAAAGATGGCATGAGAAGAACTGCAGACTTTGTTAAAGAAATAATCATTATCACTTACCCTCTGTAGTGAGTGTCATTGTTCCAATTATATGCAGTCATGGAAGGATGCCACACTGTCGTGTTTTGTTTGAAATGGAATGAGAAATCTATCAACGTTATAGAATTGATTTTTGTCCAGTTAATTTCATGGTGAGTGGGAGTTTCTCCGATAACCTTAATCCAAAACCAGTGATTTAAGACTGTTTAATTGACTGAAAAATGTGCTAGTCCCCGAGGGCAATCAAGCGATCCTTTGATGTGGAGGACTGGACACACATTCGATTATTCACTTTTGATGGCATAATCATAACTTAGAAATTCTGTTGCTGGAGGACAAGTTCATTGTTAACGTCACAAAGAAAGTATTCTTGATTTTGATTAAAATCATATTCATTGAAATGTTTGACACAAAATATTTTTATTTCTCATGTTTGTTTCGCGTGGGTTTGTGTCTCACCATAAGATCTCCCTTTAGTTTAAGAGACAGTTTCTCGTTGATTGCATATTTGGCAAACTGGTTTTGATTGGTTGAACCCTTTGACCTTGATTTGTAAATGCAATATGATTGGTTGGTTGACTAAACAGCTGTTTCCTTGTTAGATTGATTCTGTAAAATGTAAATGAAAACCCATGATATGTGATGTAAAACCTGAGAACCATCTTCAGCATTTTATTAGGCGTGTTGTGCCAATGTCCATGAAATACCGTAGTTTTTTTATTCGATCATTTTATTTGTACATAATTCAGAATCTGTGAACAAAGGAGGCAGAATTGTATTGTATGAATAACACATCCAACAGTTTAATAATAATAATATTTCAATGGGCTTTCCATATGAAGAGATAAAACTTGTATAGAAATAAGTTTGCTTTTTTAATTTGTGGTAAAGGGAGGGGTTAAAAACTTTGTAAGCACTCTTTCACTTCACTTAGGCAAGGTGTTGTAACAGCAGAGTGACCCAAATATCATGATTAAGACGTTTAGACAGTGATGTATATATCTGAAATCAACTTTAATACTTATAGCATTACTGGGGGGAAAGCGGAAACAGTTGTTAAGGGTCATAAGGGTTTTAACCACCAAAGGATATACGATTGTATATGCATCATTACCATCATGTATTGTTTTATTATTTTTTAGAATGGGTGTTTTTAAAAAAAAATTGGATTGAAAAGGAATTTCTATCTGACAGCTTTTATACCCATTACTGTTATGCTTATTTGTCAATGTGTATATAGATTATACACAAACTTGTTCAAGGTTGGACACATACAGTTATTTATGAATTCAGTGCAATTTCATAATTTTCTGAAGTATTGACATTTTGCAATTTTGATTTCACATCAATTGAAAACAGACCCATACATGAGGCTATTATAAGCAAAAGTTTTTACATATCATCGTTAACATTTAAAACTTAGAATTAGTATGGCGTGAACATTTTAAGGTGGTATGCTACCTTCTCGGAAATGCATCCCCTTTCATAAAATTTCCAAAAATAAATAAAAAAACTGTCAAATATCTTTTATGATTCATGTTTTTGGTTACGGAAAAGTTAATTAATTTATGAAACTTTTGATTGTTAAGCAAGAATGTCTGATTTGGAAAAATATCCCAAGGGAGATAACTCTAACATAGATTGCAGATAAAATGTCAGTTGGAATTTTGTATCTGCGACCCATATGCTTTCATCCTGATATACTGTCTGTTTTCAGAAATCACAGAAATCCTCAAAAGTTATTCTTCTTTGAGTTTAAACATTCTTGCAGCAGCTAGCATCATCTGCCAAAGAAATGGATAAAAAACCTATGCAATTTTGATCCAAACAAGTGCCAGTTATTTTCAGTATTTAGCAAAAATTGTTGGTAAAAGTCGAATTCATTAACCTTACAAAGAGGAAATGTTGAAAAATTAAGTGTATTTGATGATTTGGTCACAGGGTTGGAAGCTTAAGTCTGTCTACCAGATAACCAGGTAACATCTAGGTCTACGGGGGGAAAACAGGTAACTTTTAAAATACATGTAAGAACAGGTTTATCAAAGATGGGTTTCTGTTGATTTTAAGTTTTTTTAAAACAATCTGTTTCTTGTATTCCTTGGATTAAAAGATCATAAACAAAATAGAGATAGTACAGTATACAGTAGTTTAATTACATTTTGATAAATTTCTCATGGGTAGTGGCTGTACCATCGGTATATAAGTACGCATGACCACAGGACATATCTAGTTCAATACAAATAGAGTAGTATTTGTATTTGTGTAAGTACAATGTACAGTAAAATCAAGAACAGCTATAGGTGAATTTTCAAATTGGTCTTATAAATGGTGACTGGTGAAATGTGCTCCACTAAATGTAAACTTCACTGGTAGCTCTTTTTGAATGCAAGCAAAATCATTCATTCATTCAGAGTTTTTAAACTCAATTTCACTGGTGACATTTACAGAAAGTTCCTCAATTGTTTTTTCTATCGGAAATATAACAGTTAGAATCTTCCCACACTCTGCCAAAAATCAGCTGGAACCCATTTTTTAATCTTGATTTTTTGGATACCGGTATTTAGAATTCAAACAAAAAAAAATGTAATTTAGACAGTTTATAACTTCCTCAATAATAATTCCAACCCTGTTTAAATGTAATGGAAATGAATGTTGATTGATTTGTATTGTGTGATATATATCTACTGATTTAAGGAAAAGTTATTTGGAAATTCAATTCCCTTCAAAAAAAAGTTATGAAATTCTATGAGGTTGTGACTCGAGAAAGCATGACTGCAATATGATAGTTTATAGATATAGTTTTTTATTAATCAATAATGATTTAATAATAAAACAATGCATTGTCATTATTGAAGTCCTCGTTTGAATATTTTTTTATAGCATGTTTACTTCAGCGACAAGGTTTTACTGGTTTTAAGAATAGCAGCAACTTCCCTGATGTACCACTCAACTGCTGTTTATCTTTTCATCTTATTTACCTCATTTACCCCTAACCACACATTTGAACTCTTCCAATTCAAAAGTTGGAATAGTCCATCATAAAGTTTCAGGGGTGAACGAATTAACCTACATGGAGCACCAATAGCAAAGGGGTTGAGGCGACTGACCGTCTAGGATCACCAGGCCTCCCAACACTAGGAGTGGGTAACCCCCACCCCCCTGGTCACAGGTTTGAGACCTATGTTGGGGCAGATGACAGGTTGGTAGTTTATCTCTGGGTACTTCAGTTTTCCTTCACCACCAAAACCTGGCTTGAGATATGATAATAGGACATAAAGCATGAACTCGCAAACGATTAAATTTGCTGTTGACAATCAGCACTTTCACGGACAGCTGTACTAGAGATCAATATCCATACAATTATTTGAAGTCCTCATATAGACATCCAACAACTGTTACCTGAGACAACAAGTCATACCACCTCCATCAGTACACTGGAAGTCAAGGCTTCTACAGACATCGATTTCATCCATATTTACTGCTCAATACTCCACCTCTCTTGTAGAACAGCTTTTTAATTATAGCCTACCATCACCAGATGGTGGGCTGTTCAAATCACCCTTTGTCTGTATTCCATCTTTAAACAATATTTTTATCACTATTCTCAAGAAGTACTACACAGATCATTCTCAAATTTCAAATTTCATATGAAGACTACCTTAGTCAGTACATTCGTCATGCTTGTTACATTTTGAAACTGATTGAACAACAACATGGCTGATGGTGGGCTGTTCAAATCACCCTTTGTCTCTTCCATCTTTAAACAATATTTTTATCACTATTTCTCAAGAAGTACTACACAGATCATTCTTAAATTTCAAATTTCATATGAAGACTCCCTGAGTCAGTACAGTAGTTGTCATGCTTGTTACATTTTGAGACTGATTGAACAACAGCATGGCTGCTCTTGCAGCCATTTGGGGTTTCGACAGGTAAAGCCTGTTATTGGTATTTCTCATTTAACTACTACACAGATATTTCTAAAATATCATATGTAGGTTCCCCTTTGTCTGAAGTTGTGCATGTTTCATTTTGAGACTGATCAGAAATAGAAGATGGCTTGCAACACATGTAGGTCCATCAGGTCCTGATGAAGACTCGCTGAAGAGTCGAAACTAGTCGGTCATAATAAACATCCACACTGATGAAGCCCAAGTTGTGTTGTGTTGGAACCAATCTCCAAATATTGACAAAGTTTCAACAGAATCTGGTCATGTTTCGGACTCACTTATTGTGCAGAAACGTCAACCAATCGGAGTGAAGTATGCTAATTAGTGAGACATGAAATTTTCTCCACTTTGAGCTTAGCCTCAGTTTTGATATACTGTACAAGCTTACAGAGTTTCATAAAAATTGAATGATTTTTAAGCAAAATATCTTGTGGAAACCAAAGTGTGGACAGATAGACATTTCCCATAATATAGTATGTTCCGTATAACAAACAGTAAAATTATCACAGGTGTTATGCTGTACAAATATAATTACCCAACAATAAAACAAAACAACAAAGTCAATGATTTTTCAGATACATGTATATGCATTTAATATTCTGGAACATAAATATTTTCTATAATATTTACATATGGAATCATTCACATTTGTTTGCATGAGATTGAAGAATACCAAATTTGAAATAATTTGCTTTTTCTGAAATCAAGAAATTTTCAAAACTGAATTCTACAAATATTTTATCTTGAATGCTCATGCTGATTTATCACAAAACAAGGAAAATATTGGTCCCTAAAACCGATTCCGAGAACAGGTTGGCCCCTTAAAGTTTCAATTGGCAGCAAAAATTAATCGGCTGCTTTAAATCTTTTTTATAAAATATATATTGCTTAAGAATTATCACATATAAGCCACATCAGTGTTCAGCAGTACATGAATGTCAGCTAAAGAAATATGATGTTTTCCATTGCTGATGAATGAATTTGGACGGCAGAGTGGAAACAATTCTTTGAAAATTTCCTTAGGATGACTTTCCATGCATGAATTTGGACGGATGGATTTGTACAATCCGTTAAAAGATTTTGAAAATACCGAACACATCCTTTAAAGTTGTTTCACTTAGAAAAGTTATTTTATCACATAGATGTCCTTCCTCGCTCAACAGTTACTTCTTTGGGGCAATGATCCCCTCTAGCTGAGTCTGAAATCAAAAATAAAATAAATCATGAATTCATCCAATGAAGAGATTATGAGCATGGTTAACTTAAGGATGTATGCTACCTTATTGTGACAGGATTCGCTTTCACATAAAAAGTCACAAAGAATCCTGTAAAATGTATTTTTAATGACTGGGAAATTTAGATATATGGCGAATTATTTTGCATTTGAAATGTACATTGATAGCACTTCAGTTATGATACGGTGACAATTCACACAAAAGAGAAACAACTCTCGCAAATTACTGCAAAGTAGTATACATGACCTTAAATTACACGCAAGTAGACAGTTCTATCAAAGACATTTTTCCTCCTTAAATTGATGTTTTGAACAGTTTTTGTTATTAAACAGCTACAGTATATGCTTTCACTATTAAAGAATTGATTTTATCACAAAAAAAAACATTAATAAGTTGCCTCATCTAATAGGGATGATCTGGTTATCAAAAATTTACTATTTTAGTAAGGTGAAACGTTCATCAATTTGATTTCAGTTCTAAGTACTGCATGAATATTTATTTTTTTTTTTTTTAAACCAGACTTACTACTGAGTGTCAAAATTAATTGCTGATTATAATATGTGCTCAAAAAAAGTCCTCCTTATATCCCATATGGAAAAATTAAGATGATATTCACACAGGAACTGCAGGTTTAAACTTATTTTTCCCTATAGCTACCAAAGGCAAAATAAATTGTACGAGTGTGTTGCATGCAAGTCTTACATAACATTTCATTGTTTTTCTTTGTGAAAGTGAAACATGCTAAGGAACCTAAACCGCAACATAAATTGTAACTGCTTTTGTGATATAATATAGAAAGTATTTACCGACAATCAGAAGTTATTCTGTCCAGTTAAATAGAGACAAAGATACAGTTTTGCTTTCATGAAAATATTCAATTTAATGTCAGTTTATTTTTTTTGGGTCTATTGTAATATTTTTCTCTTGGATAAGACTGATATTTTGAGAAACTCTTACTTTCATCTTGGCCTGTGAATTAATAGACAAAGGAGTAGGAGTTGTTACTTCCCAAAATTTATCATCGTCAATGTATAATTAAGACAAGTCAATTAGATGTAAACATATCAATATTATGTGATGCAGAATCTGTCATCAATTATTTTGATAAAATTCACATTTTTAATTGGCAGATAGTGAGTCATGTGACATAACTTCTCTGTTTTTGATTGGTTGATATTCATGCAACCCTGTGAAAGGAAATCCATATTCAGAAAAAAATCCTGTTGTTGATTGGCTGATCTGCAATCATGTGACATAACTCCTGTCATTGGACTCACCTTGAGTTGCTGATTGGTCCTCTTGAGGAACTGCATCTCCTCTGTGTGTTTCTTCTCCTCTACTTGTCTCTGTTCCTGAGCACGTTTCTCAATCTGTTCACATTTGCCCTTTAACTCGTTCACATTTCGCTCTAGATCACGCTTCTCATTTTCTAGTTCTGTGATCTGTGAATAGAGCAAAGTGGATCATAGAATTTTAAACACTGAACGTTTTCCAGGCTCACTATTTTTTCCACAAGATATCTAAATGAAACATTAATGGAAACAAAACTACATGCACAAATTGAACATAAAATATATTACTGTGAATTTTCAATCTGACTCATATATATATGCAAGACCACACACTTGTGTTTTTCTAACGAATAAGAAAGCACAAGTTTATTGCACGGACGAGAATATATATACGTCCGCGCAATAAACACAAGTGTATGGTCTTGCTTTTCTCACATACCTTCCGTATTTGGTAGGGATCGATACAAAGATTTTATAAACATGATATTTTTTGCAAATACCGGGAACTTTTCAGTTCCCCATGACAAGGTGATTCCCATAAAAAGGTAGTTCCGGCTAGAAGGTAAATACAACATTCCGTATTGCACATGTGCAATACAGAACGTTGTATTTCATGGTCTGAAAATTGATTGTATTACTATAACAAGACTCAACAGGTATGTGATAAAACTTTATGCAGGATTAAACATTTTGTTCTGAATTTATGAAATATGGAGTTTCTAAACAAAATGTAAGTTGCCATCAACCAGGTTTCAGCTAGTATTGTCCTTTAACCATGTAAAAACATATGGTAAATACACTGGGTATATAAACAGGATAATGTGTTGGAACGTAGTATACGTAAGGGGTGAAGATAAATTTTACACCAGCAATTCTTATCATAAAATGTTTTATGACAAAATATCTTAATCTTAATTTATTCATTATTTTCGTAGAAATCCAACCACAAATAAAAGTGCTGAAGTGATGCCATTTTTTCTCCGTCTGATAGTAAATTGTCACAGCAATTTTATGCATAGGGTAGAAAATATTGAAATGCTAATGCCTTTTAACACCTTAGTACTTAACCTCAACACTTAGTTTTACGGAAACCTGCACCACAAATGAAGAAGCTAAAGAGGATGTTGCTGTGTGCCGGCAGACCATGAACAATCTAGATACCCCCTCTCTTAAATTTCATATTGGGGAGAAAGGCCTACCAATTAAGCTGGGATCAAATCCTACCTTTTTCTCCATGTCAGCCTTTCCTTGCTCGGCTTGTAGAGCTTTTCTCATACCGAAAGCCACACTGCTTTCGTACAATGTCTGGTAGGCTGCTATCGTCATCCTGATCTCATCTCTTACACGCAGGAGGAGGAGGCCACGCTCGGCACAGTTAATGGTCACCTGTCGGATCAGCTCATCTGTATGACAAAATAGATCATGCTTCATATAAAAGTGTACATTTTTGTAACATTTGTGGAAAATGTTCATATATTTTATGCATTCATTTGTTCATAATATTTTCATCACATATATTGTTGTCAAAATGTAGTATTTGTCTTATATGTACATAATGAGATTCGGCTCCAACATCACAGAACTTTTCCAAGATTCTTAAGTTGAGTTGTGCAAGGTGTCATAATCTCACAAAACACTGAAAGTACACTTTCTTTATAAAAGATGCAAGCTTCTCTGAGACTTAGCTCTATTTATATAAAGAGGATGTAACATAACATACAAACACCTACCGAAACATTGTGAATACAGCTCTCTCCGTACTGGACAAATACCAGTCTCCCTTGCCTGCCTCTGTTGCAACCGTCTGTCAAGTTCTTCCTGTAGATTGACCACATCAAGACGTGTGGCTGGAGTACTGGACACCTGCTGGACCCATAACTGACCACCCTCTGTCCATTCTCTATTGAATGTACAAGTGAATATACAGTAAAACATAATGGCTTCCGTCAGTTATTAGAAATAGCTGTATCTAAAACACTAATCTGACCATATTCATGCATACATGAGCCTACATTGCATGATATCTGAAAGAAGGCCTTGTGTCAAATGCAAATTGATAGCAGGAAATATTATGAACAGACATACTTAATCTCAGATTTATCAACATAGAATTTCAAGCATAAATCTATCTTTTACATATCAATTCTTCATTAGAAATGTAAAGTATTAATTTTATATGACCAAAATGTATTATCAAATCAATCAGACTAATATCCATCAACATTTTATTGATGTCTACAATCATTGGTACAGCAAAAACATTCTTTTTCCCTATGCAAATATTTAGACATTCTAAGCAGATAACTATTTTTTTAGCTAATTAAGTGTAATTTAAGTATGTTCTAATATCAAAGCATTTTATCTTTGTTTTTAACCCTTTCACCCCTAGGTTACTTTAGTAGACTCTACCATACATTGATCTGGATGAATATATTATGGTCTACAGTAGTGAAGGGGTTAAATATAGATGTAATGCCTTTTGAAGTTACCTTGGTGGTAGGATGGAGTTGAGGATTTCGTCTGTTTGTTGTGCTGCTTTAGCGTCGACCGAGGTTGGCTTCTGTTTGCCTGGTGGGTTTGGGACAGGACCTGTTGCTGTGGACGGACCTGGGCTCACCTTCAACGCTCTAGCCTGTCAATGATTAAACTTATTTATTAAACTTCTAAAAGCCTCACGTATCCTGCTGCGTTAAAGGAGAGTGATAATCGAACTGACCCTAGCCTCAGTATCGTCAAAGTAATGTGTATGCATATTATAATGCAAAAACAATAATGGAGGACAGCAAATGGGTAATTATACAAATACTTGATGTGCTGCCCCTTTGTAGCCTTTAATATGGAATTAGATAATTGATAATTGGGTTATGAATGACAACCATTGAACCAAGCAGGATCATTCATATTTAAGGTTGCTAAACATCTGGTTAGTCATAGTTTATGTAATTAGACATCTCCTGTAGCCTACTTGGGCAGTAAAATGTGGTACTATCGCTGCTTACCACCTATAAGAACTGATGTTTTTGCTACATAGAAAGATCTTTTAAATACAAAGGATATTTTGTGTGTTGTACGTATACGTCCATACAAGATCTTTTAATAACTGTCAGATAGAAGTTCCAACCATAAAATAATTTAAATTGCAAATTTATAGCTATACATGTGTGTCAATAAGTCTATGACAACATAACAGCTCATTCAGGAATGACTTAAATCACTTTCAAAGAATCCTTATTTGACAATAATGTGGGTAGAATAGCGACTGAATTACAAGTCGTATTACACCTAAATTATGAAGTGACAGAATAGCATAGCCTAATATATTTGGTTCACATACATAATTGGTAGCCACCATGGGAATCTCGAAATTCATTTAACAAAATTTGGTTACACAAGTAAAATTTGAGGTAGAAATTTTCTTCCTATTTAACCACATCAAATTCCATTCCTATTTGGTGTAACATAGCAACATTGATTAGTTGATTGCATTATAAGGATTTAAAAAAAATACCCATTTGGATCGATTTGAAAAGTGTATATTTATTATGAACAAAAACTTAGGTGAAACTTCTTAGTGAAAAACACAATTTCTCAAATATATCATTTAGAAACAAGTCCTGGATCCAAAACTTTCTGCATGTAAACACATCCATAAAACGTGTTTACAAACTGAATTGAACAATTAAAACATTTTACAAAACACTCGTCAACCCATACCCGTGGTGTCTTCTTGTCTGTGTTCCTACTGACGAGGACTGGGTTGTCATACTTGACTAAAGATGCGTTTGGTGGAATCATTTTGGCTAAGTTTGCTGCAAAATATTCCTGTCCCGGTCCTCTTCTTTGCTTGATCTGCTGCTATAGCAACACTGTAGTGCGCATGCTCCAATTTACTTCTCGCTTAACTTGTTTCCGACGAGATTTCAACGAACAAGATGGCGCGACGCATTGGATGGGAGGGTAAGGTTAAAACAGGATGCTTTTTGTGCATACTTCACTCCAATATACATGTTTTGACAAGATTTTATGCAAAGACGTTCTTTATATAATCGGCATAACCACCAAGTATCCATCAGTAGGGTATTTGAGGAAATGATCGACCGTAGAGTACACGGCCATTAGTGACAGGTTCGACCACAAAACACTCGCTTTAAAACAGATGTGCATGTGTACAGTAGGGTTAAGACACCCTTGTGTTGATACTGACATTACCAGAAGTTATCTGTTATCGGCTAGGATATATGTGATCGGTTCCGCGTTTAAACCTGAATGGTATCTCTCGTACAGAGTACTGTTGACAAGATTGCCAAATTGCCATTGACAGGTTTAGTACAGTATTAAGGAGACCCAAATCGCATCAGTACTCAAACCGGAGCACTTTTTGCAAATATACTTATCAGGGTGGGGAAAACCACCAACTTGCGTATAATACGAAAACTCTCATATTATACGCCAATTGGAGTATGGATTTGTTACTAAAAATAACCAAAATCGCTTTAACAGTAACTTTTGCAAGAATCGCATTAATTTACGACAAGGTAAATAATATTTTGCTAAAAGATGTTTACTGAAAGCGTTGGCTACTTAGAAACTTGATGTAACTTTACCAGAAGTATTGTATCTATTTTTGGTACTTTCCCACATGCAAATAAAGTTTATTTTTGCATTTGTATTATGTTTCATGACTGAATAAATGCGACTTGGACAAACCATTTGAAAAAGTTAAGATTAAAGTGATTTTGGCTATTTTTAGTAACAAATCCATACCCCTATTGGCGTATAACAGGCGAGTTTGCGTATTATATGCAAGTTAGTGGTTTTCTTCGACCTGCTTATAAATAAATAAACATGTCAACAAATCAGTTATGACAATGATGTAGTCTTAGAATAGATAGCCATGCACCATTTTTTGTCTACAGATGATTAGTTTTTAAGTTCAAATAGCACAAGAAATCGTAATTCAAACTCAAATGTCAGTGTTTTGATCACGTTTTAAAAAAAAGGGCACATGCAACGACTATGCATTCTGTTTTGGACTATAGGAATAAATTCACACTTTCGAAAATACTTTTTGTCATATAAATTCTAAATTTATAAAATATGAATGTTAATATGCTGACAAAAAAGGTGAAGCATAAGAAACTGCAAAACTCAGCCTTGATCCGATTTGGGTCCTGACATTCCTAAAATCTGGAGGTGCTGATTGGTGAGTTCAGGGTGTTCTATGAATATCTCAAGTGAGCCCTGGGTGCTAATTTCGTTTGTAAGAACACCCATCGATATTCTATTTTTGATACAACCATAAATGAATATAATTCCTCCTCAGATATTTCAATGATTAATAAAATGATGGTTTGGTGATTCGATTTGGGTACTGTCACCTTACCCCTCATATCATGGGAAATAATCCTTTATAGTTAGAGTAAAATTTACTGTGACTCCCATGGTGTCATACAAATTGAAATAAGAACATGCGAAGATCTCTTAAACATCAACATCAGTGACAAAAAGTGTAATATTCTTCGAAAGCAGTTCAATAGATAATACAATGGGCTGCAGTTATCGATAATAATGTCTATGTCTTAGTTAAATTTGCATCGCATGCTGGTATGTGTACCACCTGTTTTGCTTGCCGATATTCCGTAAACTGCAAGCGGAAACATTGTTCATTGATGGTAAACAATTTGTTGCAAACAAAATCTCAAAAAATCCTGGTCACAAAAGGATCCCCCGCTACCACTGACTGCCAGGAATTGTAACTTATCTGATTATTCCAGCATGACTATAGCTTCAAGAAATCATTTCTGAATAGAAAACCATGATGATATCTAAAAGGTCTTGAAAAAACTAAAGTGAAATAAAGAAAAAACACTCAACATTCTGAATGTTAATGCCATCAACATGGTCCCTTTCGATTATCTGGTTCAACTGGTTTAAATATGACATTTTCAGGTAAAAATCCTGGCGAACTTGCAAATGCTTATGCATGCTTTGTCAAGGCTCGCCTAAAAGCAGCCTCAAGTTACTAGGTCCCACCATAAATGAACAACTCTGGTTCATCCGTTTAGGATCGCGACAAATGAATGGGGCCTGCAATTCAAACCCCCGACTTTAAGATTGATATGCTATACCGTTCTAACTGATTTAGCTTTCTGGGTAATGGAAGTGCTACAGTTACACCCAAAATTGAATTAAGTGGATATTACCGTTTATACAAAAAGGCACATTGTAGTTGGACAGGGATTTTTAACACTATATTAATATAGTATTTTCATTACCGGTTAGCAGATACACTGTATTTCTGATTCTGATACATACTCTCAAGTCGGAGATAAAAAAAAATCCTGTGAACTTGGACATTTTTTAGCGAAGATTGTTATACATGGAAGTTGTCAAGTTCTTGTTAAACAGACTCTCTTTGCTTGTTTGTGTCAGCAAAAGGGTGTCTGCATCATCCTGAACTGTTTAAATGAAGTTCAATTTCTATTATTTTATTTTGTAGAAGCTAGAAATATATTGAGAAGGATCCGAGAAGAACAAGCCAGAGATGGTCAAACGGTGGTCCGCGTATGGGAGGAGGTCCTAATGAAGAACAGAAACAAACTAGGAGACGAATGTGAGTTGTGTACGAAGGGGAAGAGCAATCATGACGTTTTACCTACATGCTAATTAGTAATGATGTGCCCATTTTACAATCAGTTTGATATTTACCTCCCTTTCATAACAGACAAGCCATATATGATTGTTGTCTCCATTGGCTTTATATATTTATCTAACTTATTTCCTTAAGCTTTAATATCAGGCTTGAAATTGTCATATACATAATATATGCAGGCCTAAAGCAGTACCCTTCAGACGACAAGACATGCTAATCAGAGAGTAGAAATTTTGATTTTGAATTGTTCCAAGTTAAGAATAAGTGCCCATGAGTTGTTTTAAGGCCTGTTGGCTTTCAGTGTGCATTTTTGGGAGACAAACTATGGTAAAATATATGAGCTTCTTGTTTTAGTATTAAAAAGAAAAAATCAGTGATAAAATTCATGCAATATCTGAAGTAAGATTTTTTTTCTGATTTTGTTTTGCAGTATGGGTCGTATACGAACAAGTGTGTATTGCTGCTCTGGATTGTCAACGTTTTGATTTAGTTGATGTAAGTTATATATCAGTTTCATTTTGTGAGACATGTGTTTTCATGTTAACATGGCAAGTCATTCAACATATTTTTTTTCAACCAGAAACACAAAGACATCCATTGTTCATTTCACAAATTCAAATTTTTGTGAACAAAGTTTTTTAAGCAAAAGTAATTAGTATTTAGGATAAAATTTGGTGTTTAACAGAATGTGAAAGTAGAGCAGGTTGACTTGTGAAATGGACTTTCTATCTGGTCAAATATACCATTGTACACTCATTTTCACTGTGTTCTATACTAAGTTTTAGAAAACATGTCTCTTTATGTACATGGGTGTCTGGAAGATAAAATATTTATTTCAAGAGTAAAGGAAGAATTGGTGGAAGTACCTGGTAGGCCAAATTGATAAAATATTTTTCTTGTAAAATACTGGGTAACTGACATTTTGCTTTGTTTAAAATCATTCACATGACTAATATCAGTTATTCAATTTATAATCATCCCAAAAAGAAAAAATGAAAACACTCATTAAGTTTGTAGCTCGTAACATCGTTTTTAAAGTGTCACTGTATGATTTTTCAGGCCTGTATAACAGTGCTGAAGGACAACTTTCCAAAGAGTATACGAGTGGACAGATTACGAGGAATGTTTTTTGAAGCTCAGGAAAGGTAAAATATTTTTGAGACCAGGTGTTAAAATTAATATATATACATTTTCCATAAGGTCTGAAATGTTTAAAAATTTGTCACTGTGATATCAAAAAGTTCTTTGTTAAAAATACATCCCAGTCAAAAACTTTACTGCCTAGCAAGGTAAAATATTTTGAGATTTGAGACCAGGTGTTAAAATTAATATATATACATTTTCCATAAGGTCTGAAGTGTTTAAGAATTTGTCACTGTGATATTAATAAGTTCTTTGTTAAAAATAAATGCCAGTCGAAAGCTTTACTGCCCAGCAAACAGCATTGTAGACAAAAAGGTTTATTATTATTATTTTTCATCCATAGAAATATTACTCTTTTCAGGTTCAGCAAAGCAGATGAAGTATACAAAAGTATAATTGACAGAGATGAAACAAATATGGTATGTTGAGTATTAAGATTGGGACTGTCATATTAAAAATATATTGCTGTTTTGAGAGAGGATGTGGAGAGGGGGGTGATAAATTATACAAAGGAAATTTCAGCTATATTTTCACAAAATCAATGCCATCTTCACCAATCTTCATAATACATTGAAGTTTTTGGAAAGAGGAACACACTTTTCATTTTCAGACCATCCCTCAAATGTCAAGAAAAATGTTTTCCAATCAGATTAGGTGATGGTTTCCATTTACCAACTTCACTTTACACAAAAATAGAGTCTCTGCTAGTATTGGCATCTTCTATTTACTGTAAAAAGTGAATATTTTCATGCGATGGAAATATTTTCCTTTTTGTTATCGCAACTAAATCATTCAGTAAAGTGTGGAAAAAATGTTCAACACGGAGACAATTTTCCACTTTTGCAACACTGTCAACAAGTTATCGTAAACAGGAATTAAATTTTTGGTGTATCCTGCATCAATGCATAAATGTGTTTAAAAAAATATCTGATCTGTATTAAATCAAAATTTAAATCAGAATTAACAATGCATGTATATTTTTGTATTACATGTATTTGCCAAACTTTCTCATTAAACTGAATATTTTATTTTTTTCAGTTCGCCAAAAAGAGACAAGTCTCGGTTCTGAAAGCACAGAATAAAATTCCAGAGGCCATTGATAAACTGAATGGTTATCTCCGAGAGTAAGTAGACTTTAAGGAGTTAAATTCCATGCCCCTTTGCTAAACTGAATGGCTATTTCTATGAGTAAGTTGTCTTATATCATGAATTTCCAGACTCCATTGGTAAACTGAATGGTGATTTCCATGAGTAAGTTGTTTTTATATCATGAAATTCCAGACCCAGTTGATAAACTGAAGGGTTGTTCTCAAGTGGAAAAATAATTCCTAGAGTAAATTTCCAGACATCATCAAAAAACTGGATGGTTATTCTCAAGAGCAGGTAGATTTCAATGAGTTAATTTAGGCAGATTTCATAGAGTTAATTTCCAGCTGCTATTGATAACGATAAACTAAATGTCTATTCACAACAGTAGTGATGATAGTATAAATTCCAGAGTACTTGGTTAACTGGATGACGTTTCCAGAGACTCAGAGTTTATAGTTGAATAAACTAAAATAAAAAAAAATCCCATCACATATCTTGTTTGGATCACGCAAAAATTATTATTGAAACAAAAAATATCAGAGCTTTCCCTTCAAATGTAAGTCGAAGGGCAAGACATTGCAGCACATGGTTTTTTTTTAAATTTGCCTTTTCACAAAAAAAAATTTTGGTCTGGACAAATCTTTTTCAAACTGTTGATCAGATTTTAACAAATCATTGTACATACTGCCAATAGCTTTATTACATTCATCACTGTAAACTGTATAGACTACATGTGGGGTTTTTTAACCCTTTACCACTGTAGACCATAATTGACTCAACCAGATCATTGCATGGTAGAGTTAGTTTATTAAAGTTTCATAGGGGTGAAAGGGTTTAGGGCTGTTCGAGAAGTTAGCAATTTGGGAGGGGTGGGAGGTACTTTTTCAGAAACCCCAAACACCCATCAAATTTTAACAGTGACTGGATGTCAGAAATGGTACATTGTAGGTAGATCTGGTTTTAAACCCACTACCCTTAATATGTTTATATAGATGCCTCCCACCTCCCCCATATGATTAATTATGGAATAGCCCTAATCCAAAAGAGCCACAGGTTATACAGAGCTGGTACAGAGGTACAGGCATATGATGTTCATGCCAGTAGCAGTTATAGTACATATGTATGTTAAAGAGACAGTTGACTGGAAAGCCCATTGGACCTCTTGTTTTTGAAACTTTATGTTTCTGTTATGCAGACAGCTTTTATTGCTGAGGTATCAGTGGATGTTTTCTGTATCTTAACATTTCCTTGTCATGTTAACTCATTCACCCCTGAAGACACATTTGAACTCTTCCATTTCAAAGGTTGAAGTTGTTTATTATGAAATTTCAGGGGTGAATGAGTTAAATTACCGACATTGATATTGTATAAATTTGTTGTTTACAGATTTATGACCGATTTTGAGGGGTGGACAGAGCTGTGTGATTTATATCTGTCTCAACAGGACTATCAGAAGGCAGCGTTTTGTATAGAGGAACTGATAATGTCCAACCCCCACAATCACCTTTACCACCAAAAATATGCAGAGGTGAGTATACGTACCACACAATTTTATATACCACCAAAAATATGCAGAGGTGGGTACCACACAATTATATTTACCACTAGAAATATGCAGATGTGGGTACCACACAATTATATATACCACCAGAAATATGCAGATGTGGTTACCACTCAATTATATTTACCACCAGAAATATGCAGATATGGGTACCACACAATTATATTTACCACCAGAAATATGCAGATATTGGTACCACTCAATTATATTTACCACCAAAAATATGCAGAGGTGGGTACCACTCAATTATCTTTATCACCAGAAGTACAAAAAGGAGGGTATAAAACAATTATTACCAGAACTAGCAGATGTTGCGACATAGACATTGTATGTCACACCACACAATTATCTTTACAACAGAAATACGGAGATGAGGATATCACACAATTATCACCAGAAATATGCAGGAATCCAGTGCTCAAATCTGATCTTCAGAATCTTTGATGTTTTTAATGTGGATATTTTCACTGGATATTTTATTTTATGCTGTGACTTTTATCACTGGACTGTCTTTGCTGCCTACGTTAATCTTCCTGTGTAGAACTTAATGTGTTCAAGTAAAATTTAAATAAATTTAAACATCTCATTGTTATTTTCAGATCTGCTACACCCAGGGCAACTTTGAACAAGCCCGGTCTTATTTTGCTCAGGCACTGAAACTCAACCCTAACAATATCCGTGCTCTATATGGATGTTTCCTGGTAAGAAGGATAACAACTTGTTTTCTGGTGTATTGATTTCTGAATCATGTATGCTGTGTAAATACATAATATTTTTCTCAACTGTGTCCAGGAGTCATATTATGGCATGCTTCGTGTTAAGACATCATGGAAGTACGGACCAGGAACATGGGCACTACTTGTTCAAACAGTTTTCAAACCACAGCCAATATTTTAGTATATTATGTTTGATTAGGTTTTAGTTTAGATCAAATCATCATCATCAAGATATAGGTTTTCTTGAATCTTTCCCTATAATGTAATTTTTCATCCGATTTTCATTTAAAAATGTCCGTATATCAGCTTTAGTTCTGTGTTGTATTACAGTCATCGTGCAGTCTAGCCTCCACAAGTAAGAGCAAGGAGAAGCAAGCTAATGTAAAGTATGCGGCCTGGGCAGCTCAGCAACTCAAAGAGAAATATGTGGTAAGTACATAATGCCCCTCCAGTTAGTTACATGTTCTAACTCAGAGAGGAGTTTGTAGTTAGTTAACCGTAATGGTTCAGCACTATAAGGGTAAAGATTTACCATCTTCCTTAGGTAATAAAATAATTCAAGTTTTAAAATCTTAAGATGTGATATCCATTTTGGTTTTTGGCCGAGTTCACTTTTGAGAAAAATGAGAACATTTACGACATTCACTTATAAAACTGCATATACATGTGTGTTTCTTGTGGTCCACCTTCTAAAACATTTCCTTTCAAAGAAAATGTGAAATAAAAATAGGAATCGGTGTATTAGATATTAATGATTACAGAAGATGTTATGTCTGCTTTGATCTGGTCAGACTATATCTCGTCTGACATCTTGTGTTGTCGACCCTTCGTGGACTCCATCGCTGCATATATACCGGAACTTTTCGTGAATGATAACAAGGTCACATTTGCGTATCCCGTTAGAAATGGTTCAGATGGCGCAGAAATATACCTCGATAAATGAACGCCCTCAGATCCGAGTCTGTGACAAATAAATAGCAATATATCAAGGTAAATAGGTTCTTTTTTCATGCATACATTAAACTTTATAACATTTCCTGAAAGTGCAGAAATAATGCATATTAGCGCCAGGCAGCATTTTATGTAGTCAGACACATCTGTACTCCTCGAGATGCACATACATGAACCAAGGGATTAGCCTCAGTTTAGATCTGAGCCTGTCACTTTCTGTTTAGGTTTAACTGGTTGAAACAGTTAGAATGCATGCATTTAAAATGTAAACAAAGGGAGATAATGAGTCACGAGGTTAATTTAACTTTCATATTTAAAAAAAATGTATTTCAGAATTTTTGATTTGTTGTTGTTACAGACAGTGCAGTCCGAAGATGGCACCAAACAAACCAGGATATTGGAAACAATTGACAGACTTCTAGAATCTACCACAGAAAAAGCTAGTAATTGATAAAGATTGCAAACCCCCTAGAACAAATATAATCAAGAAGCTTGTAGGAAATTTAAAAAAAAACCATGAAAATCTCAATTTTATCACAAAATATGGACAGTATATACAGTATTTTATTTCAATGAAGAAGGGAATCTAGACAAGGCAATCTTACATACCACCATTTTGACTTGGGGCAATGTGGAACTAAACAGAAATACTATTTATATTGATTCTACGCACGGTGTTTTCATGGTAGTACTAGCTATTACTAGTGATAAATATGTGTTTAAGTTATGCACAACCGGGTTCCTTTTTCTAACTTACCTGCCTAGATTTAAATCATTTAACCAATGTGCTTCATACTGTTGAATTTTACACTTGAGCTGTGATTTCTGAAAAAAACACGAAATTGTTTGAATACCAATTTTGAAGAGAAAACCCCCTGTTCGGTCATAACTTACCTCAAGTTCTGTTTTATCAGATTTTGTATTTTGTTAAATTTTTGTATTCTGTCTGTAGACCAGTTATTCTTTGATTTGGGGAAAAAAGGTCGTGTTCAATAAAAAAAAAACATCAAACAATATTTAGTATTAAATATAGCTTTGAAATATATATTGCTTTAAAACGCTATTTCTCATTTGAGAGAAAAAAGCATGTTTAAAAAAACTCACCAGAGGCAGACAGTTAACCCTTTCACCACTGTTGACCCTAATGGACTCGCCCCAATCAATGCATGGTAGAGTCTATTAAAGTTACATAGGGGTGAAAGGGTTAATAGACTATCTCCCCCAGAGCTGCTCGCTAATGGCTACCTCTGTCTCCTATTTCAGCTTTGATATATCTTACCAATACAAATCTCATCGATTAAGAATCTGACAACTACAATATCATTAGCATTTATGTAAGGTAACAACCCAACACCTATCCTCTGGGGACAGTAAATTGGTGGTGAGATGTTGGTATACAAGCATCGTGATCATGACACACCATTTTTAAACATTTAGTGAGATCTGTTTCATAATACAAGACAGTAATGATTTGGAGGTTACAAACTTTTTGTCCATTTATGAGTAAATTATCAAGTCAATTTTGTTAGTTATATTTGTTCCTCTTCTTTTTTTCCTTTTTGTAATATGTTATCCATTGTTTTATTGTGGGCATCCTTTGTACAAAGAAATTTCAGTACAAAACCAGAGCGAGAGAATGTATGAGAGTGGGTAAGACAGAGTGCGGTAAGACAGAGTGGACGAAAAATGTGACGGAGAACCATGAGTGATGTATGAAGCAAGGGATCTGTTTAATCATTGATGAAAAATGTCAAACATTTGATGTTGAAAAAAAGGTGTTATGATACTTTCCTAAAATCCATTAATGGCATTATGAATCTTGTGTTTGAAAACCATGAGACAGAGAAGCTTTTCCCCCCTTAAAACATAAGATCAACTTTATTCCAAAATCCGATATTTAAAATGATTTTGCTTCTTGTTCATGCTATGCTGTTGACTTGTTGTTAGATTTCGATGCCAGTGCTATTTATCCATTTTGGTGACGGATTTTGTTTATTTTAATCCAATGCGTGACTTTCAAGCCGTTTCAAGTCTACTGATATTCTAGTCTAGCTAAAGATCTTGCTAGTTTCTTTTGTTGGGTTTTTACATGTGTTTAATAAAAAAAATCTTTATCCTCATGTAATTTTTTAGTATATATTTAAACAGCAAGTTTCTTGAACATAGTAATTTTAAATGGATACAGCTTCAATATTGAAATTTACAGTAAATACTTCACTCAAGTATTAATAGTTTAAGAGGAAGATTATTCCATCTTTGCGTATTGCAGAGTTATCTTCTCTTGTGAGCAGGTATTGATTGTTACCTCATTTATTTGTGAGAGTAACGTCATCAATTTTTGAGAAAACGACCTAATATTCTCACACAAACTGATGTTGTAATAATCAATACTTCATCTATAAATATTATCTCAGTGTTTTAAAAGTTTGGTGAGGGAACCATGAAATGAAACCCTTGATGAGTTGCACATTTCCATATCTGATTGGCTGATGGGCAGGGTCCAATGAAATGTTTTCCATAGATGTGATTGGTTGATTCCCATGAGATATATATGATGGAGAATGTGATTGGTTGATTCCCGTGAGATATATAAAATGGAGAATGTGATTGGTTGATTCCCATGAGATGTATATAACGGAGAATGTGATTGGTTGATTCCCATGAGATATATATAACAGAGAATGTGATTGGTTGATTCCCATGAGATATATATAACAGAAAATGTGATTAGTGGACAACAAGCAGAGTTGAACCAACCTGATCATTGTATTAGAATGTATAGGCCTTCTTTGGCTAATTTTCCAATTATACATAACTTGATTTTGTGTTCGAAGAAATTCTTCATGTTGGAGAAGGGTAAGGATGTTGTGTATGTGTGTGCCTATTTATATAATGTGTCCTGATATTGAAGAGAATGTGATTGGTTTATCCTTGTGAGATATATAGAATGGAGATTGTGATTCTTGTGAATAGATGCAATAATCAAAAAGAAACTAATCCAGAGTTTGTGTTGTTTTTTTGTGATTAAGTGAAGCTAGAAACCATAAGACAGTCATGCCCTATATCCATGTACATTTTTTAGTCCCCACCAGTTCGGGGGGGGGGGGGGGGGGGGGGCTATAGGTTTGCACTCCATCTGTCTTGCCCTCTGTCCGTCTGAGAAGTTTGTCCGGGACATATCTTTTATACTCTTTCATCTTGAGTAACCTACTTTGGTGTACAAGGATATCTTGGGATGGCAGAGTGCAAGAATAGGTCACTGTGACCTGTCACCTCACCTTTGACCTTAACTTTGAAAAAGTTTGTCTGGGGTATATCTACTATTTCACGCTGAAAAACCTGATTTGGTGTACAAGGACATCTTGGGATGGCAGAGTGCAAAAAGAATCTCACTGTGACCTTTGTTTTGACCTTTGACCTTTACTTTTGTAAAAGTTTGTCCGAGCATATCTTCTATACTATTTCACCTGGAGTAACCAGATTTTGTGTACAAGGATATCTTGGGATGGCAGAGTGCAAGAACTAGGTCACAGTGACCTGTCACCTCACCTTTGACCTTAACTTTGAAAAAGTTTGTCTGGGGTATATCTGTACTATTTCACGCTGAAAAACCTGATTTGGTGTACAAGGACATCCTGGGATGGCAGATTGCAAAAAGAAAGTCACCATGACCTCACTGTGACCTTTGTTTTGACCTTTGACCTTAACTTTTGAAAACGTTTGTCCAGGGCATATCTTTTGTGATATTTCACCTGTAGTAACCAGATTTGGTGTACAGGGACATCTCCGGTATCATCTTCAGGCAATTATTCTCCCAGTACTATGGTGTAGAATGGTTGCATTTACAATGGTCCTATATTCTATATATGTATAATCAAAATAATCTTTGGTATTAATAGATATTTACACATTGATAATTTTGCAGTAATTTACTTGATGCAAAAAAGACAAATATTTCCACTCCATGAAAATTTCAACTTGTACCTAGTACTAATATTAATACCCGGCCGGGTATTAAATCAATCCCATGCCTTGAAATGGAGCAAGGCTGGTGTGACTCACATCGGGGCGATTTTAAAATAAATTGACAGCACATTGCTCCGAAATCATAAATAGGGTTGTAGTATGAACTATTTCTGTTGATATCCTGCACAACTTGAAGTTAACCCTTTCAACACTAGACCATAATGGACTCGTTCAGATCAATCCATGGTAGTCTACTAAAGTTACATAGGGGTGAAAGGGTTAAACTCTGCCTAAAATGTCGTTAAATTTTCAGGTTAACGTAGCAAATTAGTGCAATTGTAATCTGAATTGACTGCCGTGTTGGAAAGTTCGTCTTTTTCCGATATAGGTCAGACGTCTAAATATGGGTGTCATTTTGATTTTGCTCCATTAGTTGGCATAGGACCATTTTGTAGCTCTGACGATGCAATATTGATGCAATCGATAAAAAAAATCTCTCTTCGTCTGAAAGCTACGTAATCTTGGCCAACTTGTACAGTGATCTAGAGAAGTGTATAAACCAATACTGTATAACCCTTTCACCACTATATAACTTCGGGTAGACTATACCATGCATTGATCTGGATGAGTCAATTTTGGTCTACAGTGGTGAAAGGGATAACCCTATATATTTCAACACCTGTATACACCAGACTTTCCACTATGGCCCAATGCTGTATAAACCAGACTTTCCACTATGGCCCAATGCTGTATACACCAGACTTTCCACTATGGCCCAATGCTGTATACAGCAGACTTTCCACTATGGCCCAATGCTGTATACACCAGACTTTCCACTATGGCCCAATGCTGTATAAACCAGACTTTCAACTATGGCCCAATGCTGTATAAATCTTTATAACCCTATATAATTCAGACGCCTGTATAAACCAGACTTTCCACTATGGCCCAACGCTGTATAAATCTTTGTAACCCTATATAATTCAGACACCTGTATAAACCAGACTTTCCACTATGGCTCAACGCTGTATAAATCTTTGTAACCCTGTATAATTAAGACACCTGTATCAACCAGACTTTCCACTATGGCCCAACGCGGTATAAATCTTTATAACCCTATATAATTCAGACACCTGTATAAACCAGACTTTCCACTATGGCCAAATGCTGTATAAATCTTTATAACCCTATATAGTTCAGACACCTGCATAAACCAGACTTTCCACTATGGCCCAATGCTGTATACATCTTTGTAACCCTATATAGTTCAGACACCTGTATAAACAAGACTTTCCATTATGGCCAAATGCTGTATAAATCTTTGTAACCCTATATAATTCAGGATCCTGTATAAACCAGACTTTCCACTATGGCCACATCTTTGTAACCTTATTTAATTCAGACACCTGTATAAACCAGACTTTCCACTATGGCCAAATGCTGTATACATCTTTGTAACACTATATAGTTCACTCACCTGTATAAACCAGACTTTCCACTATGGCCCAACACTGTATACATCTTTATAACCCTGTATAATTCAGACACCTGTATAAACCAGACTTTCCACTATGGCCCAACACTGTATAAATCTTTGTAACCCTATATAATTCAGACACTTGTATAAACCAGACTTTCCACTATGGCCCAATGCTGTATAAATCTTTGTAACCCTGTATAATTCACTCACCTGTATAAACCAGATGTTCCACTATGGCCCAACACTGTATAAATCTTTGTAACCCTGTATAATTCAGACACCTGTATAAACCAGACTTTCCACTATGGCCCAACCCTGTATAAATCTTTATAACCCTATATAGTTCAGACACCTGTATAAACCAGACTTTCCATTATGGCTCAACGCTGTATAAATCTTTGTAACCCTGTATAATTCAGACACCTGTATAAACCAGACTTTCCACTATTGCCCAACGTTGTATAAATCTTTGTAACCCTATATAATTCAGACACCTGTATAAACAAGACTTTCCTCTATGGCCCAACGCTGTATAAATCTTTGTAACCCTATATAATTCAGACACCTGTATAAACCAGACTTTCCACTATGGCCCAATGCTGTATAAATCTTTGAAACCCTGTATAATTCACTCACCTGTATAAACCAGACTTTCCACTATGGCCCAACACTGTATAAATCTTTGTAACCCTGTATAATTCAGACTTTCCACTATGGCCCAATGCTGTATAAATCTTTATAACCCTATATAATTCAGACACCTGTATAAACCAGACTTTCCACTATGGCCCAACGCTGTATAAATCTTTGTAACCCTATATAATTCAGAATCCTGTATAAACCAGACTTTCCACTATGGCCAAATGCTGTATACAATTTTGTAACCTTATTTAATTCAGACACCTGTATAAACCAGACTTTCCACTATGGCCCAATGCTGTATACCTCTTTGTAACCCTATATAGTTCAGACACCTGTATAAACCAGACTTTCCATTATGGCCCAATGCTGTTTCAGTCTTTGTAACCCTATGTAATTCAGACACCTGTATAAACCTGACTTTCCACTATGGCCCAATGCTGTATACATCTTTGTAACCCTATATAGTTCAGACACCTGTATAAACCAGACTTTCCATTATGGCCCAATGCTGTTTCAGTCTTTGTAACCCTATGTAATTCAGACACCTGCATAAACCTGACTTTCCACTATGGCCCAATGCTGTATACATCTTTGTAACCCTATATAGTTCAGACACCTGTATAAACCAGACTTTCCACTATGGCCAAATGCTGTATAAATCTTTGTAACCCTATATAGTTCAGACACCTGTATAAACCAGACGTTCCACTATGGCCAAATGCTGTATAAATCTTTATAACCCTATATAGTTCAGACACCTGTATAAACCAGACTTTCCACTATGGCCAAATGCTTAATAAATCTTTATAACCCTATATAATTCAGACACCTGTATAAACCAGACTTTCCACTATGGCCAAATGCTGTATAAATCTTTATAACCCTATATAGTTCAGACACCTGTATAAACCAGACGTTCCACTATGGCCAAATGCTTTATAAACCTTTGTAATACTATATAATTCAGACACCTGTATAAACCAGATTTTCCACTATGGCCCACTGCTGCAGGTCATATTCACTTATCCCGGTTGAAACTGTCTAGCTGGTGTTACAGAAATATTCTGCGATAAACAAATGCACTTGAACCAAATTGTAGGCAAAGATATAAAATGCTCAAAATTTTGGCATTAATTCTCAAGATACTTGATAAAATTTTAAATGACACACAGCACATATTTTTTGTTTTTATTGCATTAAAAATATCACAGTTTAAGTTATGAGTGTGTCGTTCAAAATCACATGATCAATGACAAGTCTGTGGTCCCTGACATGGCTGGAACAATCATTCTACCAAACGCTAAATTGAACACGTCTGCAGATCCCAACAGACTCAGCCAGAAGCTGGGAATCCCCCGACCGTTTGACCAGGATCAGTGTCTAAACGGCAAGCTTCCAATGCCATACTCGGGGAGCATTGTATTCAAATTTGACTCCTCATTCAAATAACAAGGAAAATAGACATCTTTCTCTGAAGTTGGAATGATGCTCCCCGACAGTATTTAATCAAATGTCCTTATCTTAGTAGGAGGAGCTAACACATTGTCTCTATTAATTGGACGCCATCACGCACCAGGTTTAAGTCATATCATCCATTTTCAGTCAGTGAGGTGGATTCTATGTTATCATTTTCCCCTTTTATACTCAATTCTCCATTTTCAACTTGTTCTTTAGAATTATCTCCCTTCGACTGTCGGGGGTGGAAATACATCTGACGGAATGATGCATCCTCGTAGTGATCCACTTCCACTTGAGCGTTGTCCGATTCGTGGATTTCCTGGAAACAAAAAAGGAAAACAATTCAGTGTTCACCCTATGGATGGAATATTTGTTACCAGGGCTGTTTCGTTTAAACGGTTAAACCGGTCGAACCACAGTTGTTCGTTTATTAAATAAGGTGGGACCTAGTAATATGATGCTGGTTTCAGGCGAGCCTTGACAAAGCCTTGCAAGGCCGGCATATACATTTGCAGGTTCGCCAGGATTAATACCCGAAATTGTTACATTTATTAACGGACAAACTGGTTGTTCCGCATAAACGAACAGGCCCCAGATATATTAAATTTCTGTTTTGATGAATATACAGGGGAGTGACCTGAGTGACCATCATATGACCTCAGCTATCCTATGGTCTTAAATCCAAGCAAAAGGCCTAGAGGGTCTGTTTTGCTCATCTGAATATTTAAGCAATCATGGCAAAATATTCTCATTTAAGAATTGTATATTTTCTCCATTTTGTACCAGGGATGCTCCTTAGCAGATTTGGTTCAGATATGTATGCACGTATACATGGTTATCGGGTTGGAATCTCAATAAGTTGGTCTACATAATGTATCAAAGTATCATGGCTCTAGACTTTTATAATTCTTTAGATAATGTTGTTTGAAGATTTTAACATATTTGACCCCTTTTGACCTTGAAAGAAAGTCAAGGTGATCGATATGTGAAAATTTATAGCAACCATTCCCAGATACTTACGAGCAAAATATCAGAACCCTGAGCCTAATGAAACTTAGAAAGTTGTTTACCTTATATAGGTGTTGTTTGAATTTTTCACATTTTGACCCCTGTGACCTTGAAAGTAAGTCAAGGTCATTTATATAAAGAGACTTTTTAGCACTCTATTATGGGTATCTACCAGCTGAATATCATAACCCTAGGCCTTTGGAATTTAAGAAGGAGATTCTTATTTTTTTTTAAACTACTTGATAACCTTTGACCCTGACTAGTTTTCAGAGTAAACATTTTGCCTAAACACAATATGCTAGACAGCTGGTATCATACCCTCAGATCATGGCTCTCTATTTTATGATTCTTAAGAAAACGTTTTTTGATTTTTTTTAACATATTGGACTCCTGTGATCTTCAAAGTAGGTCAAGGTCATTTAAAATTTATAGCACTCCATCCTAACTATTTACTGGGCAACGATCTGGAACCTGGAAATTTCAGTTTTCATGAAGATGTTGTTCAAAGGAAAACATTGACACACAGACGTTGACCATATCATAAGCTCTCGGGGCCCCTTGAGCAAGGTGAGCTAATAAAACAAACACTCATATTCTTCACAATCAACTTTGGTATCTATGTTTGAATACAAAATTATGCTCAAACTAGAATGTCCAGTTCAGGACCAATGGCTACAACTCATATAGCTACTCTGATCAAAATTCAGAAAATGAATGAACCTACATTAGTTCATTAATTTTACCTCAAATGGACGGACTTTCTCCATGGTGATAAGACGTCGGGAAATCCGGCAGTTCAACGCCTGTTCACAGTTGGCTATGCGATGCAGACAGGGATGAGTTGGGATGTTTTCCTCCTTGTAGCTGTAAGTCAGAAGTGTACGATTAATATGTACATGAATAATCAATATTTTAGACAAAGGCTACATAACACCCTCCATTTCTTTAGATGAACTTGTTCCAGCAAATTTCCATAAAAAGTAACAGTGACCTTTGGACTTTGGATCACTTCACTCATTGACCTCTGAAATTTCATAATGAACTCTTCCAACCTTTGAATTGGAAGAGTCCAAATGTGTCTTTAGGGGTAAATGAGTCAAATACAAACTCAGGTATCTAGTATTCTTTAACTTGAACGAAATTTGGTCGAAATTTGCTAAGAAATACAGCCACTAGAGTAATGACACTGAATTGGGATGAGCTATGATGAACATGAATGAAGTTTAATGAAAACAGCGGTCTATAGTTTGAATATCTGCTAATGTGCAGTATCTCAGCAGGATGTAACCAAGCTTAACAATTCTCGCACCTCAGACAGAGATATCCCACGTCATACCCCATGCTAGATTTTTCTATCTCATCCGATCCGTCTTGTACCTTTACGTGACATTTCCCAGAATTTTTACACTGCAATGTATTCATCCGCGCGTTAACTGCTTGAAATTGACAATTTGCATTATAAATGTTCTGTTTTGTCGTTATTGTATAGTTTTGGTGTTGTTAGATATTTGATGTTGTAGATAAAATACAATCTACACTGTGAAATACGTTGTAATCTATTTAAGGACGGACTACATTTTTACGTGGAAGCATTCAAATGTAGCTTTAGTAGTGAAGTAGTCATTATCATTTGAGGCCCAAGGCGGGATACTTGTAGTTTTTAGCAAAATTGAATAGTTCTTTTTGAAATAAAACGTACAAGAAAAAAATTCAATTACCTGTAACTGAGCGAGATCGGTTATCTCAGTCTCGGGCTAAGATTTTGTAACATCCCAACCTCGGCTTACGCCTCAGTTGGGATTTTGTTACAGAATCTTAACCCTCGACTGACATAACCCGATCTTGCTCAGTTACATGTAAAAGATTTTATTATACTCACCTTCGTCTGTACACCGGAAACCAGTAGACCAGACGGCCACCCATGTGTAGAAACTTGGCCGCAAAGTTGAGCAGATCTTTGAAGATCTGACCCAGATGGTAATCTACCTTATGAGGAACATGTCCAATTTTCCTAGGAATAAAAACAATATGAACTTCATTTCTAGGTTAAGTTCTAATTCCTGTTTTATTTAGAGGGAATACTCTGAAAAGGGACCTGAAGCAAGGCACTTGCCTTATAAGTGCCTTACAACTGATTATTTTCTGCAGGTGCAATTTTTTGTGGATTTGATAGTCTAAAATATGAAAGTTTAGTTTTTGCCTTTTGGTTTTATTTCTTTTATTCAAATCTTAAAAACCACAAAAATAAATATTTTTGTTGGATATTGATATACATACCACTGAAGACTGGATGTACATTTATATATCATGTTAACATTTTTGGCCTGGAACTGTTTGTTCCACTATCATACCCATGTGTTGACAGGCAGTTTTCCTTTTTCACTTTTGAAAATTGTACTATAGTAATCTAGCCATTTTACTTGGAAACAAAATGGTCCAACAACTTGTTTATTTACATTGTGCGATTAAACAAACTTACTGGTCGTCAGACAGTTTGACATCCTCAACACCTGTGCCCACTTTCTTCGCTTTCTCTCTCACACCATAAGGAGCTGTACAAACAGATTAGGTAGCAATGCTGAGCTGAGGATATAGGCACTTTCAGGAATTTATTTCATATTTCAGATATTGAGACAATCTCTTTAAATGGTTAAAATCTTGAGCAATACAGCATGACATTTTGAATATTAGCACCTTCCGACATCTGACATGTTCTTCCATAACAGACATGTGTCTGCAATGTAGTACCAGAATGGATGATTCCATTTTACTCGAAATATATCTAATTTGAAGTATCATAATAATAATAATATAATGATTCGAGGTTCTTATATACAGCTTTATCACAATCTAGTTTGTAGGTCGTCTCAAAGCGGTTCACAAATTATTATCCGTGGTTATAGGGCCTTTGCAACCTTTCTCAACTCCCTGGAGAGCATACAGCTGGAGCTGTCATTTCGGCGCTCACAGCTAGCATTCAACAATTCTAGCACTGTCTAACCATGTACTGATTTACAGCTGAGTAGACTGGAACAAGCGGAGTAAAGTATATATCTTGCTCAAAGATACAACACAGTGCCGTGCCGTGACTCGAACCCGCAACCCTTCGGTCACGAGCCCGGCGTCCTACCACTAGACTACCGTGCCTCATATAATTATATTTGTGTACGGAGCTGTAAACAAAGAGCTGTGTGAATTTTACAAACTGATCACCTCAAAGACAATTCCAATGTGTAGCCTCTCTTGTCATTTGTAATACAAAATGTTATAAAAATTGTTGTAAAAAAGAAGTTCCATAATTTGTCACCATCATTTGTGATGTTTGCCGAATCCCTAAGACTATAGCAAATTTTGTTAATAAGAACACTTTGCACTTACACCTGGACCAGTAAGCATGACTACCGGTGATAACTGTTGTAATCCTATTTTTTTAATAAATCTAGGGGACCTCATATGTTTTTTCACAATATATATATATACGTTCCAACAACATATAAGAAAAGAACTAGATGCTTGAAATTGATTAACATTTTGTCTATAAATACTTTGTCTATAAATTTGCTTACGATCAGTAATGATGGCATCGAACATAGGCTGCTGGCGCCACATGCGGTGCTTGGATGCGTCTCCAATGACAGCGTCAAGGTAAAAGTCTCCTAGGCCATATTGGCAGAGGTTAGCCTGAATACTCTCGTCCGACTCTCGTTTCTCCTGCTTTGCGCGTGAGGGTTTACCTGAAGGAGAAAACATGACCTAGATTATTGTGCCTTCGAGCATTACTGTATACATGTACTGGAAAATATTCGCCAAGTCAAACTTAGCTCTTCACCTGTGAAATACAAATTTGTTAATTTTGCCTTTTACATTTAATTACTATGCAAATCGTATTGTTGACTAACGTTCGCTGTAATGATAAACTCCTATCCTCATTCCAGAGGGCAAAATAAAGGCGAAAATTAAACTGCAACGATAATTTCCCAGTAAACAGTAAAAGCAAAATTATCCTTTTGTCATTTTCTATGACAATTGTAATAGTTATTGATATCAGCAACGCATAAACTTTGATTACATAGACTTACAACCTTATTTTACCAAAATAGCACATTAATATGACTTAAGCTATTTGAGGATGTAAAACCTTGAACAGGTTTTCTTTCACTTCATAGCTTGATGGATTTAGGAAGTCAGATCAGATACAAAACAGAATCAGCACATTTATTCCCGTTAAAATATCAACTAGACTAGGGATATCATGAGACACTAATATTTTACAACTTTACATGTCTGAAATTTTTCTGTGAAGATCCATATTTACAATCTACTGTCACCAGAAATAAATGAGACACAGATAAAGGTTCACAAAGCTAACAGTTAAGATGTGCTGTGCCAAGCTGTTTCTCTTCATGGCTGCCCCCTTTGACAGTAGGTATAAACCTTACTTGTAAGCTGAGTGTGTTTAGCTAAGGGAGTATATATCAACCTTACTTGTAAGCGAGTGTGTTAAGCAAGGGGAGATAATACATTAGCTTACCTCTAGCGTGTAGGAGTAGATAGTTGATGTCTGTGCCCATCACGTAGGCTCCATGGTGGGCACAGGCCACAAGTAAGCTGCCTGGATAAAACAAAGAGATAGATTATCAATTCTGTACATAATTACATAATAAATACACTTCTCCCGTCCCTACGTATGTACTACTAAACACTTACCTGTATCTCACATGGTTGCACTCAGTGATCTTTATCATTATGACGTCACAATCCGGTGACAGCTTTGTCCAGTATTATGAAATCTTAATCGAAACTCATCAAAATGACATTTGACGGACTGTGACATTGATGCCAGCAACTGGCACCCCTTTATAATTAAGAACATGAGAGTAATTGCAAAAGCTTGCCTTGCATGGATCTTTGAATTTGAGGTATACCTATGGTGTTCCATACTTTACTCTGCTCCTATCAGCCTTAGTTTATATATACATTGACTAGAAATTTCGCTGTATTGCATTGTTTTTGTTCCGCTTTACCAAAATTTAAGGTGTGAGGAAAAGGTCAATCATTATGTGGGTATGTGGGATAACGAAATTCCACCCTCCGATGCAGAATTTGGTGGCAGAGCCTTCAACAAAGCCACAGTTCTGACTCAAATTCTACACCATTGGGTAGAACATCCATATCCCATATAAAGTTCTACATAATGATTGATTCTATATAAATTTTGAGGCAGATCACTAAACCAGATGGGTCAGTGATGTAGTGTTCTAATGATGAAGCTTACACTAAAGTTTGCGTAGTCTCCTATTATTACTATTAAACTTATCAAAACCCATTTCAATAACAGTCACCATCACCTAAATTTGCAGCCAACCAATATGACAGTGTCTGGATTAAGTAATATATCTATAAAAGGCTCTTGTTGCAGCATACATTACCCATGGTACAGTACAGTAGATTTCGCTTAATATCACTTATAATTTGTCATGTGAAAATGTGATATTAACAGGAACATGACATAAAGAGAAAACGTATTTTTCTGACCATTTCAGATGTCAAAACCTGGAAATGACCGTATTTAAATGTCCAAGTGATATGTTATTAAAAAGAAGATCGTTTGATAAAATATTTGTGATTGACACAACTTTTCTTTAGAAACGGAGAATTAATCGCTTTTTATTTGTTTATTTCATTTAAATATGCAGCTAAAATACTTGCTAATTCCGGCTGTGCTCTACGATCGTACGGGATCAAATAAGCCTAGAGGCTAGATCGACATGTAGGCTTAGTTGCCGTCGGCTGCTAGTCTATATTCTGCTCCGAATTAAGTCGTAAAGAATGTCATGTTAGTACAAATTTACCTTAATCTTTTCAATGCTTTGATTTTGAAAACATCTTTGTAGTACATACATACCTGTTCCAACAAATGGGTCGATGACTAGGTTATCCTTCTTCACCTGGCCGATGTTTGCCATCAGGAGGGAGAGACAAGCGTCCATACTAGTGTTAGCTGAACACAAAATAGCGGCACATTCAACGTAAATTTTAAATGGAAAGGGAATAGTTGTATGAACCAGGGACATGACTTCCTTACGGAGTCTCGTACCACTGCCAAAAAATGTAACAAAGTATTGGAAACTGTTTTATCCAGCAGGATCTTTTATGAAAAGTAAACCATACCTTGCTGGACTTTAATGAGAAATGATTAAGATGAGATAAACAAAATATAATCAACAACGGTGTTCTGACTGTGAAAACCCCCCCAGCTAGATCGGGATTCCAACCCTGAACTTCTGACTGTGGTACTATTATTCTAACTACAATGTAACTGCAAACTTGGTCAACAGAGGTGTAAGGGCCAAACGGTGTTACAGATATATCCAAATAGAAGTTAAAGGGAGGTTACTGTTTACAGGAAAAACCACAGTGGGACGGGGATCCTCAACACAGAATAGACATATTTTAACGACATAAATCCCCCTGAATATCAGTCAATAGATTATTACACATTATTGCCTTGGTTGGAGTCATGGGTTAAATGATCTTATAAAATTGACCTCACACAAGGAGTTTCTCAATTAATATTCAGGATTTCTTTATTTTTATTAAAAAGGAAATTACTTAAACTACTACTTAAAATACAATGTAGTACATATGTATCTAATATCTCTACCGTGATCATTGTCAATAAAGACATCAATGATTGGAAAAAAAGACTTGTTGGCACTAGAAGTATTGGAATTTTGCATTTACCTAGAGCAGTGTCCATTAAATGTCCTGAGCTATATGTTCATTAAAGATGCCACATCGAGAGTTTACCAAAATCACCTGCTCTCTAAATTGCTCTAAACATACATGTTATGTACAAATATAGACATTGAAAGTAGAAATGATGAGCAACAACCCCACTGAATCGGGTACAAAATGTAATGTTTGTACCGGACTCAGTGGTGTTGTTTGTTGTTACTCATCATTTCTATTTTCATTTGCTCTGCTTTCCCTGATGAGCACTGTTGAGTACCATTAAGGTATCCACCCCAGGATCTCTAGTGCCACTATGGAACTGACTTCCTTGCAGGGACATTGGGTATCCACCCCCCAGTTGTTAGATATAGACATTGTATGAGGGATACCTATAAACTTCCTGCTCTGTAGGGTGTATTTTCGAATAGCGTCTCTTTGACCCTCGGAAATCTGAAGAAAAAAAAAAAAAAAAAAAAAAAAAAANCATTACCAGTACTTTTATGTAGAGATCTTGAATTTTGATGTACTACAGTAAATTCCACTAAAAAATGTATCATCTTTCCCGAACATTCTAAGTCCATGTATTCACATGTACTTTTTTGAGTTTATTTCTTCAGCATATGAAACTTGTAAGGCTTATTTCATAAAAACGATAATGATCAATGGGAACTCATTACCTTCTACAAATGAAACAAAAAACATGTTTATAATTTTTTTATCTTTCAATTTTACCTGTCTCCCAAAATATATCTGATGAGGATTTTCTGGAGCCTGGCTGCCGAATGGTCCATAATCCTCGAGGAGAAAAAAGGCCTCGTCCGGATTGTCCAAACTTACATCCCCTTGGAATGCTAGTACATCTTGAGGTAAATGCTACAAAAAACATCTGCTTTAAAAACCTATCAAAAAAGTTTTATAAACATCACGACATATAAAACAGATTTACGTTGAAATATAGACTCGAAACGTTGAATATGTGCATTTTTTCCTTGTTTTCCTAAGAGCAACTCATTTTCCACATGTACCCAGTATGTCTATAACTGAACTATCAAGATAAAATTGAAGGCACATAGCTGGCTATTTGATTGGTTTCAGGCAAAAAACAACCTGACCAATTGCTAGGCTGATACCTGTCCTTTGAAGATTACAGAGGAGCGACACACAACTTCAAAGCGAGTCATATTTACCATTACACAACCATGAGATTCTTTGATGTACATCAAAGGATCAAACTAGTCTTGACATCTTATCCACAAGGTGGTGCACACTGAGCCTTCAATTTCGCTATGACATACTTGAGGGGTGCAGAGGGCGAAATTGAATGTAACTTCTGAAGTATCGAGGATGTGATTAACTATGGTTAATACCAATCTACCCAGTAAAATACTCCATGATAAACGATAGGGTTAGTAAGTAAGGAGGCGCGGTAGTCTAGTGGTATGACGCCGGGCTCATGACCAAAGGGTTGCGGGTTCGAGGCACGGCACTGTATTGTACCCTTGAGCAAGATAATGAGTACGTGGTTGGGCAGCGCTAGAATTGTTGAATACTAGCTGTGAACGCCGAAATGGCAGCTCCGGCTGTATGCTCCCCAGGGAGTTGAGAACGATATTGGCTGGTTGCAAAGGACCTACAGCCACGGATAATAATTTGTGAACCACTTTGAGACGACCTACAAACTAGGTTGTGATAAAGCGGTGTATAAGAACCTCAAATTATTAAGTAAATCAGAGATACCTTGATAGTCATTTACTCAATAACAATCAATATTACAACTTACCTGAAACATTTCCAGCTTATACGAATGGCTGAGCTTCTTGTTAAAAGCATCCAACTCAAACTTAAAAGATTTTTCTTTGACAAAATGTGGGACCTAAGAGTAAAAGAGGTCATAGTATGGTTGATATATTGACAATCAATTAATAGGAATAATTTGAATTCCTGAACCCATTGACTTTCGTCAATAATTGACTGAATCTATATACAAAATACAGAATAACATGTAAAATTGTCAAAGATTTTTGCACTAAAATTTAAATTATCTGGTTTTACATTTCACCAAAAGCATGAAATTAAAAATAGACTTTAAATTATAAATACAATATTTTCAGTGAAGTAACAACACATGCCTGCTAGGACATTTACATGTAATACCCCTCAGTACAAATAACAAGGTGATACATGTAATACCCCTCAGTACGAACAACAAGGTGATACATGTAATACCCCTCAGTACAAATAACAAGGTGATACAGTTCATAGTCTAAGGTGATACGGGTCAATTAAGCTGATTTTGGACCCTAAAATTGAGCATTTTCAATCAGTGAATATCCTAATTCTGTTTTCTAAGATCGGATGGTTTCATCTGAAAGAACAACTCAAAAGATGCCATTTAAAAGTGTTATGTTTTCCCTAGGGTGTATATACACACATATTATTTAAGATTTCAATTCTGAGCACAAGTACAGTAATCTCCCCCATGAAAATTTCAAAAAGTTGGCACGTATGAAGATTTAGAATACTACATTTAAGATTTCAGGTGTCTTTCTGAAATAACTAATTGTTCATTAGATTACAAACCATGATGTTTCTGTTTGTTTCTCTCAGACTTTCGTTCAATTCTGAATATGTGCCGCCATGTCCCCAAAGTTCAATGATGTTCCTGGAAACACAATATATACAAGAAATGAAAATCTGCTCACATATAGAAGAGTTACCCTATTACTCAGTATTAGCCTCTGTTCCCTATTACTCAGTATTAGCCTCTGTTCCCTTTTACTCAGTATTAGCCTCTGTTTCCTATTACTCAGTATTAGCCTCTGTTTCCTATTACTCAGTATTAGTCACTGTTGCCTATTACTCAGTATTAGCCTCTGTTCCCTATTACTCATTATTAGCCTCTGTTTTCTATTACTAAGTATTAGCCTCTGTTTCCGATTACTCAGTATTAGTCACTGTTGCCTATTACTCAGTATTAGCATCTGTTCCCTATTACTCAGAATTAGCCTCTGTTCTCTATTACTCAGAATTAGCCTCTGTTCCCTTTTACTCAGTATAAGCCTCTGTGCCCTATTACTCATTATTAGCCTCTGTTTCCTATCACTCAGTATTAGCCTCTGTTACCTATTACTCAGTATTAGTCACTGTTGCCTATTGCTCAGTATTAGCCTCTGTTTCCGATTACTCAGTATTAGTCACTGTTGCCTATTACTCAGTATTAGCATCTGTTCCCTATTACTCAGTCTTAGCCTCTGTTCCCTATTCCTCAGTATTAGCCTCTGTTTGCTATGACTCAGTATTAGCCTCTGTTCCGTTTTACTCAGTATTAGCCTCTCTTTCCTATTACTCAGTATTATCCTCTGTTTCCTATTAATCAGTATTAGTCTCTTTTCCCTATTACTCAGTATTATCCTCTGTTTCCTATTACTCAGTATTATCCTCTGTTTCCTATTAATCAGTATTAGTCTCTTTTCCCTATTACTCAGTATTAGACTCTGTTCCCTATTACTCATTATTAGCCTCTGTTCCCTAATACTCAGAATTCACCTCTGTTCCCTATTACTCAGTATAAGCCTCTGTTCCGTATTACTCATTATTAGCCTCTGTTCCCTAGTTCTCAGTATTAGCCTCTGTTCTCTATTACTCAGCATTAGCCTCTGTTCCCTATTACGCAGTATAAGCCTCTGTTCCGTATTACTCATTATTAGCCTCTGTTCCCTAATACTCAGAATTCACCTCTGTTCCCTATTACTCAGTATTAGCCTCTGTTCTCTATTACTCAGTATTAGCCACTGTTTCCTATTACTCAGTATTAGCCTCTGTTCTCTATTACTCAGTATTAGCCTCTGTTCCCTATTACTCAGTATTAGCCTCTGTTCCCTATTACTCAGTATTAGCCTCTGTTCCCTTTTACTCAGTATTAGCCTCTGTTCCCTATTACTCATTATTAGCCTCTGTTTTCTATTACTCAGTATTAGCCTCTGTTTCCTATTTCTCAGTATTAGCCTCTGTTCCCTATTACTCAGTATTAGCCTCTGTTCTATCATTGACTTATTGCAGTCCTCATACTGCTACCTTTCATCAATACATTATCCTCATTTTCCCCTCAATTTCTATTAAATGTCTAAATGAATATCAAAAAGTGTGCCTCTTCAACTTCAATTACAATCAAATATCTAAATCAATATCCAAATTGCCCCTTTTTTATACTTAAATGAGTGTCAACCATTCCTCCTTTAGCACCCCCTCCCCCCAACTTTCCAACAAATGTCTAAATGAATATCCACACATTAATCCCTTTAAGATTTTAATGGTATTTCCACATTGCCCTTTTATTTGGCCATCTATAGCTATCAAGGTTCGATTTAAGAGTGCACATTGCCACCTATCAAAGCTACTTTACTCCAAAAAAATCTGATTCATTAGTAATTTCGCCAAACATGAAAGGATTCTTCCCTAAATAGACTCATATACCTATTACCCTCTTTAAAGGATTGTGAACCGTTAGATATTTACAACAGTGTAATTTACTTACTTTATCAAAACTGACCGACTTCCAATTTTTCTCACATCCTCCTCAGAGAGTATCTTGACCTTTAGGTAAGGACTCTGTTTCCAAAAAATTAAAAGGATATTTTAATGTGGTGAATGGAAAAAAATGTCACATATCCTTTAATCCTTTAATACCTTTTAAATTTTATTTTATATATGTCTAGGAATTGTTTCCTTTTATCTATATTTCAAATCATAACAAGATTTTTGCCATATTACGCTATCTGTATCCCTGAAATATGTCATAGAAAAATTGAAGGCACATGGCTAGATACTGACGAGGCTGATATATGTGTCCCTTAGAGATTACATCACCGACAGATTATTTTGATGTATATCAAATGATCAAGCTAGTCTTCTCGTTATACTGAGCCTTTAAGTTTGTCATGACAGAGTCCAGGGGTGCAGAGGGCAAAAAGTGAACGTAACCCCTGCTGGAGTGTCGAGGATGGCGGGCCAGTTAAGGCAGTATTTCACTTATTCATTGGTTGTTACAGAAGATACAACTGTGACCATGGGGATCATACATGTATAAAAAGTTTTATAATGATCCAGGATATTTGTAGTTTCTAAGAAACAACAGCAACCAAATTTATTAACAACAACTGAGTGACTGACTGATTGTGTGACTGATGACTGACAGATGCAGATGCTGGATGACAGACAAAAACAGATTTGATGATCGTGGCCTAAAAAAATCACTTGCCTACTCATCCTGTTTTATACTACACACACACAGTACATAATTGCCAACTCTCTCTATTTTTGAGTGAAATTCCCAAATGTTTACCCTAAAATTAAACATTGCAGCAAGTGAATTTGCCAAATAGTTTGTATTTTCAGAGATCTGTTGATTTTATCTGAAGAGACAACTCAAAAGATGTCATTTTACAGTGTTCTTTTTCCCCTTGGGGGTATATATATATATATATACACATGTATTTTCAGAGGTTTTCAATTTTGAGCACACAGAATATCCCCCATGGAAATTTCAAATAGTTGGCAATTATGACGGTTGGAATATATTTGGCCTAAACCTAATTAGCCCAGTTAACTTGGCTATATCTACAAACTGTATATGTATATGTACCAGAACTTACCTCATCTCCAAGGCTTTTCTCATCCCACTGGATATCAACATTAAATAGGTCAATCAATGCCTTCAATTCCTGTAAAATTTAATGAAGAATACATCGTGATTCAGAAAACTTAAAAGAAAAAATATTTGATTTATATCTAAATAACAGTATTTCAAATACAAATATGAAAATCACACAATGCAAAATGAAATCTTCTCGAATTTTTTTAACATGCTGATATTAATAACAATTAACAAATTATTTCAATTATTACAATATCAATTTGTATTAATATCTTCCCATGTTTCCACATCTATTATATGTCTGATGATTACAGGGCATCTCACTTTAAAATTTAAAACGATTGAAAACAGCTTGATCGTTTACTATAATATATCGGTTATCATAATTTATAATATTTTTCTCTGGCAAAAAGAATATCATAATAAGCGGGTCCCACTGTACAATGTATTGGAAATACAATCTCATACAAAAACAAAAAAAAGACATGTGCAGAAAATACAAAACAGGAAATAGAAAAGGGTGGTCAGTGAACAGCAGCAGGCTGGACACTCACCTTTCACCACTGAAGACCAGTACAGTATCATTTACAAATTATGCTTCAACATTATAAATGGATAGGGGCCTACTAGTTACTTTATGGAATGATCTACACCTGTAGGGGGAGGAGGGACAACTTTTCCACAATACTGTTACGGTAGTAATCTGGTGACCTCATAAAGAAGTTAAAGAGGATAAAGCCTGGTTAGCTTTACATATAAATTCATGTTTTAATTAACAGAATAATTTCTTGGTAACATTGACAAAATCATTTGAAATGCATTTCATGTCAAAATTTATTTCAGCTGATCTTAATCAGGTCTTATTGTATAGTACTAATGAGTTCCATAGATCATCTGACGGCGCCTGTCAAAAGTATCTTGTCGTTCTAGTAAGTTGGCAGAAAAATGCATGGCCAGACTGGGATTTAAACGTGGAAGCTTCTGAACTCTGCACTCTCTACTAATTAAGCACTACGTGGCAGATCGCCAACGGTCGATGAAGTCAAGTTCATCAACAATCTGTTAAATTGTGATATTGTTGCAGTACCTTCCACATCGCCTTCATAGTCTGTGGTTACTTAGTATGCACATAGCCCTCAACCTGAAGATTTGAACCAACCTTGCTTACATATTGGCCTTTTGTTCCACAACATTAAACTAACTTCTGAGATCGAAAACTTTTAAAACTTCTAATGAATTAATCAGTTGTAGACAAAAGAAAGATGTTGGATGACTCTACATTCTACAGCTTCATTCAGAAATAAGGTTAAAACATGTCCTTGGCTCAAACAACTTTAACTATAGGAGGCAAGGTAGTCTAGTGGTAGGACGCTGGGTATGTGACCGAAGGGTTGCGGGTTCAACTCCGAGTCACGGCACGGCACTGCGTGTATCTTTGAGCAAGATACTTTACTCTGCTTGTTCCAGTCTACTCAGCTGTACATGAGTATTTGGGATTGGCAGTGCTAGAATTGTTGAATGCTAGCTGTTAGCGGCGAAATGGCAGCTCCGGCAGTATGCACCCCAGGGAGTTGAGAGAGATATTGGCTAGTTGCAAAGGCCCTATAACCACGGATAATAATTTGTGAATCGCTTTAAGACGACCTTTAAACTAGGTTGTGATAAAACAGTATATAAAACTTCGAAATATTATTATTATATAAGAAACAGATTCTCAATACGCATGACGTTCACCATAAATTAAAGAGGCCGCTGGTCGGCTATTGTGAACAGGTTTTATTGTGCCAATGCATGGCGCTTGTCAAAAGTTGATGACGAAATCTTATCAATTTTTGTGAAAAACAATCTCTTCGTCTTCCTACTATTTATGTCCTAGATCAATATTGACGATTATGCCATATATTTAAATGAATCTATCAACATGAATGAAGAAATCAATAAGGTGTTAAATTAAATAAGACATATTACCGCAATCCTGAAATCTGTGTGCTGATGAGCGAATTGGATCAAGTAATTTCCCCTAATGCGTGAAGCTCTCATGGGCGCAGCCATATTGGAAAAATTCTAGAGCTCTTTTGCGTTTGAGATAAAATTACAATAAATTAATCTCTATAAAAAGGTGATTGTGTAATTTACTAAACTGTAATTAATATCAACAAAATTGTATTAATGTATCATTTTACAATTCAGTCTTTATCATCACCATAGGTAAAAAGTTGTTAAAAGACAAAATGATAAAATATCTAATTATGATTTAGAGAGTATTCTAGATCCCAAACTGTCATGGCGTCCCCCGGCCAGGAATTGTTGTACTGCAGCGTTAAAAACCAGTTACAGTCGCCACAAGATGCAATCATTACCACACTTCACTGGAGTCTCGTGTCGAACGGACACAAATGCATTGGCCTCGGCGAAATGGTTTGTTGTCATTATCTCTTTGTGCTGGAAATGGAAAAAATGACGATGTTACTTTGGTCGCATAGATCATCTATTTAGTAAATACTGTATGATCACGGTCGCCTTCTAGCTTCGAGCTAGAGGGAATTTCCCTTTAGTTCTGTGTTAGAGCGTCCGACTAGGGTTCGATCCCCGGTGGAAACACACTATTCTCTTTCCTGTTACAATATAATGCCGTCACATGCAGACATTGGATCAGCGATTGTAAACATCTTCCCGAATCGAGTGTTCTCACAGTAGACAGGTTGGGCACAACAGCGCATATGGGTAATAATCCTGCATTTGGGTAACATCTTTGTATGTTATGGTTGAATACACTTTTTTTTTACTTCACTTACCTTATTGAAAATCGCCATATCTATTGGTTATTACAAACAACTTTGGTTGAACAGTTTTCGGTTTTGAAAGTATTTCACGACCTTTGAAGCTTTAGAAAAGTCGGGACATCTAAAATCACGAAATGTCAAAACTAGAAAAAACGTTCAACCAAAAGTTGTTTATAATAACCATATAAATAGCGATTTTTAATAAAGATAGTGAAGTACATTTTTTTTTATTTTTTATATAGGATAGTAAAAGAAGATTCGAAGTGCATTAAACCATAACATACAAAGATGTTACCCAAATGCAGGATTATTACCCATATGCGCCTTTGTGCCCAACCTGGTTGAGTGTTCATACTCCAGACATATCTGATACTCACTTAAACACCAATCATTGTTACAGAAAAGAAGTTTTTGAAATATGTGTGATTGAAAATAAGCAATATTATATATATTGTTTGGATAAGGCAACAAAATTATATATGTGTGTTTCGGGTAACATACCCAAAACAATTAGGGTAGGTAAGTAGGTAACAACTTTTCCACCATCCTTTTTTTGGAGGGGTGTGTGTGTGTTAGTAGAGTAGGATTGAACAGCAAAAAATATTCTTTGCAAATGCCTAAATGGTATAAATACTTTTACAGAAGAATAAAAGTGTCTGCAGCAGCTGAAATGCAGTTTAATTGACAGGCAGTGACAGCAATGGGAAGTGAGTGGTTATCAGCAGTATAGAGCTATGTACGACATTGGTTGTCAGATTTGCTAAAACTGGTCCAGACTCGAGCAGGGTTTTAATTAATTTGCCAGCATACTATAGGACCCATCCTCGATATCCAGGGGTTACGCTCACTTTCGCTCTCTACAACCCTGGAATATGTCATTGCAAAATTGAAGGCATGAAGCTAGCTGTTTGATTGGTCTCGGGTAAAAAAACAAACGACCAATCGCTAGGCTGATACTCGCCTTTAAAGATTACAAAGGAAAGACGCCTGACCTCAAAGCCAGTCAATTTGTACCGTTACGTGACTGCGAGATTATTTTGATGTACATCAAAGGATCAAACTAGTCTTCTTGTCTCATCCACAAGGTGGTACACATGTCCACTGAGCCTTCAATTTTGTTATGACATATTCCAGATATGAATATCTAGGATGCAAAGTACCATGCCGCAGATCAACATGACACAAGTACCCATTTACTTAAAATGACACCAGGCCAACCAGCCATGTCCTACACCTTAATGGTGAACGCTAACCAGGAAAGCAACATGTGCCAATTTTTAAGAGACGCAACAGCAATGAACCATAATGCTTTCTTTTTAACTGTTGGGCATAAATATACATGTACCTACTGTTTTGCCTATAGATTTACTATATATATATATTTTATGGTACAAACAACAACAATCAATAAACAAACTGTGAAATAGCATTTATTAATCCTGATCAAATCTTCTGTATTATTATAATCACCATGGAAACTGTGAATGGAAATCTTAATAACAAACTGTTGAAACGACTATGTGGGATCTCTCCAATTCCTTGAAGATTCATATCAGCATCTATTTCTCCGTTGTTGGAAGAGAAAACAAAAACGAAACTGCAAGAAAATCTTAGAAAGAGGCAAATTAACACATATTCATCACATATTGAATTGATTTTATAAAAGTGTGTTAATTACTTCTGACGCCATCAACATTGCACTTACGCTGAACGACCCAGCGCCAGCCCCCCTGTCTTTATACCAGCTTATTGAGAAGTAGTCTCCTTTCTCGCTAAATATTTCGGTAATCTTCCTATGTGCAGGAAATGAATGTATGATGGGTTTTTCCGCAGAATGCAGGCATTTTTACAATTTTGGTCATGGCTGAATTTGTGTGCCATTTGCAATATTGATGTCAGCGGAATCAGTTATGCATTTAGAAATGGTATTTTCAAACTTGCTACTTCAAGCGTCTAAACTACCTTGTTTGATAAATATTGAATACCAGAACCGATAGCGGTAAAAATCTGGATTTTGAATAAAAAGTTGTAGAGTTCTTTCAGGGCATTGACAGTTACATTGCAGTATATCGTTAGCTAGGATGTAGAATAACAATAGTTTTTAAAAAAATTGCTCAAAGTCATATGAATTTTTATCTTGTTCAACCCTGAAATTTCATAATGAACTCTTCCAACCTTTGAATTGAAAGAGTTAAAAATGTGTCTCAAGGTGTGAATGAGTTAGTATCTTCCCATGTTTCCACATCTATATATATGTCTGATGATTATAATGATCATCTCACTACTGGTGCAGACAACCTTAAAATGATCGAAAACAGCTTGATCGTTTATTGTAACATATTGATTATTATAATATTTTTTCTCTTGCGAATATCATAATAAGCAGGTTCCACTGTAAAAAGTTATTGATTTCATGTCTCATGAACCATTGTGTTGTAACAATTTCAGCTGAATGCTGTGGGGGATCATGTGGTCCATGACCATCATATAACAGGTCTAATGAGTAAATGAAGACCATAGACTAAGGAAAATTCCTCTTCTGAATTTCCTGTAGAGAGAGTCAGAATGTCGACCATAGGGTCTCTATGGAAAACATGTACACCAAGTAGCATTTCCTTGCGATATGTCGGTACATTTCCACATACCACAGGTGTTTGAAATTCCGATGTTAACATGGGTACTTTATTCTATCTATGCCTGATTTCAGCGCATGAAGCAAAATCTCACATATGTCATTTTCACCTTCGATATCGGATAAAGTTTCACAATTTACAGTTACAGAAAATACCCGGAACCTCACCTTTTTAATTGTCAATGGTGAACCATTTTCCCTTAGCTGTTTATTCAAGGATTTATGAAAATTGTTTCAAACATTTTAAAACACAAAGTCTGAGTTCTACTAGTTTTATTGAGTTATTGATGTTGTTGTGTTAACACATCAATAAAGAATTACCAATTGCATGCAAAATGGTAAACTACTTGTGAGTGAGTAATGGCTCAAACTCCATGTATAGCAGTAAAGTTAATTTCTTTCAGAGAAATAGGAATTGGATTTGATAACAATATGGAATATACATTTAATCCCAAAATTAATAGTCAAGATTTGGTAAATAACAACAATATTTTTGTGTAATAAAAAGAAAAATATATTTTCAGACATCAGACCGTGACAGTCAGACAGAGTTACTTCCCACTGGATGGAACGAGAACCAAGACCTGTACGTGTTAAGGTACCGACGGGAGGGTGAGCCGTCCACAGTCTACATGCTCAAGGTCATCAGGATTGACAGTGACATGCTCGTCAATTTCATGGTTTGTACCATTCAGTTGCGATAACTGTCTTAGTGTACAGTAACATAGAAAAGACCATTTGTGGCGAGATAGCGAAATTTATGGCAGCACCATTGAGTGATGTCTATAAATCTTCAATTGACCGTAATAGTTCCAGTCTAATAAATCTGTACAAGTGGCACCTAATTCCTATTACATGATATTGTATAGGTTTACACTAAATCTCGGTCAGATTGTTGTCAATAGTTTGAACACATGCTTTTTATTTGTAAAGAAAAGTGACTTTGTAGCCAGTGAAATTTTTAACTAGAACAACCTGCTTGTCGTCTCTATTTCATGCAGTTCGAACACAGCTACTGAAGTTTTAGTACGATGCACTAACATCTTGAAAAAAATGGACCAAGTTTAACCATATGCCAGTCACACTCAGAGATACAAATTTATGTATATTGATTAGGACTACAAGCTAACCGAATTCATATCATACCATGACATGACTGAGGATCGGAGTTGTTTATAAATGTCCATAACTGCTGCATGACTGTACAATATAGACTTTTATTCTAGCTGGGGAAATTGTGACTCAAAGGTCATATCAATTTTCTGTTTTCTTTTTTAAACCTATGGCCTTGTATATAAAATTTCAAAATAATAAAAAAAAATAAAAAATTGATCAGACTAATCATAAAGTTTGTTATTCCATCTTTGCGTATTGCAGAGTTATCTTCTCTTGTGAGCAGGTATTGATTGTTCATCATTGGTTTGTGTGAGAAAATTACGTCGTTTTCTCGAAAAATGATGACGTTACTCTCACAAACAAATGACATAACAATCAATACCTGCTCTCAAGAGCAGATAACTCTGCATTACGAAAAGACGGAATATGGTTCCACACTTTTGTCAAGTTATGTATTCAAAATTTAAAAAAAAGATGTTTTGTTAGTACATGTACATATGCTGTTTTTAGTCACTGACTAGGTATAAATGATAAGTGTTGAGGTTATTTAGTGCTGGTAGATGGTTATTATTGATTATGAATCATTAGCCAATATATGTAGATAATAAGTGATTGAGGATGAAGAAATAAATGAACTACCAGCTGGGTCTATGTAGTAACTAAACTTTTGCCTTGTATTTATCTTACAGAATGTCAGTAATGAGTGTGTCGTAACTTTAAACATTAGAACAAGAGATTTTACCACAGGCGATCTGACCTCATTTGAAAGGTAAGGCCTCAATTCAAAATATTTATGTTTGAGGTAGTAAAACTTTTTGCATATTTATTAATGAATAGTTATTATATACAATCTATGCAACAGGAATATTCCTGATAAAAGTGCCAAAACAATGGTTGTATGATAGTTTAAACTGAATATTCTGTCTGTAAAAGCGTGTAGATGAAACCTATTTACTATTGAGAAAAATTCAATTTATACATCAGTGAATGATTTGAGTGAGCTACGTACCGGTAAGTAGATTAGAGAGGAGACAGAAAACCACATTTATATTTCGGCCTATGTTATTTACCTCTTCATTCAGCCTTTGAAGTCAAAACACTTTTTCTTTGTGAACATATTACGTCAGATATATAAATCAAGTCATAATCAATTCAAAGGTCACTATATTCCTTTTGTGGAGAAACTGCTCTTTTAAAAGGATGAAAGTCCAGTACCTGAATAATCTTGACTTCATTTGGCCTGGATCAACTCTATTAAAGTCAAAAGATTTCAATGTAATTCCTTGCAGCAGGAGGGCTGGTTCCTAAAATGGAATTAGGGGTTGACAAAAAAAATCTTTAGTAATGCGGATTGGGTTTTGATCTAACTTGGCATGGAGTATTCCTTGTCAAAGGAAGTTAAACATTTTATTTATAAATGAAAGAGTTATGGGCCCCAAAATGAAAATTCAAGTTAATATTTTTTAAAAAGACTACATCACAAGTATTGTTGAAGGAAATTTAAACTAACTTGGCAGGGAGCATCCCCATATAAAGGAATTGAATGCTACATAAGTAAAGGGTGTTAACTCCCCTGGGATGGAAAATATATAAAAAATAAGAAATAGGTGTTAACATTATATATGAAAGACTACTAAAAAGATTTGGATTTTGTTTGTCAGTGTAAGATAGCATGGAGCATCCCTGGGCCGAGCAGATTCAATAATGAAAAATTCATTTATAATAACCAAAATTGATTAGAATAATGCTGCAATCTTTCTGGATCAAAGTTTTCAGTAAATAAGAATCTGTTGTCAACATTCAATTGTAACCAAACTTTATAAAGTATATATACATTCTAATGGTCCTAGATTTAAAATCCAAATGACCAACTTGATCTCTGATTGGTTGAGACATTTCTGACTCATTCCCAATTAAAATGGATCAATTTAAACCTCATGCCCTATAAATGTTCTGGCCCTGAACGAGTTTGTATGTTGTTATTTTCTTTCCTGTGATAAAAGGAAATCCAAGATGGTCTCCAGGATCTCAATTTAAGGAATATTTTTTCTGGTTCAGATAACAAAAGAAATTACTGATGCAGGTCCAGGGGGCCTCTTGTTTCTGTACATAAACAAAAAACACTATTACCTATTAGGGTTTAGGCTGTATGACTGTGTCTCACTTACACTCAAGCTTCCATTACCATGGTAACATCAGGGCAGACATCTTCATTACTAGGTGCCCTGCTTAAGCTTTACCATATAGAAAACTTGTCCGATATTCCTGTCCAAGTTTTATCAAGTACATCGACTTGGATCTCATACTGGACAAACAAACGAGAAATTGGGTAAAAGTCTGGGCATCATTTACTAATTGATAGTAAAATCTCATGTTGTCAATAATTCGTGAAAAAAATTGAAGAGACTTTTAAGCCAAATACTGTTTTCAATGTTCAAGACTTTTTGACTTATTTACCAGTTCTTCCAAACTACTCTTTACACTTTTTATGCCCCCAGGCATAAAATGGGGGGTGGGGGGGGGCATAAAGTGTTGCCCATGTCTGTCCTGTCACGTCCCGTCCTGTCACGTCCTGTCCTGATTCAATATAAACACCCGTCCCGATTCAATGTAAACACTTCGCAACTTAATTCTTTGACAGATTTTGTATAGAACGCTGAAACTGATTTCACATGTCAGCGGGGGCATTTATGTCTTACAGACATTTTCTTGTCTAATATTGCTATATACAATACAGTAAGCCACTAACCTACAGTTTGTAACAAAATCAGACATTATTTCTTATATCTGTTGACATTATGTTGTGACCTCAACTAGTCTGGTTACCGTGGTAACATCAGAGCAGACATCTTCATTACTAGGTGCCCTGCTTAAGCTTTACCAGACAGAAAAACATGTCCAATATTCCTGTCCAAGTTTTATCAAGTACATCGACTTGGATCTCATACTGGACAAACAAATGAGAAACTGGGTAAAAGTCTGGGCATCATTTACTAATTAATAATAAAAAAAACTGTTATCAATAATTTGGGGGGGAAAATGAAGAGACTTTTAAGCCAAATACTGTTTTCAATGTTCAAGCCTTTTTGACTTATTTACCCGTTCTTCCAAACTACTCTTTACACTTTTTATGCCCTCAGGCATAAAATGGGGGGGGGGGGGGGGGGGGGGCATAAAGTGTTGCCCATGTCCGTCCCGTCCCGTCCCGTCCTGTCCTGTCCTGTCCCGTCCTGATTCAATGTAAACACTTGATAGATTTTATATAGAACGCTGAAACTAATTTCACATGGCAGCGGGGGCATTTATGTCTTACAGACATTTTCTTTTCTAATATTGCTATATACAATACAGTAAGCCAATATCCTACAGTTTGTAACAAAATCAGACATTATTTCTTATATCTGTTGACAATATTTTGTGACCTCAACTAGTCCCACATTCATGTCACCTCTACCTGTACATCACAGACATACATTGCTCCAATATTCTGTGCTTTCGTTTGTTTTACAGTGCATTCCAAAACTTGGACGTGCTTTGTTCACAATTCAAGAGGGAGATACTTGATGCTGTCCTGAAGGGGGGCAAAAAAGGTGGATCAACCAGCAGTCTAACTGATACCTCAAGGTCATCACAGGAAAAAAGGTCACAGGGAAGGTCAAGGTCATATGAAGAGGAGTATGACCCCCTACGGATACCATCCAGACACCCTCACATGCAGCAGAGACCCCCAGACTGGTGAGTGGTTTACGTTAAGGTTATTGAGTGCATCACTTCAAAAGTTAACTATGTGGACTAAATAGTAAATGAATTGATAAAATGTTTGAAAGGCAGACAAGCTTAAAAGCATTAGTAATGTATAGGTATTTCTGAACTTTTAACTTATTCACCCCGAATACAAATTTGAACTCTTCCAATTCAAAGACTGGAATAGTTCATTGTGAAATTTCAGGGGTGAATGAGCTAATTTTCGGTTGAAATTTTTGGGGAAGGAATTTCTAAAACTAAAACAATGATGATGAAATTGACCCTTGTCTGTTAAAGGTCCGACCCGGGTGACCCCTTTTCAATTGGAAGGGCAGACCTTGACCCCTTGGGCAGAGGAGGTGGAATGCGATTTGACCCCTTCAGAGGAAACCGACCTGGAATGAGACCAGATCCAAATGCCGGGTTACCACATCCACTTCCTCCGTATGTTTACATTGTTTTTAATTCTTTATGATCTTTTCCTATAACATTAACATATTTTGTGTCTAATGCTTTCTTCAATGTTTTAACATTTATTGGATAATTTGGAATAATTTTGTAAAATGCATACCGGTGTCCGGTAGCTCAGTTTAGTTGAAAGGAAGAAATAACTAAATATGCTCTATATTTAGAACATATTTCTTTGGTATGCATAACTTCAAAGATATTTAGCTTTCCTGTGTAATTATCATGTATCAGTATTTGGCATTCGCAATAGAAATTGTAGATGTAGCAATCTAGGAACTAATTAGCCTCATTATGGGGGCGAGGAAAGGAAGGCATTGAGAATTTTGTCATTGCCTGGTAATAGATATAACTTCAATGTTTTCAGGGGAGCTATACCTCCAGGGGCCAGGTTTGACCCTTTTGGGCCCCCAGGGGGACCTGGACAAAGGCCTGGGTAAGTACAAAGGCAGCCCATATTTTAGGTATTTTTTTGCATGAGAATTAATCACCAATATTCAGTAAATGTTATTCAAGATAAATGATGTATTTGTAGAAATTCTGTTATAATATTAGTTCACCTAGCACACTGTTGCCCGTCCCTTGTCAACTTTTTTATCCAAACAACTTCTTCTTCAGATCCATAAGGCACAGAGTATTGGTAATTGGCTTATAATGTTAACTTATTGATAAATACTAAGTCCTGAAAGGTACTAACCTTCACTCCAGCCTTCGGGGTATTTGAGGAATTCTGATGTAAGATATAAATACATCTGTATGAGTATTTGTTCTATGATTTCAGACCAGATCCGGACCATGAACTCCCACCTGGTTATGGCGATATGTTCATGTAACAGACATTGATCGTCATTTCCAATATATCCATGAAAGATGTCTGGAGACTATTATGATTAAGGAAACCATGAAAAGATGTCCGGAGGCTTTCAGATACCATCTAAAGATATCAGGCTGTCTTGAATACCTTTGAAAGATATCTGGCCATTGTGTTATCCTTTTAAAAGATACCTGACAACTTATGGCCACTATTAAAAGAAACCTGGCCATTGTGTTACCTTTTATTAAAAGATTCCTTGCGACTTATGGACACCATTAAAAGATAAATGGCCATTGTGTTATCTTTTATTAAAAGATTTTGAGACTTATGAATACCATTAAAAGATACCTGGCCATTGTGTTATCTTTTATTAAAAGATTCCTTGCGACTTATGGACACCATTAAAAGAAACCTGGCCATTGTGTTATCTTTTAAAAGATTCCTGGAGAGTTTTGGACACCATTTAAAGATATCTGGCCATTGTGTTATCTTTTAAAAGAATCCTGGAGATTTTTGGACACCATTAAAAGATATCTGGCCATTGTGTAATCTTTTAAAGATTCCTGGAGATTTTTGGACACCATTGAAAGATATCTGGCAATGGTATCATCAATACCATTAAAAGACATCTGGAGAATGTAATGAATGCTGTGGAAAGATACCTGAAGACTAACAGTTAGAAGATTTCTAGATGCTGTTATCTTTACCATTAAAAAATTAAGTGGAGACTGTGACATTGATACCATTAAAATATAGAGACCACTTTTATCTGAATTCCACCAAGTTGTATTGACTGCTCTCATATATGGAGACTGCGTTCTTTCTTTGTTGTCATTATAGATGATGAAATGTTCGAGTAAATTACGAATGGTAGCATTTATTCTGGGTCCCAATCTGATGAAACCCATATCTTGATCTAGGCTCTGTTCCGTAAACTACACTCTGCTACAGAGTGTAGGACATGATATGCTGTTGGATCGGATTGTCTGGCTTCAGTAATATGTGAAGCTAAGATGTTAGAACAGAGTGGTATATATTATGAGTAATATATTGTTTTACAGACTGGATTTGCTAACAATCTTGTCTAGGAGGGCTGCATTTAGGGAGATGAAACTCAACACCCTGAAATATTCGAATCATATCCAGTTATGTATAATTACTGTATGCTGGAAAATTTCCGCCGCTGTTTAACTTTCACAATTTTCACCTCAGTAACGTAGGCAAATTTATCCCGACAGAAAACACTAACATACATCATCCTGCGTGTACTTGTTAAATTTAATAGGAGCAGTATTTTTTTTTTAACTCGGGTGTATATAGATTTTTCAAGTGAAGGGCAAAAGTTGCCCAGTATACGGTAATAAACCACCCCATAATGGAATTATTCCACCAGCAATTTTGTCATTGTATTTTACACGCAGCTCACTCTCATAAAATCACTTAATTGTAAGATGACATTGCTTACAGCTGCAGTAAACAACTTGAGCAGAATGAGCTCAATCCCGCAGACTTTAAATATGACCTCATGTTAGTTGTTATCAACTATTGTCAGGATATAGCGTTTATCAAATTCACCACCAGGTAGTTGCAATCTTAAACCAATGATCTGGGCTGTGGCGAGATCATGATCAGTAGTAACCCAGTATGAAACATGTGCAATGACCGTTTGTTTTAGCAGTGCAATAATTTCCTCCCAAATTATGACCCAAATACAACAATTCGCAATTCTGCCATGGAATTCTGTAAGCTCTACAACACTGCTTACAAAATCGTATTCAAGGTTATTCTGACTTCAATGATGCCACATTTTTCATGGTTATTTATATAATTATATTTTAATAAAATCAAAATCTTGTGCATAGAATTATAGATGTATAATGTCCAAAAAAAAATGTATTGTTTCAAAGGGCTTATTATAATGCCGCCATTTGTTCAGAGAAAATTGGCGATAAATTGAGGGGAATGTACATAAAAGGGATTTTTTAAGAAAACAAGAATAAGGGACATTGAAATATGTTGGCAATAAACGAGGTGGCAAATGAAACGGGAGGGGAGGGGGGAGGGCATTATATCAAGGTTTTACTATATCTACTTGTATATTCACCTTTAATTTAAGAGGTAGGTTAGTTTTGTCTGTAGGGGCAGATGAGATTGTTTATATTTTCAGTGCCATACTAGTAAATAGATGCTATACTCTGTAGCCTGGATCTTTCACCTTCTCAAACGTTCGCCCCACTGGTAAAATCCATGATTGTTAATTCTACCCTTCGTATTTGATTATTGTGTTTATAAAGTTAAACTTGTTCACTGAGGTTCACTGTAATAATAGATTTGCCCTCATTGGGAAAGGCCAAAAGAAAAAAAATTAGGTGAAATTTCCTTGGTATACAATGTATAAGCACAGATCTAAAATGCATGTGTTTGTTATCGTAAATTATAATACACTATGACGTGGTTCTAACATTATCCTTGTTTGGTTATACCCTTGTGAGTGGGGACCAAAGCACCCATTAACTCAATCACCCCTTGATTTTAACAAAAGACTGCCTACGTCATAGTCTTGGAAGAGTCTAAATGTGACCATAGGGGTCAATGAATTAATCTACCATAGAAGTTGACACCACCTTTTGGAAAATGTGTAGATGTATGTAAAAATATGTTAATTCAGGAGGTAATCGGCCAGATGAGATAGTATTAACTCATTCACCCCTGAAATGTCATGATGAACTATTCCAACCTTTGAATTGGAAGAGTTTAATTGTGTCTACAGGGGTGAATAAGTCGAAGAATAGACTTGCACAGCATCGATTGTAATGTATGAGGTTGTAACCTACTAGGCAAGTGATGTTGAAATGGGGGAAGATCATCTGGGATCCAGGTTAGAGAAATCTTGTTGTTCAATTAATCTTGTTTTGTTGTTATTTGGAAAATAGATACATAATACTATATCTGTTAAGTTGAAATAGTTGTCTGTTGTATTTATTGCTAAAATGTCATAATTATTGAAAATAAAACTTAAACCTTGTTTCTTTATTTGTCATTACTGTTGAATATGCCTCGTAGAAGAGCATAGCACACACACAGGTGATTGTACTCTAAAACATTGGTGATAGATACAGTTTGCCAACAATGAATTACACTGGTCATACAGCTACATACTGGAATTACTTTTTCTTCGACCCCCATCCCCCTACCCCCACCATCTCTACCACACACACAGGTGGTTGTACTTTAAAACATTGGTGATAGATACAGTTTGCTAACAATGAATTACACTGGTCATACAGCTACATACTGGAATTACTTTTTCTAAGACCCCCATCCCCCTACCCCCACCATCTCTACAACACACACACACACTAGGGTAGCAGAAGGTGGTTATAGTTCCATGTCCAGCTGTATCAGCCATCTACCACACAGACACTATGGTAGCAGAGGGTGGTTATAGTTCCATGTCCAGCTGTATCAGCCATCTACCACACACACACTAAGGTAGCAGAAGGTCGTTATAGTTCCATGTTCAGCTGTATCAGCTAATGAGATGATTGACATACAGCCATATAACATTTCAATTCACTGTTTCAGAGTTATGTTTAAAACTCCTTAAAACTAATGCTATCAGTGTAAATGTATACAATATTTCAGGGAACAGGCATAGGTAAGTTATAAGTTATGCTGATCAGAGAAGGATGAGAAAAGGCTAAGATCATGTTAACAACTGATCATGCAGAGATCAGTATACCTGGTACTGGATCATGCTGAGATTAGTATACCTTGTACTGGATCATGCTGAGATCAGTATACCTGGTATTGGATCAGGCTGAGATCAGCATACCTGGTACTGGATCATGCTGAGATTAGTATACCTGGTACTGGATCATGCAGAGATCAGTATACCTGGCACTGGATCATGCTGAGATCAGTATACCTGGTACTGGATCCCGCTGAAATCAGTATACCTGTTAATGGATCATGCTGAGATCAGTATACTTGGTATCATGCTGAGATCAGCATACCTTGTACTGGATTATGCTGAGATCAGCATACCTGGTACTGGATCATGCTGAGATCAGCATACCTTGTACTGGATTATGCTGAGCTCAGCATACCTGGTACTGGATCATGCTGAGATTAGTATACCTTGTACTGGATCATGCTGAGATCAGTATACCTGGTACTGGATCATGCTGAGATCAGCATACCTTGTACTGGATCATGCTGAGATCAGCATACCTGGTCTGGATCATGCTGAGATCAGTATACCTGGTACTGGATCATGCAGAGATCAGCATACCTCGTACTGGATCAGGCTGAGATCAGTATACCTGGTACTGGATCATGCAGAGATCAGTATACCTGGTACTGGATCATGCTGAGATCAGCATACCTTGTACTGGATTATGCTGAGATCCTGGTACTGGAATATGCAGAGATCAGTGATTAGTATACCTGGTAATGAATCATGCTGAGATCAGTATACCTGGTAATGAATCATGCTGAGAACAGTATACCTGTTACTGGATCATGCTGAGATTAGTATACTTGGTAAAAGATAATGCTGAGATCAGTATACCTGGTTATGGATCATTCTGAGATCAGTATACCTGGTACTTGATCCTGCTAAAATCAGTATACCTGGCAATGGATCATTCTGAGATCAGTATACCTGGTAATGAATCATGCTAATATCAGTATACCTGGTACTGGAATATGCAGAGATCAGTATACCTGGTAATGAATCATGCTGAGATCAGTATACCTGGTAATGAATCCTGCTAAAATCAGTAAACCTGGTAATGGATCATGCTGAGATCAGTATACCTGGTAATGAATCATGCTAATATCAGTATACCTGGTACTGGAATATGCAGAGATCAGTATACCTGGTAATGAATCATGCTGAGATCAGTATACCTGGTACTTGATCATGCTGAGATCAGTATACCTGTTACTGGATCATACTGAGATCAGTATACCTGGTACTTGATCATGCTCAAATCAGTATACCTGGTAATGGATCATGCTGAGATCAGCATACCTGGTACTGGATCATGCTGAGATTAGTATACCTGGTAAAAGATAATGCTGCGATTAGTATACCTGGTACTGAATCATGCTGAGATCAGCATACCTGGTACTGGATCATGCTGAGATTAGTATACCTGGTAAAAGATAATGCTGAGATCAGTATACCTGGTACTGGATCATTCTGAGATCAGTATACCTGGTACTGGATCAGGCTGAGATCAGTATACCTGGTAATGAATCATGCTGAGAACAGTATACCTGGTAATGGATCAGGCTGAGATCAGCATACCTGGTGATGGATCATGCTCAGACCAGTATACCTGGTACTGGATCATGCAGAGATCAGTATACCTGGTACTGGATCATGCTCAGATCAGTATACCTGGTACTGGATCAGGCTGAGATCAGTATACATGGTAATGGATCATATTGAGATCAGTACACCTGGTAATGGATCATGCTGAGATCAGCATACCTGCTATCATGCTGAGATCAGTATACATGGTAATGGATCATGATGAGATCAGTATCCCTGGTAATGGATCATGCTGATATCAGTATACCTGTTACTGGATCATGCTGAGATCAGTATACCGGGTACTGGATCAGGCTGAGATCAGTATACCTGGTAATGAATCCTGCTGAAATCAGTATACCCGGTACTGGACCATTCTGAGATCAGTATACCTGGTAATGGATCATGCTGAGATCAGTATACCTGGTATCATGCTTAGATCAGTATACCTGGTAATGGATCAGGCTGAGGTCAGTATACCTGGTACTGGATCAGGCTGTGATCAGTATACCTGATAATGGATCAGGCTGAGATCAGTATACTTGGTATCATGCTGAGATCAGTATACCTGGTACTGGATCCCACTGAAATCAGTATACCGGGTAATGGATCATGCTGAGATCAGTATACATGGTAATGGATCATGCTGAGATCAGTATACCTGGTATCATGCTGAGATCAGTATACCTGGTAATGGATTATTCTAAGATCAGTATACCTGGTTATGAATCATTCTAAGATCAGCTTTCCCATACACAAAATGTAGTGATAACTTTGGATGCTAAGTCAGGGTTGATGTGACATTTATGGATTGTTGACGCTGGTAAACGTGCAGGTCATGCTCAGAGATCAGTATGCATGGTAATGAATCATGCTAACATCATTAATGAATCATGCTAAGATCATTAATGGATCATGCTAAGATCAGTAAAGGATCATGCTAAGAACAATAAAGGATCATGCTAAGATCATTCATGGATCATGCTAAGATCAGTAAAGGATCATGCTAAGATCAGTAAATGATCATGCTAAGATCAGCAAAGGATCATGCTATGATCAGTAAAGGACCATGCTAAGATCATCAAAGGATCATGCTGAGATCAGTAAAGGATCATGCTATGATCATTAATGGATCATGCTAAGATAAGTAAAGGATCAGTGAGGCAGAGATATATACACTCACACTGATCAATGAATCATGCTGTGACCAGCAACCAAACGGACAAAATACAGATAACGAACTTAATAAAATATAAGATTGGTTTGGTTTGGTTAGGTTTCGTATTGTTTAACGTCCTATCAACAGCTATATGGTCATTCAAGGACGGCCTCCCCTGTGCAAGATACATGGGTGTAGTGTATGCGTGTGTTTTGGGAGGCTGCGATATGTTTGTGTTTGTCTCCTTGTGATAGCGCGGAACTGATGCCGACTTTATAGTGTTTCCTCACTGAAACATCAAGACACCCAGCAGGACACCCCACCCGGTCACATTATACTGACAACGGGCGAACCAGTCGTCCCACTCCTAAATAGCTGAGCGTTAAGCAGGAGAAGAAACTACCAGTTTTACAGACTCTGGTATGTCTCGGCCAGGGGACAGAACCCAAAGCCTTCCTCAGAGGGGCGAATGCTCAACTAAAGGCCAAAATTGAGGCATTGTCAACGAAGGGAGACATTAGGTAGAAGAAAGTTGTTTAGAAAGAAGAAAAAAGACAAGGTCCCAATTTTAGTCGCCTCTTACGATCATGAAATCGGGGCAGCAGGTACATTATTCTTAAACCCTACCTGCAGGGACATACAAAATTAAAAAAAATAACAAATGAGTTACAAAAATATAATTGATCATTTTTAAATCATTGAAATTATCAATCCAAAGTTTGTTTTTGTACAATAATACTTACAGGTCTCGTCTTGATTATTATTTATTTGACACTTTATACAATTCATTTAGCATTGCAGTTGAACCCTTTTGTTAGTGGTGGCATTCGTCAGCGAGTCAAAATGGCATTTCTAAATAATAAAACCATTTTACCTTTTTTTCATCAAATCTAGGTCTTGGCCTACTTATAGAGATCACTATGAAGGGTGGTTCAGGTTTCTATTTGTTTTTAATTTTTTTTTAATTTTTTTTTTAGGTTCAAATTGGTTCAGGTTTTTATGCAGTATATTTTCGCTTGGTCCCGGACAAATGAAGTATAACGCTGATTGGGATTTCATAAATTTTCTATACAACAACGGACTTAAATAGCATCTTGTTCTGTGCTCACATACAATATATATATATATATATATATATATATACAGTCTGGGCATTTTTTTTTATTTGAATAAACCTGAAATCATGAGACAATATAAATTGTTGTGTAACCGTGTCTGTGCACCTCAAACTAATCAATAAAGAATCAATTTAAAGAATCATTGATAAGGCACAACCACAGAATTAGGTTAGATTTAAGTCTGTGGCACAACATAGGCCTATTAGAATTGCCTCCTTCAATTTTTATATCAAAATCGTTACTTTAAAAAATTCAGTCATTGAGTTTCATGAAGGAATAAGATGAGACCACAATGTGAGTTTATGGTTTGATATAAGCAAATGTTGTTATATATCAGATTCCTAAGGTCCTTTGTATTGTAATATATTGTAATGTTTACACTGTATTATTTGAAATCCAGCCTGTTTGCCCATTTTAAATTATAATTGGAAGCATCAATTTTACGAAAACGTAAGCATTTAATACGTTGCATGTTGGAAAAAATGGTCATATTTTGTTTCAAACAGAAAAAAAAATCATAGTAGCAGAGCGAGGTTTCGATCCTCGGACCTCTGGGTTATGGGCCCAGCACGCTTCCACTGCGCCACTCTGCTGATATGTAGTCGGGTACAATTTTTTATTTATAAATCAAAACGTCACAAATGTTTAAGTCTCGTGTTTACTCGTGAGATTTCAAACATGGCGTATCTGCAAGATGAAAACAGACCAAGATACCTCACAATGTACGTTTTACCGTACTTGTCTTATTTGTTGACATATTTTACCAACTGATAACATTATATGAACGTTTATGTAACGTTTCCATATTTTCTTATGAAGCCTGCCTTTGTCATGACTGAGAAAACTACTCTTCCGCCCAATTTTGATGACGTTCCCCTCCATAAGTGGCCCGTTTTCTCTAGTTTCCTTCTTGAATACATCAATCATTATTTTTACTAGGTTCCTTAAAGTTGGAACATTTGTAGCGACATAGTCAGATATTGGAAAATTTCGGGATCCTCCCACCCCAATCCTTTCCTGAAGAAATCACTGATTTTCATATCGCCGTTCAACCTATGCTTTTGTAGGTGTTGCAATATAACAGGAAAGAGAAAATGCAATGGCTAGACCGGGATTCGAACCCAGACCTCCGAACTCTAGACAGACGTTTTAACAAATTGAGCTACCTGGTCGCCAGCGATTGACCCACTCCAGTTCCGCTACATTCAACCCCTTTCCACCTTCTTTCAACAAATCCTTCCACTCCAAAAACACAAGACCATAATTAAGCTACTCACTGGATATATTTAATGGTAACAGGTTATCTCGGCAGTTTCGGTTCGATACACCTCAGCACGTTTTTGGGGTCACCTCGTCACTTATCAGTATTTTTTTCGGTACTTTTTATGATGAAATAATATTGTTCCAATAATACAAATTAATGTGTTAATTTCTTTCAGTACGTCGTGTTAACATGTTCAAAACATGTACATGTAAAGAATGTACTTTAATTGTCATTCGATCTTGTTTATTTTCTTGATTTTATCATTGACGGTTTTGGTTGTGGCACGGAATTAGATTAGATTGTCGTAAATAGAAAGTTGTAGGTACTGACCACGTGCCATTAATAGAAAGTTGTAGGTACTGACCACGTGCCATTAATAGAAAGTTGTAGGTACTGACCACGTGCCGTTGATAGAAAGTTGTAGGTACTGACCGCGTGCGGTTGATAAAAAGTTTAAGGTACTGACTGCATGCCGTTGATAAAAAGTTTTAGGTACTGACCACGTGCCATTAATAGAAAGTTGTAGGTACTGACCACGTGCCATTAATAGAAAGTTGTAGGTACTGACCACGTGCCATTAATAGAAAGTTGTAGGTAATGACCACGTGCCATTAATAGAATGTTGTAGGTACTGACCACATGCCATTAATAGAATGTTGTAGGTACTGACCACAGGCCTTAAATAGAAAGTTGTAGGTACTGACCACGTGGCGTTGATAAACTAAGAAAACTTTATTTAATGTTCATGTTATATATAAACATTACGATATACTTTAGTGAAAAAATATATATGTGCATTTTATTGCGCTAGATTAAAGCACTGTCATTTTATCGAAATGAACTATAGTTTTCACTGCCCCTGTCATGGTTAGCTTCTTGACAAAGCCTCCTTTTTTATGTGTAACATAAGTTTTGTAATGGTAGTAATATAAAAAAGCACTTAATTACAGTATGAAAATCAGTTTCAGAGAATACATGGGTAGCTATACTTGTACATTTGTATAAAATCATTCACATTGAAAAATGCTCTATGTGTTATGGGAGTGAGTGAGCTACAGCATTTATTTGCACTGAATATGCAGACAGCACAGTATATATACTGGGTACAGGCAAATGCCAACAACGTCCCTTGAAAATTCTTGGTCTTGTAACAGGAAAGAGAAAGCAATGGCCAGACTCTAGACAGTAGCTCTAACCAACTGAGCGACCTAGACACTGGGGATCGCCTCAGCCTAGTTTTTTTTACTCTCCTCCACCTCCACTCCTCTAACAAAGCTTTTGACCGACAAGAATTATCAAAACCCTATTCAACCATTTACGGGTATATTTAGTAGGGCACCAAATGTTACAAAAATATTAGGTGCAACAGAAAGAATGGAATTGGAATGGGGAACCTCCAAACTCTAAATGATGCTAAAACCAACTGAGCTTCCTGGACACCCGTATTCATCCCAGCACAGTTCTTCTACAATCCATCCGATGATTATCTAAATCTGAAGTAGATGATATAACATCTCCCTTCTCCATCTCTGCCACTCCTCCATCAACACCCATTCCCCACCCTGTCCCGCCCTCATCTCTACCTCCCTGATCTGTTCCCCCACACCCTGCCCCACTCTTCCCCACCCTGTCCCACCCACTCCCTTCCCTGCCCCACCCACTCCCCACCCTGTCCTGCCCTCATTTCTACCTCCCTGATCTGTTCCCCCACACCCTCCCCTCTATTTCTGAACCAACTCAGTCTTTCTCCTCACTTCCCTGCCATCAGTTCACCTTTTACATATTGCACCAACATCAACATCCAGCTTTCAATCATCATATGATTTTGAATAGCTGTTGTAAGCTACCCATGGTTCATATTTGCCAACCTTTTGAAATTTCCATCGGGAGATTTCACATGCTCAAAATTCAGAATATAAATAAACTAGGTGTATATACCTTTGAGGGACACAATAAACCATTAAAATGAGATACTTTGAGTTTTTCTTTCAGATGAAATCATTAGATCTTGGGATATAGGAATGGTTTTGAAAATTCACTGGTTGAAAATATTAAATTTAAGGGTTCAAAAAAGGGAGTCTCCCTCCTTAAGCATCGTCAAGCCATATTTAGAAATAACAAGCAAACAAAAAGATCTCACCTTTAATATTCCAACATTTACTGCTAACACACTTTTATTTACGTTACAGGGTTGTGACCGGATAGAGCAGTCAGGCGGTCAGTATGAGTCAGATTGACTATGGCCAGACGGCAGAGGACCACCAGGCATTCCTCATACTCGTCCGTCACACTGGTCAGCATCTGTGTAACAGGTCATTCAACCGTGCATGGGAACGCATACGCAAACTCAACTGCATTGCCATACCAGGGCAGAAACGCGTTGCATGGGTCAGGTATGTACAATACATCAACATTAATTTGTTTTTCAGGAACTGTCCGCAGGGCTAGAAAATATGGGTAGCCCAATAGTCTGAGACTAGTGAAATATCCAGATGGACTATATATGCTAGTGGTTCTAAAATCCATTAGCCTAATTGACAAGTCAATATTACTTACGTTGAACAATATTTGGTTTGTGGAATTTGCACATGGATTAGTAAAATTGGAAACTACTTGTCCAACTAACTACTGGTTTTGAAAATTAAAATCTAGCCAAGCTGCACAAATAACTAATGAAAAGAAACCGAGGGTACAGAATTTTAAAATCTTCACCCCAAATCTAAATGCATGCATGGAAGCACTGTATATATTGTGTCTATGTCTTACCAACAGAGCCTATGCCTGGCTAAACCAGCTGCTGTATATATGTACATGTGCCATCTATCAATACATGCGAGGAGTGTTAAGATTTCTTCTTAACCATTTCGCCCCTATGTGACTTTAGTAGACTCTACCATGCATTTATCTGGATGAGTCCATTATGGTCTACAGTGGTGAAAGGGTTAAGATGAATGTATGAGTTGTAGAACCTACTTTATAAAATTATCATCTATAAGCAAAACAATTTAGCCTTTATTACGGATACATTTGATATGTTTCAAAGGTTTAAAACTTTATAATATATATTGTAACAAAATTTCAAATATTTCAATGAAACTAGGAAGAATGTTGTGTAGTATAAATCTGTAGTCATTTTAAACAAAAGGAGAAATTAGTGCGATACGCAGTAATTTTTGCCCTCTCAAAGAAGTGAATCTATTCAAAATGCATTTAATGAAATTTTGTAGAAATCAGACAGCTGGTTATATCTTAAATAATTATTGTACAAATCATTTATTTGAATTCAATTGAGTATCGTGAAATTCATTTTTTTTTGCAACAGATTTGTTGTGCTTGTTCCAGTTATGTCTATGCTCAAGATATAGAATGGATTCTAAACCTTTGTTAAATGAGACAATATTAAACAAGTACTCTACTTTATATATATATGTATATATGTATGTGTTTTTATTTAAGGTATAAACGGACCTACTCTAAAGAAAACAATGAGTGGGGAGACTTCCAAGCTCATCGGAAGGTTCTCGGACTTGTCTCCATAGGCCAGTGCACCAACTCGGATCAATTTGAGGAACTTTTTGATAACTACCGAAAAGTCAAGGAAGAGTATGCGTCGACATTATTTAACTCACGTTTGTTTGTGTTTGGTATGAACACAGATGGGTCTCCCTTAAGTGACGAAGAAAAGGAAAACTGCAATCTTGAAACCGGAGAGAAATCTTCATCAGGTTCATCTCGCAGTGGAAAGTCGTCTCCTGTTCATAGCGAAGATAGCGGAGTAACCCCCGATCTTAGTCCGACTGAAGCGGGGAATGATTGTGATTTAACGAAAACCGATGCAGAAACAGACTCTAATGTAAATAAACCAACAAGTGCAATTTCTTCGCGAGTAGAACAAAAATCTGCTCAACAACAAAAACAAAGTGATTTAAAACCTGAATCCGAGAGTAATGTGGAGCAAAATGACAATGAAAATGTGTCAAAGTCAGGTGCGTCAAATGAACCACCCACATCACAACCTCATAGTAATAGTACTAAGACAGAGTCAAATTCAAGTGCATCAAGTGAACCTGCCACATCACGCCCACACAGTAATAGTCTGACGAAGGAGAGTGCGGGTGCAGAAGTCCTGTTCTCGCCAGGTCTCCAGGCTTGCATTGATCTGGAGGAGAAAGTGAAAGACTTTGTGACCTCAATCTTTTTTGTGCTTGAAGGGAAGCGACTCGACCGATCTTTCGAACGTGCAGATAAGATGCAACTACTCTGTGCGCCGTTTGAAAAGAAGGATTATGTGGGTCTTGACACAGACACAAAGTAAGAATTTGTCTTGTATTTTCTCCAGAAGTCAATACCCCCCCCCCATTCATCAGTATTACAAGAGGCAACATTTAGCGAATATTTTACCAACACAACATACACCAAGACGTAACAAAAATTTCTTTCAAATAACAATAAAATCCAACTGGTTAGAATTAGATGATTTCCTCTGGGTAATGATAATTTGGAACATACATGACTTTTAGCTCATATCACCTAGCCCTAAGGGCCAAGTAAGCTTATGCCATGGCGCAGCGTCCGTTGTCCGTCAACCTTTTCCTTTAAAACGATACTAGTCCTTAATGGCTTAACCGGAGTATCATTGGCCAAAGGGTTCTCAATTTGTATTGGCAGGGGGTTGGGGGAAATCGAAGGAAATCTTTCTCCGTCTGTACAAATGAAGGGATTTCAACCAAATGTAGTCTGGAACAACCTTAAGAGATGATACAAAATAATCATGAGCATACATGTTTGTACTAAATAGCTAAATGTCTCAAATGTGGGAGATTATTTCCAAATGAGAAAACTGTAAATATAACATTGTAATATAAACAGATAACTGACCAAGGTGGACTTCCTGAAACCTACCAAACCCCAACTTGTGCCTTTGTAATTGCTTCTAAAGGAAATGTTCAGGCAGAAGAACTGATACGAAGCCTTAATCTTTGATTTCTGTCCAAAACATAACCTTGTTTGCATTTGAACTGTGATGATAAAAGATATGCTTTTCTTGTTGTAGGTCCTATCGCAAGAAGTGCCAGGGACGTTTAAGAAAGCATTTAGGCGATCTTTGTTTGCAGGCCGGTATTCCAGGGGAGGCAATCCTACATTACCAGACTGCCATCGACATCCTCCGGCCGGTCAATGATTGGCTGTGGATAGGAGGTACAGTAGGTTAAAGTACAGCTAATTGGCTGTGGATAGGAGGTACAGTAGGATAAAGTACAGCTAATTGGCTGTGGATAGGAGGTACAGTAGGTTAAAGTACAGCTAATTGGCTGTGGATAGGAGGTACAGTAGGTTAAAGTACAGCTAATTGGCTGTGGATAGGAGGTACAGTAGGTTAAAGTACAGCTAATTGGCTGTGGATAGGAGGTACAGTAGGTTAAAGTACAGCTAATTGGCTGTGGATAGGAGGTACAGTAGGTTAAAGTACAGCTAATTGGCTGTGGATAGGAGGTACAGTAGGTTAAAGTACAGCTAATTGGCTGTGGATAGGAGGTACAGTAGGTTAAAGTACAGCTAATTGGCTGTGGATAGGAGGTACAGTAGGTTAAAGTACAGCTAATTGGCTGTGGATAGGAGGTACAGTAGGTTAAAGTACAGCTAATTGGCTGTGGATAGGAGGTACAGTAGGTTAAAGTACAGCTAATTGGCTGTGGATAGGAGGTACAGTAGGTTAAAGTACAGCTAATTGGCTGTGGATAGGAGGTACAGTAGGTTAAAGTACAGCTAATTGGCTGTGGATAGGAGGTACAGTAGGTTAAAGTACAGCTAATTGGCTGTGGATAGGAGGTACAGTAGGTTAAAGTACAGCTAATTGGCTGTGGATAGGAGGTACAGTAGGTTAAAGTACAGCTAATTGGCTGTGGATAGGAGGTACAGTAGGTTAAAGTACAGCTAATTGGCTGTGGATAGGAGGTACAGTAGGTTAAAGTACAGCTAATTGGCTGTGGATAGGAGGTACAGTAGGTTAAAGTACAGCTAATTGGCTGTGGATAGGAGGTACAGTAGGTTAAAGTACAGCTAATTGGCTGTGGATAGGAGGTACAGTAGGTTAAAGTACAGCTAATTGGCTGTGGATAGGAGGTACAGTAGGTTAAAGTACAGCTAATTGGCTGTGGATAGGAGGTACAGTAGGTTAAAGTACAGCTAATTGGCTGTGGATAGGAGGTACAGTAGGTTAAAGTACAGCTAATTGGCTGTGGATAGGAGGTACAGTAGGTTAAAGTACAGCTAATTGGCTGTGGATAGGAGGTACAGTAGGTTAAAGTACAGCTAATTGGCTGTGGATAGGAGGTACAGTAGGTTAAAGTACAGCTAATTGGCTGTGGATAGGAGGTACAGTAGGTTAAAGTACAGCTAATTGGCTGTGGATAGGAGGTACAGTAGGTTAAAGTACAGCTAATTGGCTGTGGATAGGAGGTACAGTAGGTTAAAGTACAGCTAATTGGCTGTGGATAGGAGGTACAGTAGGTTAAAGTACAGCTAATTGGCTGTGGATAGGAGGTACAGTAGGTTAAAGTACAGCTAATTGGCTGTGGATAGGAGGTACAGTAGGTTAAAGTACAGCTAATTGGCTGTGGATAGGAGGTACAGTAGGTTAAAGTACAGCTAATTGGCTGTGGATAGGAGGTACAGTAGGTTAAAGTACAGCTAATTGGCTGTGGATAGGAGGTACAGTAGGTTAAAGTACAGCTAATTGGCTGTGGATAGGAGGTACAGTAGGTTAAAGTACAGCTAATTGGCTGTGGATAGGAGGTACAGTAGGTTAAAGTACAGCTAATTGGCTGTGGATAGGAGGTACAGTAGGTTAAAGTACAGCTAATTGGCTGTGGATAGGAGGTACAGTAGGTTAAAGTACAGCTAATTGGCTGTGGATAGGAGGTACAGTAGGTTAAAGTACAGCTAATTGGCTGTGGATAGGAGGTACAGTAGGTTAAAGTACAGCTAATTGGCTGTGGATAGGAGGTACAGTAGGTTAAAGTACAGCTAATTGGCTGTGGATAGGAGGTACAGTAGGTTAAAGTACAGCTAATTGGCTGTGGATAGGAGGTACAGTAGGTTAAAGTACAGCTAATTGGCTGTGGATAGGAGGTACAGTAGGTTAAAGTACAGCTAATTGGCTGTGGATAGGAGGTACAGTAGGTTAAAGTACAGCTAATTGGCTGTGGATAGGAGGTACAGTAGGTTAAAGTACAGCTAATTGGCTGTGGATAGGAGGTACAGTAGGTTAAAGTACAGCTAATTGGCTGTGGATAGGAGGTACAGTAGGTTAAAGTACAGCTAATTGGCTGTGGATAGGAGGTACAGTAGGTTAAAGTACAGCTAATTGGCTGTGGATAGGAGGTACAGTAGGTTAAAGTACAGCTAATTGGCTGTGGATAGGAGGTACAGTAGGTTAAAGTACAGCTAATTGGCTGTGGATAGGAGGTACAGTAGGTTAAAGTACAGCTAATTGGCTGTGGATAGGAGGTACAGTAGGTTAAAGTACAGCTAATTGGCTGTGGATAGGAGGTACAGTAGGTTAAAGTACAGCTAATTGGCTGTGGATAGGAGGTACAGTAGGTTAAAGTACAGCTAATTGGCTGTGGATAGGAGGTACAGTAGGTTAAAGTACAGCTAATTGGCTGTGGATAGGAGGTACAGTAGGTTAAAGTACAGCTAATTGGCTGTGGATAGGAGGTACAGTAGGTTAAAGTACAGCTAATTGGCTGTGGATAGGAGGTACAGTAGGTTAAAGTACAGCTAATTGGCTGTGGATAGGAGGTACAGTAGGTTAAAGTACAGCTAATTGGCTGTGGATAGGAGGTACAGTAGGTTAAAGTACAGCTAATTGGCTGTGGATAGGAGGTACAGTAGGTTAAAGTACAGCTAATTGGCTGTGGATAGGAGGTACAGTAGGTTAAAGTACAGCTAATTGGCTGTGGATAGGAGGTACAGTAGGTTAAAGTACAGCTAATTGGCTGTGGATAGGAGGTACAGTAGGTTAAAGTACAGCTAATTGGCTGTGGATAGGAGGTACAGTAGGTTAAAGTACAGCTAATTGGCTGTGGATAGGAGGTACAGTAGGTTAAAGTACAGCTAATTGGCTGTGGATAGGAGGTACAGTAGGTTAAAGTACAGCTAATTGGCTGTGGATAGGAGGTACAGTAGGTTAAAGTACAGCTAATTGGCTGTGGATAGGAGGTACAGTAGGTTAAAGTACAGCTAATTGGCTGTGGATAGGAGGTACAGTAGGTTAAAGTACAGCTAATTGGCTGTGGATAGGAGGTACAGTAGGTTAAAGTACAGCTAATTGGCTGTGGATAGGAGGTACAGTAGGTTAAAGTACAGCTAATTGGCTGTGGATAGGAGGTACAGTAGGTTAAAGTACAGCTAATTGGCTGTGGATAGGAGGTACAGTAGGTTAAAGTACAGCTAATTGGCTGTGGATAGGAGGTACAGTAGGTTAAAGTACAGCTAATTGGCTGTGGATAGGAGGTACAGTAGGTTAAAGTACAGCTAATTGGCTGTGGATAGGAGGTACAGTAGGTTAAAGTACAGCTAATTGGCTGTGGATAGGAGGTACAGTAGGTTAAAGTACAGCTAATTGGCTGTGGATAGGAGGTACAGTAGGTTAAAGTACAGCTAATTGGCTGTGGATAGGAGGTACAGTAGGTTAAAGTACAGCTAATTGGCTGTGGATAGGAGGTACAGTAGGTTAAAGTACAGCTAATTGGCTGTGGATAGGAGGTACAGTAGGTTAAAGTACAGCTAATTGGCTGTGGATAGGAGGTACAGTAGGTTAAAGTACAGCTAATTGGCTGTGGATAGGAGGTACAGTAGGTTAAAGTACAGCTAATTGGCTGTGGATAGGAGGTACAGTAGGTTAAAGTACAGCTAATTGGCTGTGGATAGGAGGTACAGTAGGTTAAAGTACAGCTAATTGGCTGTGGATAGGAGGTACAGTAGGTTAAAGTACAGCTAATTGGCTGTGGATAGGAGGTACAGTAGGTTAAAGTACAGCTAATTGGCTGTGGATAGGAGGTACAGTAGGTTAAAGTACAGCTAATTGGCTGTGGATAGGAGGTACAGTAGGTTAAAGTACAGCTAATTGGCTGTGGATAGGAGGAACAGTAGCTTAAAGTACAGCTAATTGACTGTGGATAGGAGGTACAGTAGGTTAAAGTACAGCTAATTGGCTATGGATAGGAGGTACAGTAGGTTAAAGTACAGCTAATTGGCTGTGGATAGGAGGTACAGTAGCTATATATAGGTTACAGTACAGCTGAATAATCAGAAAGAAACTACGAAAGTGTAATTTGTCATACATATGAATTACGCAATTTATAGTTACAGTGATTTTGAAAATATAAGGATACTTTGGAAAATGGAACCTGTACTGGGAAAATCATTGTCAAAACTAGATAAGATGGACATGTTGATATTAAATTGTGAATGTAGTATCTGCTATTAAAGTGTATTAATCTCTAAAAAAGACCGATCTTCTTGCATAGATAAAGAGCCGTTATACTTCATCTCCTCAAATTTGGCCACATGAACCAAAGCCACAATCCAGTTGACTCAGAAAGAAAAAAAATGATTTTCTGCCATTTGACATAAAACAGCCCTTGTAATGACCTGTGATGTGTTTTGATTGAACTTGTAATTGAACTGGATAGGTTTACGTTACAGGAGAACAAACATTCTGTCTTTAGCCCATCATAATGATTTTCCCTCCAATTACAAGATATTTTTCTGACACTGACCTTTCTTTTTTCAAATTCATCTTTCCTATTAATTTCAGCTTGTTTTGAAGGCATCTGCTCAGCATCTGTGATAGTCCGATTTCCTAAAAGCCAAACTCCAACGTTGCGACGTAACTTTTCCCTTCAGGCCACACGAGGAACGTCCATGGCCAATGACACCAAACTGAGAACAGGTTCAGTTAAACATTTGTTCTTGTTACCCATACCATGTTTTCTACAGTGAACTTGTACTGCTCGTAATATTGTGAAGATATTAACCAAACTTTATACAAACAAAATACTACATGAGGAAATTTTCTCTCTTCATTGTGGAGGTTTTTAGCCCACCATCATCTGATGGTGGGCTATTCAAATCGCCCTGCATCCATGGTCTGTTGTCCATCAGTCCTTAAACAATTCTTGTTATCGCTATTTCTCAGAAAGTACCAGAGGGATCTTTCTCAAATTTTATATGTAGGTTCCCCTTGGTCCTTAGTTGTGTAGGGCATCTTTTGAGACTGATCGGATAAACAACATGGCAGACAGGCAGCCATCTTGGATTTTGACAGTAGTGAAGGTTTGTTATGGCTATTACTCAGGAAGTACTGGAAAGATCTTTCTTAAATTTTGTATGTAGGTTCCCCATGGTATAAAGTTATGCATATTTTCTTATGAGACTGATCGGATAAACAAACCTTTGATTTTGACAGTTGTTGGTTTGTTAGTGCTATTTCCCACGAAGTACTGGAGGGTTCTTTCTCAAATTCTATATGGAGGTTCCCCACTATCCTTTATTGTTCAATACTTTTAAAACAGATCAGATAAACAAAATGGCCGACCGACAGCCATCTTTGATTTTTGACATTGAAGGGTTTTTTTGTTTATACTATTCCTCAGGGATAACTTGAGGGATTTTTCTCAAATTTGATATGTAGGTTCCCCTTGATCCCTCGTTGTGCATGTTATATTTTTAAACTGATCAAAAAAACAATATGGCTAAAGGAAGAACTAAACAGATCTTTCTCATATTGCAGTGATCGATTCTATTTCTTTCACATTAAGTACTGTACTAGTAAATATGTGAAATGACAAACTCACTTTGAAGGTTGGCTTTCATACACATCAGTATTAAGTTTAGATCAAAAGTTACCACAAGGTGCATTTATTGTTAACATGACTCGATCAAACAGATTAGAGGAAAGAAGAGAAAAGATCGAACTGACAAAGAACTAATGAAGATGGTACAATGGTGGGCACCAAGATCCCCCTGGGATCTCTTGTTATTTTAGCAATGCTCCTGCAGTTTGCATTTCATGGGGTGTTGAAATGCATATTTTTGTACTGGTGCAGCAAATGTAAAATTTGAGAAAAACTACTTTTATTTTCATTTTTTCATAAATTCGTGATTTACGACTGTATTAACGTTAGTGCTAACCCATTGGCAACAGGTTATTTTATTATCATGTAAAATGACATCAGTCAGATGCTCACTTAAAGGAAACTTAGCGGTATGCTACTGTTTTCAGATGCTGTGTCTTTAAATGTATGAACAGTCACAGTGATAATTTTTTGTATTTTGCAAAATCGCTCATGCTATATTTTTGTTAATTTGATATTAAGTTCTATTTATGGAAAATTCATATTTTTATTTGACTGAGGTATAATGTGGTTCAAACTGTAATGTATTTTATTAATTGGTTTATCTCCTTTTCAGGAAGCATAAAGACCAGCTACAGTAACGGTTACCAGGATCAGGAGGAGTCCCCCAAGTCTGCCCTCGGACCAGACGACATCGTGGAGAAATATCGGGAAGCTCTTGTACATTACAGCAAGGTAACAACTTATATGGTCACAGTGACTATTCTGGGGACTTTTTGGGGCCAAAAATGGGCCCCATTCCCAGTTGAAAATATTTATGCTTACCGTAATTCACAAAATTTGCAGTTTTAATCCTGAAAATTTCCTTCACCATTGTCAAAATGAGACAAAAAGGCCTCTTCCCAGGGCCATTGAAAATAAATAACAGCGATCTCAAGTCCTTGCACAATGACATGGAATAGTTTTGTACAGAAATAAGTTAACATTATTGAAAAAATCACAAGGCCATAAAAAATAGATTATTGCAATTTCATGTCCTTGCACATCAACATTAAATGTTTTTTTGTACAGAAATAATTTTACATTATTTACCTTTGTATTACAGTTTAAGGGGTCTGGTATGATTGAGATGGAGGCTTGTTTGAAGGCATGTCGAGTCCTTGTGGTACAACGGGTAGGTCATTTTATCTGTTTTCACAAAATCATTTCGAAACAGGGAAGATCTATCCCAGAACAATTACACCAAAACAAGTGACGGTCACAATTAGTCATGCCAAAACAGGGAAGATCTATCCCAACTCAATTATGCCAAAAATCTATTCTCACTACAAAATACATGAAAATATATATCCCCAACAATAATCATGCAAGAACAGGCAAGGGTCTAACTGTCCCGGTGATGGTCATCCACAAGTTTTAAATCAAAGCACAGTGAGCGTGCCACTGTGACTAAAGACCAAAGCCTCACTACACCACGGTAAAGATTATCATGGGGATCAAAAGTGACACAAATAAAGAGGCTGACCCTCCTGAGGGCAGTGTGATTCAAGGTCAATTTGATGGCTTTGATTTAAACAACATATCCTTCCAAATTACTAGGCAGGTTTGAACAAAATTGTGGTACATGTAGTTACCTGTAATAGCATTTAACTTAAATTTAAACTTGCACTGTCAGATTTGATTTTGAAAGCAAAGTGTTTGTGCTGCAGCTGCCCAACTCCTAGTTTACACGTAATAAGGGTACATTCGCGTATCCGGTTGAAACGGTTGAACCGGTTGAACTTGTTAAGAAAACGACAGGTACAGATTTGGACTGAGGCTGACCTCAGGAAAATTTGGTACGTGTAGATTGAGGGGTCCAGACGTACCTGACCGAAACTAAAATGCTGACTATTGCCAATTTGCGTTATTTCTTTCTAAAACAATGTCAAGCCACATGCAGCTTTTAAGATACGTTGTGTAATTCAGTGGACATGTGAGAGAAGGGCATAATATTCTTGATACATTGTTTTTTATTCCTCGAAACTGTGCATTTTTAGCTCTGCTTATAGAACGGTCCAAGTGCGTTCGTTTATCGTGGAAAATTTCTGCGCCACACATACCGTTTCAACCGGTATACGCGAATGTAGCTCTGTTTCTCTTCATAATATGTAGATGTCAGGTTCTCCCTTCCCTCCTCTGTCCCCTCCCCAAATAAATATAGTGGCAGGTATATATATTATGCACCTGTTTGCTGGGCTCTTGTTTGTGATACCAATCAATGGTTGAGTGTAGTCAGATATTTTCTTTACTCTATATATAGTCATATGTACATGTATACCCTCTTACTGATGTCAAATTTTGATTTGCAAATTTTTAGTGTTGAGAGAAAATTAAGTTACTTCAAACCAATATATTAGTAATTACTTTTATACCTGCAACATAATCAATTTTTACATTAAGTTGGATACCGACTGACTTCATTAATTGTTTCCTGTTAAGTGTTACTACTTGCAAAGTGATCAAAATTAATTTATCATTCATAGATGACAGTTTAAAACTGTAAATGATATCCTTATAAAACATTGAACACGTTACTTTCTTTACATTTTATGTTACCATGACAACACTTTGTAAAATAACCAAAATGTTTTTGAAAGACATTCAAGATATCTTTTAAGACATGTTATCATTCGTCATTTCTGCAACAATATTTCCATTGTTTGTTATATATATCTTCAGCAAAAACAAATTACCGTCAAACTTTAGATGTGTGTCTATGGTTTACCATTCATTAATTGAGTGTGTTCGTATATTGTCAACTAATATACAATTATGGACTTTTGTGCTGGTGAATATGATGTGATATGAACCTGAAAGAGTGATATTGACTGAGGCTTCGCCCATAACTGTTTTATTATATGCTTCAACAATAAAATAATACAAAACAAAACTAAAGGTTCAGATTTTTGTACGCGAGCCTCCGTGTAAAATTTAGCCAGGTTTGAATACAACAGTTCCTCATTGTAGCTTTCAAAGGCATCGTCTAGGTTCTTTTTCTTACGAGTAGCTTTTTACGCTAACAGCACTTTTATCCTCGAATAAATTTGGTAATTTTCCTAACGGAGGAGAAACGTTCGCCAGCAGCCATGCATCTTCTAATGTCGTCCGACAGATCGCGTTCCAGTCTAACTGCGCATGCGCTACGACAGGTTCTGGGGAATTTCCATACAGGCTATATTTAGAAATCGATATTCACCGGATAACCAGTCTACATGAGTTTTTGAGGACTGGTCACGTGTATAGGATCCGACCAATTTGATTGCGAGAAATATTCATGCATATAATAAATTTTCTTGTTTCACTTATAACTAGGTATATATCAGTCATCTGTGAGGGATTTCCGTTGTTTGTATAACTGCCTGATCTCCCTATTTAGGAGGAAGACTCCTGATTTTAGCACATTACATTGAACATTTCCAACCAGTGAATTGATCAACTATTCCTACATTCTAAGGTCTATTGATTCCACCTGAAATATTATAACAACTCAGAATTTGTCGTTTTAAAGGGTTATTTGGTCCCTAGGGGTTATATACATACATTTTACTGATGTATTTGAATACATTTGGATTTTCAATTCAATTCAATTCTTTTTTATTCTGAAAGCCATTTGGGCTTATAAGACAAATTACATGTGTACAATACAGTTATTATGTACAATTACATACATAGCATGCATGCAATTGTACCTGTAATAAGGAGAGTAATACATGCCAGACTTATATATATATATAAGACAATGATACTCGAGAACGTTGCTTAAATGCGAAAAGTATGAATTTTCCTAGATTGTTAAGTTCTTAAACATTATTAACACTAAGTAAGTGTATAAATTTAAACACACTTGGTTTGCGATAATAGAATGGCTTTAAGTAGTTAGAGCGTATGTTGCAATAAAATGAACACATCAAAATAAAGTGAAATTTGTCCTCTATATCATTGAGATCACATAATTCACATACCCTTTCGGTCCTAGCAGTATTCGTATAGGTTGGCAAATAGGTGTTTGATTTAATTTTATTACATAAAATTACATTCTAACCCTGATTTTCAGGCCTTTTGTTAACGTTATGTGCAGTTATACTTAGTATCTCGCCTGTTATTAGCTATGCATATATAGCCTACATATTTATAGATTCTAAGTCTGTAACATAACTACAGGTCTGCTGAAATACTCATAATTATTGAGTTCCCTTTGAAGTCAGTGTCCATCCTAATGTGTCCGCCATCAAAGAATAGGGATTCAGTAAGTGTTGTTTTACTGTTTATCGGTCAGTCTGTCCTTCCACACCTCTTGTATTGGTCAATCACATGGTCAGTCTGTCCTGGTAGTGGTTCACGGATTGGTCAATATGGCCAGTTATCCTCCCGTCTGAGTGGTCTGGGGCTTTGGGTAGGGCATTAGCCGTTTAAACAAGGAAGTGTGTCTCCCCTGTTGTGTTTTTACAGATACAAGGCTGGGCTTCTGTTGGTTTAGACAAACAAACACACCTACATATTTTACAGCAGTAGAATTGAGGATATAAAGAAATAAGTATTATTGTTATTTATCTTTAGGCCCAATTCCATTTTAACATAACAGATTACATTTCTAGGTGTATCTTTTATAACATAAAAATATACATTTTACCATATTTAAAAAAAACAAGTTTGGTTCATTTGCCAGTGTTAAAGACCAACTTGCAGTTTTCTTGCAACTTCCCAATTGAGTAATGCCTGAATGTAATGACATTTTCATGTAATAAATAACTTAAGACAAATTTTTCAACATTTTTTCTTTCTTACCAATTTGTACAAAAAAAAGAGAATTGCATTATGTATAAAATGTCATAATGTACAGATAGATTAACTTGAACAACGACAGCCTTATTTATAGTTTTATTAATATAGAAAGATCACTGATTCAATTCTCCTGCTAGGTGTAGGGGTCATTTTAATAATTACCTTGTTTTGAACACATTGAATATGCAGTTATGGGTTGAAACCTGCGTGTATTCAACAAAACCCACACCCTGTTAAAATGTTTAAGCTCCAGTTAGCTCTGATTCAAGTTGAGTACTCACAAATTGTATGTTTAGTTGAAAATTAATTGATATTAATCAAGATCCGATAAAATATGAAGTAATACTGATTCTTTTTTCAAGATCAAGGATCAAATATATTCATACTCATAAGTTTAGGTTTCAAAGTTAATATATTCATACATAAAATTTAGATTAAATTAAAAATTCAATTCATGCTAAATTCAATAATAAATCGATTCATGCTAAATTAAATAATAAATAAATTCATGCTTTATCTATTTGAAAAATAGTTTTGCTATTCTATAAGATTCAATAAAAAAATATTCTTAATGTAGATACAGTAAAAGATTGATACGTATTTGATCTTAATTCAGTCACATATAAGATGTAGAAACCATCCTAAAATGTCTGCTCACTCACCTTTCTAAATACATGTATTATCTGTTGTGTTGTTTTCGACTTCAGGAAGTTTTAGGGACTATAGGTTTTGAATCTGACATGAGTGCTCTGTCAGCGATCAGGAGATAGAGTATCTCTGGTGGTCTCAGTATAATCTGTACCAGCTTATGTGTAATGACTATGTAATTGGTCGGGTATCTCTGTGATTACCTGGTTCCCAGGGGCGAGTCGGTTTATGTCTGATCAGCTCAATCATAACCTGCAGCCAAAACTTGCATCTATTTTGCGGTTAGGACATATTGAAATTATAAACAAAAACTGTTTCTACAGAAATTCAATATGATCATGTCCAGTAAATCACAACATTATTTTTGAATTTTTCAGATTTTTCTTAAAAAAACAGATTTTGGAAATTTCTATTAATGAGCTCTTCAGTTGACCAGACTTTCAGTGACTCGTCCAGTTGTTGATAGACTGGTAAATACAATAAGTTAACAGAGAAAAAAAAAAAATGAAAAAAATACGTTTTAAAAATAAAAAATATAATAACCCAAAAAACTTATTTCTGATGAAAAAAACACCAACCAAAATCACACATACTGGATCCAGATAGTAACATGTTGAGAAAGAATGCAAGAAAAATCGGTAAATTTCAAGACATTTCACCAATGTTTTATTCCCCCCCCCCCCCGCCCAAATAAAAGATAAA